GGATTGGTAATGTGTGACTCCGTCGTAGGTGAAGGTTTGCCTTTCTTGTATGTCCTCTCATCAAAGACACCTCTCTTCGGGTATAATAATATTCATCTAAGAGATGCCTCGTTCACAAGATAAAAGATTACTATTATCTTTATAACAATGAGGATGTAAACACGACCTGCCGCTACCATATAAGCGCTGTGTTATCAAATCACAGGTGTAGTAAAGTATCCAAATATTTAGTCGCGGTGCGCTACGAGGACCTATACGTATATGACGCGATAGATAGCAAGTTCTTTATTTCCTCCGTCATTGGGTTTGGTGTACCGGTTCACTTTTGTATTAGGGTACACCATACCATCACTGACTCACCAGCATTACATTGTTCAGCAGTGTCAAAAAAGAATAAAAGAAAATATAAAAGAAAAGACTAGACTGTTGTAAAAAGTAAGTGTATCTCCGCTAAGGGAAAGAGGGGTAAGGAAAAATAAAGAAGGAAATAAAGGTAAATTTACAAGGGACACCATCGGATGCCACAAAGTAAGAGAAGCGTGTTATGGGCAAGAACAAGGACCGAATCGCTGAAAGTCTAGAGCTTGAAAGTAGAAGGGGAACTAACATGTGTAAAGGTAAGCTAGAGAAGGACTGCAGGATGAAAGACTAAGGGCTTGCTTGAGCCAGACTCTTTCTTTATATTATCTGTTTGTAGGCATGGCCGTGAAAGTTCCTGACAAGGCCAAGGGAGGGGGATTCACCAATAGCTAATGAAAGGCCTTTGCACAAAGAAACTTTCCTTCCTGTGGATTCACAAAACATCCCGATTGGTAAATAATAAATGAGTTAATAGAATAAAAATTAGATAAAGCGTTAAAATGCCCAGCAACAACATAGCTCCGGCGCGCCAGCGAACTTTAGTTTACCGGAGGAGCACTGGCTCCTCATGTATAGATTTCCATGACTGCATGGCAAGATCTCTTGGACTTTATGAAATATGTTTGGATAAGAGACGAACAGCTCATTTGCAGCATACATAAAGGCTCTAGCAGTCAGCAAGAAAGTTTGCATTGTTAAAGAGGTTCATGCGGCTATTTATTGAGATGCTCAGAGTGGATTATGTGAGAGGAAATGGGAAAAGTGAGGGAGTGAAGATCGTTGCTCTTTCGCGCAGCTGCAATATCTTTTTTCAGTTGACCGCACATGTCTGAAGAAATAAGAAAATACTTCCGTATAAACACCATCGTACAAGTGCAGACACGGTTACAAACTCCTTTTGAGCAGGATGGCCATCTAGCATTCTATCGAACACTCAGTAATGTTTTACCGGTACAATTTAAACATTCAGAGCGTAGAAAAGAAAGGAGTATGTCTGATGTGTTCAAACACGAGATGTATAGTTGTAAAAGTAAAAGTTTGATACTATATCTGGCAAGAGAATTCTGGCGGTGAGACAATGGTGATAGGAGCGTTCCAAGAACAACTGCGTACTCTCTATATCGACGCTATGAAAAGTCTTGTTTAAGAAAAAGAAGCCATAGTAGAGAAAGAAGAAAGGGGATTCAAACGAAGACGAGATTCGGCTTTCTCTTCAGCTAAATCACAACTCGTTGGGCAGCCATAAAAGAAAAAGCACTTTCATATTGACACAAACATTGGTTGTAAAGGTTACTTTTGCAATGTGTAATTCTTGTAAATGTTTTTATTACTACAATGGTCCTTATCATCACCATCATATAGATTGTATTGCAATTTTCAGGAAGTGGATATGCACTAAAAGGCTCATGTGTAAGGTCCCTGTCTCTGTGTTAGGATAGGATGTGACAATGCTCTTCGTTTCTTCTTTAATATTGGTTAGTGGATATGTTATGCTTTTTCAGCAAAGTAGCTACACTGCTCTCGTTCAGATCACCAAGCACGCATTCAAGGTTTGGCCAATTGTTCACCATCCATTCCGCATCCTCAAGCTGTATTCTCTGGTGTTTATCCCTTTCAAAACTCAGCGAACGTAGTCTCTTCAGATTGGCTAGTTCATCCAGACCTGATTTTAATCTCAAGTCTAGCGACCGCCTATATACACCCCTTGAGGCCCACTCTACTTCAAAATATGAGTTCCAATCTGCTAGATCAATATGTTCTAGCTGTGTCAACTTGCCAAGTCGTCTAAAGGCAATGCGTGTCTTTGTCATGCCTTCTTCAGTCTCTTGATCAACATCTACCTTAAGATCGATAGCCAGTTGAGTCAACCCAGTACAAACCCATTCTGCTCCTTCGATAATCTCTGTCACCGTAATACTAACCCCAACCAGGCTTTTCAATCGCGGACAGTTTGATAGAATAGTCTGAGCAAAACCGGAGCGTCTATTCAACTTCAATGTCTCGACGGTCTCACAGAGCCTCCAGAGTCTAGTCTTTTGTACTAGTTGTCCACTATCCATCACCTCTTGCTTGTCAGCTAGCAATTCCTGTAAAGTGAGCTTATCAATTAGACCATAAGGGGCGCATAACCGTTTTAATTTAGTCATCCGCCTGAGAAGTGTTGCCATATCCTTGTCATAGATTAGCATATTGATAGATAGATCTGATAGATTACTCAGAGTCCAAGGACGCTGGTGATGTACTACCCTGTAGAATTTTGCTTGAGCAGCTGGGTCTCCCTCGGAGTAGTTGCAAATATTCAGTGAACACAATGCTGGACAATTCTTAACCAACATCCCGAGACAATACCAGCCAGTGGACGAGAATCGATTGTTGACTATCGAGACATTATGAATACGCAACGTGTGTATATTTGGGAGAAGATATTCGCTGTCGCCACTACTCATGAAGTTAATAGGTGGCTGAAAGGCTGCATTATCCAATTCCAAGTGCCTAACTTTTTTGCAGACTTGAAGGAATAAGTCGGTTGCAACTTCGATATCTACGTGATAAACCTCCAAATGGTTGAGGTTGGTGCATTCCAATAAAGCTTTCCACAGCTCTAGTGAAGCTTCTATTGCGGTCAAGTGAAAGCTAGTGATGATGGAGCTGCGAACCTTGATCTGGTTGACAAGGTGGATCGGTTTAGGCCATTTACATCTCTTTCCATATGTAATGGACTTGAGGCCCTGTAACTGCCCATACATCTTTGGGAAGGAGGCTCTGAATGTGTAATCATTAAATATAATCTCTTTGATGTATCCCTTATGCTTATATATTGTTCTACCAGTAGGATTTCTGCTCGATGTGATAGTGATCTCTCTCCATACGAGGCCGATAAAAATCCTATGAAAATTCTTGGAGACGCGGATACAGCTTAGAAGATCGCTTCGGTCGAGCGACTCGCCAATGAGTAAGAGGATTTCCGGAATCTCCAAAGGATTTAACTTAAGACTGTCCATGTTGCTGTTGATGGAATGTGGGAATGGAGGCATGGAAGTGAAAAAAAAGGCGTGACTGGATTTTGCTTAGCACTGAGCAGTAGTAACTGTTAAACACCATTGTATGTGACACAAACTTTGAGCAGGATGCATTCTATCAACTACCCATCTTTCGCATCATTGATGATTACAACAAATATATGGGTGAGGTTAATATCGCAGACCAACTTCGTCAATACTACACTGCTCAGATGAGTGCAGAGTTGTACTTGGGTGCCGCTCTTCTTGTGGCTATTAGACACAGGTATCGTCAATTCATACATAGTATAGCGTACCAATAACAAATCGACGAGGAAAGACGGACATCGTCGGTTTCGCTTGAATCTTGTAAACCAACACCTATCACTCTCCAGCCCCAAGTTGTCATCAAGTAAAGGCACTCAAAAAGGGAATTTGAAGCTGAGGAATACCCTGAAATTACTATCAAGATATCAAAAAAGCAAATACATTACTAAAAACAACTCTACTCCAAATCCTCACCGACATCTATTGGGACTTCATTACCTAGTAAGAGCTGAAAGAAGCGAAGACAGGGGTACTAAAGGCAGGATGACATGCGTCAACTGTAGGCTCAAGAGTCTAAATGAAGGCAAGGAAACTACTTCTCGGACAGAACGGAGCTTACGTTACATGCAAAGTCTTTCTTAGGACAGAATTGCTTTAAGGAGCATCATACCCAAAAAAAAAAAAAAAAAAAAAAAAAAAAAAGATTCAGGATATGGATTCTTGGCATGAGAATTCTGGCAGTGACACAATGCCAATAGTAGCATTCAAGGAACCATTGCGTGCTTTTTATTTCAACGCTACGAAAGAAATTGCTTAAGGAAAAGAAGTAATAGTAAGGAAAAGAAGAAAAAGGAATTGAGCGAAGGTGAGATTTGGTTTTCTCTTTAGCTATACCACATTCTGCATAGCGCAACTAGCAACCACAGAAATATATTTTTTCACGCAATGGTTTGTAAATAGTATTGTAGCAACTTTAATCACCTTCACTAAGACCCTATCATGATCATTCTTAAGCGGATGGATGACACATGTCCAAGGATCCTTGTCCCCCGTCCATTCTTTTTCTCGGACAACGAATATACTGTGTAACTTTAGGAACTCATATTTCGCATGGCACCCTGTAGCTCTTGAGTACTGGCATAAACAGATTCTGTAGGTTGGCTAGTTGATCTTAGTCTCCAGTACGATGTCATTGTTATTTTTCTGGCTAGACAGTATTTACTTCATCTCGCTCTCTCTTTTTTTCTTTTCTTTTTTTCCTCTTCAGCTCTCACTGCTTGCACTTGCTGCAACAAAGGCAACAAGAGGGCGTCTTCGAGATGCTGTCCGAAATGAACACTGACGTATTGATATCGATCGTGTTTTAGGGCCTGCTCGGACTGAGCGTAAGCGAAATCAGCATTGCCTTGACATCGAATCTGCTTTCAACGCATCCTATGCTTGTCATGGTTATCTATGCCCCTCAGTCCTAGTGCAGAAGGCGTATTCCACTTCAACACAATAGAGGTGCCTTCGAGTGACTGCTTTCGTTTTAGAATCTATTTCCTCTAGCATTTTCAGCTCTTCAGCTTCTAGCCACTCCTTTTTTTTACACAGCATACTTCTCATAACTTCTTGTTGCAAGGCTTAAAAAAATAAAACGAACTTCTACGACCACTCACAATTGTTCACATTTCAGTCATGGTTGAAAACTTGCTTCATGTTGTTGGTGCATGGGGTGTATTTGGCATCATGGTCGCTGTAAGAGAAACAAAGCTGCCACCACTATAAAAGCAAAATAAAAAAAAACTTCTTTGTCGCAAGGCTTTAGATACCCCAGTGGGAGAAGACATGGTTGTGGAAGCCTTTAGTCTAATAATGACACATTATCCAATGTAATTCACCACCCCCAACGCCTTCTTTAGATTCTACTCGGTTTCTCCATATTTTTCACAGTATACTATTCCAGCGCAAGAGACAGAGAGCCATTCGCTATGATCATCACCATCCTTGCTCTTACACTCTGTCTCTCAACTGTTACCCTCTTTCCAATTGACATCTTCTTGGTCTCGCGGACTTTGGACCCTGCAACAGGGCTTAGACGTCCCTGGGCTACGGACGAAGTTATAGCCAGCATGCAACTTGTCGTAAGCGTCGTCTACTATGGTAAAGACACAAACGTGCAGTTTTTTACTTAATCATGTCGCAACAAGTCGCCTTCATGCAGTGAGAATGGAATGGATAGACAGATCGGTTCTGCTCCTGCTCCTCGTGAAAGCGCAGTTGAATGTTTTGTAAATGAAACTCAGCTCTTTCAATGGTTTCTTTACTTTAAACATTGATAAACAATATTAACAAAATACTTGCACTTGATTATCGTGCACCAATTTTTTTTTTTTTTTTTTTTTTTTTGTTCAACGACTTTATGCCAAAAATAATGATTATGATCGTGCGACCTTGGAATAATTCTGATGGTCATGATGACGGCTTTGTATATACTTTCTTGGCGCGCTATAGTCGCATATGGCCTGATTGCAAGCTTCTGCTTTTTTTGGATCCCACTTGCATATTTCTACTTTGAGGAATTCGAAGAGGACCAAACAGTGCAGCGACGACTGATGGCCTCTCTCAAGTACACAGCCTTTTTTATCGTCATTGCCTGTATTTTATTGGTGACAGGTCTATTCATCAAGCCCAATGATCATGATAACAGAGATCTTGAATGGCTTCGGAAAATACTAGCTGCTTTGGGTAAGCTGTTTATGGTTTGCATAATAGTTAGTGGAAAGATGCTCAACCTCATTCTCACGTCACTTCGTCATCTGAAATCACTCCAATGATAGCCCACATTACTAACCATCATCTCTTTTCTTTCTCTTTGTCGGCTGGGCTGCATTAGATGGACCTGGTGCGCTCGCGTTTGTCGCAGGAGTGTTGTCCATTATCGGGATGTTAGTTCTTGTCTTTTACACGGTATGCAATGCAGAACCATCATCCACTAGAGTGTTTCAAATCAGTCAATTCATAGCATCTTGGTCGCACAAATTAATTCATTTCTTTTATACTCTAGGCACCAGGACTTTCCTTGCTACCTATGCATCTATTAGCTGGCTACCAATCCATCTCAGCAAAGGTCAATGAAACTAATGCAGAATTAATTGCGAATAGAGAACGACTCAACGCCATCAGGAACCGTTATCCCCCTACAAGCAACTGTGAGATTTCAGAACGTGATCGTCTTGCGATCAATGAACTTGAAAGAGAGGAGCTGATCCTGGAGAGCCGGTCGAGAATGGTGCAGAGGACTAGAGATAGTTGGGCAAACAAGTGTCATTGGATTGTCCGGCCATTTGAGATTGTATTGGGACTTGCAGCGACAACCCTTACTATACTGCTGATCACGTCTATCGCCATCACAACGCTTGATAACCTGAAAGAGGAGGGCTGCGGAGCTCCATGTGGATATATTCTGACACATCCAAACCTCCCTAATCCTCTCAACTTACTTTTCTTGGAACTGTCTCCAGTGAGTAACCGATAGACACTCAAGGTCGATTACATATGTGTTACTCAGCTCAGCTCAACATATACTAACACTAACCTTTTATGCAACACTAGTTCTTTCCTGTTGACTACATCTTAATGTTAATGATCATTCTCTACATGTTCTGGGCCACTACCAAGGGCATCATATCCATCGGTATTCGATTTCTATGGGTTAATTTGTACAAGTTCCGAAGAGCCGCAACACAGCCACAAGGCTTGTTAGCAGCCACCATGCTCCTGATGCTTAGTCTTACAGGAATGTACTATTCACTTACTATGACTGTTGCCCCTGATTACTCAATGTTTGGTAGTCAAAAATATGTAAGTCTATCGTAAAGTGTTTCAGAAATAGCGAAAGACATAGGCCAGATGAATCCTTGAAACTAACATTAGTCTTTGATATAGTGCAACCACACTATCACTAATTCAACTAGAGACTGCAGCGACTATCCTACATTGATCATTCCATGCCATATTGGTGCTCCTATTGAACTCTGCACTCCAACTGTCACTTCATCAATTGTTTTGAAGATTATTCTGGGAACACCAGGACTTGGCATTGCATTCTATTACACTCAATGGCTACTCTTACTCGTATTCGTAGGAGCTCTAGTATTTAATCTAGTACAAGGTTGCAGACATGGATTTGGAGTAGATCCTGCTCTGGAAGACGGGGAAGATATGGATGATATCGAATCTAGGGGCCTATTGAGCGCCATTGGAGCAATGAATGCAGATGGAGGAAGGAGAAGAGCAGGACGACGAGGATTGTTAATCCCAGGAGAAGGCTATGGATCTATCCAAACGACAAGACAGGGATCAGATCCTACTATCCCTACTTATCCATCTTCACCGGGAACTGCGACGAATATTCCTTAAGAATGGCAATCGCTTGAATAACCTGGAAGCCCCAGCATGCACTTAAAAAATGGGCATTTTAACAACTTGACTTCAGACCTCTTTAATCCATGTTGCGGATAAACAGAAGTATTTTCATATATAGTGCTCCCATTCATTAGTGATAATAATAAAAAAATGTAAATAGTTATCTTTGCTTTGCATTCAGTAGTTTGCTCAAGATTCGATCCTCTAATTCTTGTAACCGGTGATCAATTGTGGTCATAATTCGAGCCTCCATCTGAGCAAGGTCCGCCTTTGTTGCGTAGACAATTTGCTCTTTGGCGGTTTTGTTTGTAGCAGGCTCTGATGGCATAGTATCTGAAGATGAGATATCATGAGCAGATATCGATAAAGGTTGAGAGGCCGGACCAGATGTTATTGCTGTGCTTGTCAAGTGTCCCTGGTTTTGGATAGTTGATGACAGTTGATGGTGCTCCATTACTCTCATTAAATCTTTAGCCCCTTGTGGTAAACTATCAATCTGCATCTGGCCCATCAAGGCTTTGACTTTTTCAAGATCGATTCCGGAGGCGTTGTGGTCATTCCTTGATACTAAAGAAACTCTAGAGTTTTCTAGTAGGAAAGGAAGAGGAGGAAACACGTTTGATACTAATCCTGACGTTGCTGCCATTGTTGTTTCTGAAGAAGGTGTTGGTAAAGAATCTGCAGTTGATGCTGTTGAAGCCGCAACGGCTGATGATTCATCTTGTTGGAGTAGTTTTCCCTGAATCACCAGCCAATGCAAGTTAAGACTTGAACCTTGCGATTTGGGGACAAAAAACTGAAGAATGTAATATCTTTGAGTTGACTGCTAGTATGTTCCCTAACGTTTTTTTCTTTTTCTTCTTTTTCTTTTCAGTCACCTTGAACAACAGATCACGACATTTTCGCGGGTAGTCTTCATTAACTTTTATCCTGAATAACTGAGGCTTCATTCGATTATTAAAAGTTGAAGAAGCTAGGCTATCGGGGTTACCAGGTAATGGGTCTCCTCGGAAAGTACCCACATAGTCTCCAGAAGAGTACAACTCCACCGTTCTAGCACTGGACAGAATTGTTATCGCACTGTATGTAAACGCTAAAGCGTGTCGTACGTTTTTTTGAAAACGGTGTCTGAAGGCGATGGCTAGAGTCTTTGAGGGCTCGACAAACTTGCAGACAGACTCTTGAACACTCAAATGTTCTTCCACAATCTGATCGTGATCTTCAGAGCCAATTAGCGGCAAATCGGTCTCCTGAATAGAAGAGACTCTTAATAAGCGCTCTACAGGCGACAGCTGCCGTATTTCTTTGTCTTTGTCATTTTTTAAGTACATTGTCTGACTTATTGAGCTCCAGTCCAAGGACCCTGAATTTTGCAAGGCCCAATCCGGGCTCGGTTCATTTTCCTAAAAGGAGAAAGAGGATGAGCGATATTAATGCAATAAACACGATAAACGTTGCGCAACGTTCGATTGCCTAGATATGTATTCATTCAGTACACACATTGGACTGTATGAGCCTCTTACCTCTGAAAAATGACACACATTTCGAATGCTTCCATCACCATTGTAGATTTGGTTGGCATAAAAGTGAAATGCCATTCTTTTTCTCTTCTGTTTTTTTTTTTTTTCTTTTTTTTTCTTGATGGTACTGAAGTACTGAAGCATATTGAACGTGGAATGGAACTTGAAAGGGTATGGTTTTAGAAGCATTGGCATCCAAGCCACCAAGATGAACAGAAACAGACAACAGTGCAGATTGGATTGGTTTCTTTTCACTCCCACGGTGCACTGTTTCACAAACTAATGTGCCGCCTCTACAGATAGCCGCTAAGGTGGAGACACATCAGTAAACCATGGGGCACTTAATCAAGAGATCGAAAGGGGAAGAATATAGACTGACAGGGCAAAGATGTTTGTAAGTGTATATTGATGGTAAATCGAATAAACACTCCATGTATGAGCAGCTAATCTTATGAAGAGAGCAGACGGAAATCCTAAACCCCCCTGGCATTTGTATAAATGAGTAAATGAGTTCAGATCTGCTTATCAGTCTATAGGCTGGTAATGTAAAAATAGACTTCTGAATAGCATGGTTCCCAGCCTATTCCTGTTCCTGTTTCTCTTATCCTTGCTCTTTATTCATCCATCCTTGTCTCTCTCATCCACCATCCTCTTCTCATCTCCTGATTGGTCTGTGTTGTGTGTTGTCCTTTTCTACTCTCAATAAGACCACTTCTCCCTACTCTTACTTATCAACTATAGCCATCCTTTTAAGAATGGTCACTGCTACTGCTGCCACAAGTGTGCCACCCCTTTGCCAGCCTCACTTGTACCAACCAGCAAAACCAAAGGATCAATCTGCATCAGCTGCATCAGCTGCAGCAACACCTGTCCACAGAAACCAAGCTCATCAAGCTTCACAAATGCAACATCAGCAGCAACAACAACAGATCTCTACCGCTGATGTTCTTTTCGAGACCCCAGGTCAACAAAATAATGACAGTATACCATTCTTCAATGATCATAGTATCAGTAATGGGACTAGTATAGAGAATCCATTGATGGTGCATGTCCAGCAGCTTCCAACGCCAAGGACCTCCTTCTCTTCTGGCGGTGCTTCCCCACCAGAGAACCTTTCGCCTAGCTCTCATCCTAACGTATACCACACTCTGCAGCAAACGCAGCAATCTCGCCTCACACCAACCTCTTTGGCCTCTACTGCTTCTTCACCTTTTTCAAGTCCTGTACCCACATTACCGAGCACAATTGCTTCAACTCCTGTCTACGATGACAGCCATATCAATGGCTTGAGCCTTTCAGGCAATACACCAATATCCTCTTTACCAAAGTCGCCATTGTCGACTAGCCATTTGTATCAACCACAGTCTTATCCAGCTTTGCGTTCGACCTCGCCTGCCTTGAGCTCAACACTGGGTCCCTCCTTGCATGATCCCTCGACGTCTAGCAGCATCACACATGGCCTCAATGCCTCTTATCCTACTGGATCAAACATCTATCACATGGGGGGTACCTCCAATACGCTTGGTAGTCGTCCACCAAATCAAACACAATATCTTAACGATCAGCACCAATTCCGGATGCAGCAACAGGAGCAGCTTTACCTGGATGACGAAAAAGAGCAACTAAAGAAGAATACTCGATCTGCGCTCAATGGTGTAGCAACGTTTTTACCTCCAGCGTTGAATCAAGGTCTCAGCAAGGTGGTCTATTCTGCTCAGGAAGCCATTTCATCAACCAACAGTAAGCTGTCCTTGCCTTCAAGTCGCTCTTCCATAAATGGTTCGTCATCATCGACCGCAACAGGATTGAGTATGAATGCTAGCTCAGTTCGAGGCGTTTTGCTCAGACTTTACAGAAGCAGCAAATTGCCTTTGCTTTGCCTATTATGGTATCTGTCCTCGGCAGTGACCAACAATATTGGCAAGCAGATCATGAACCAATTCAGATACCCCGTTACCCTTACATTTGTACAGTTTGTGTTTGTGTCACTGTTCTGCTTTATCCTTGGATCTGTGTTCAAGATGACAACGATCCGTAAGCCCACGATGGGCATTTTGCAAATGACCGCACCTTTAGTTGGATTTCAGGTTGTGGGACATATGTTCTCCAGTGTGGCCATTAGCCGAGTCCCACTGAGCTTTGTGCACACAATTAAGGTGAGCAAAGCAACAACAACAACAACAACAAAAAAAAAATACACCCCTTGTGCATTATCAAGAATAATTATCAAGGGGTGCCTGATAATGATGAAATGAAGACGCAACATTGCATGGTTCGCAGGCTTGAGCAAGGGGGTTTGGACTAGAAAAGGCTATCGCTTCCATCGGCAGCAATCAAACCATAATCGGGGACTGTCCATTATGGGTTGAATGCATGACCCTCCTTTATTATTTTTTTTATTCCTCAATAATTACACAATCCACTGACAAAAAAAAAAATTGTCTTTTACAATGATTTAGGCGCTTTCACCATTATTCACGGTTATATTCTACCGTGTTATTCTTGGAACGACCTATAATAGAGATGTTTATATCTCACTTATTCCATTGACTGCAGGAGTAATGCTCGCTTGTCGTCTTTCACTGGAGTTTAACAATCTCGTTGGTTTGGTGTGTGCTCTTGCATCTACACTCGTTTTTGTGACACAGAACGTGTTTACGAAAAAGATCTTATTCAGCAATAAGGCGAAACAAGAGAAGCTTGGAGGACTTGGAAACAAGGAGGTTACCAAAGAGGATGATCCTGTGGAGGACATTGGAACGAACGCTCAGAAGCTCGATAAGATCAACATTCTATTCTACTCATCCACCATGGCAGCCATTTGTATGATCCCTATATGGCTCTATGCCGAAGGCGTGGGACTTTTGTTCCCAGAGGAGACTGGTGTTAATCATGCTGTATACTCATCTAACTTTTGGGGTATTGCCTGGTTGTTGTTCCTGAACGGTACCTCACACTTTTTCCAAAACATCTTTGCATTCTCGGTCCTGGCCATAACCTCGCCCGTGACATATTCGATTGCATCATTGGTCAAACGTATTGTGGTGATTGTGGCAAGTATCATCTATTTCCATCAAACACTTGGGGCGACGCAATGGACGGGAGTGTGTCTAACATTCTGGGGTCTGTGGCTATACAATTCGGCCAAAAATTCAGCCAAAGTCCGTCCTGTAGGAGGTATTCTGGCCAGTGCCAACGTTGGTCGGGGAGGCAGCCGTAGCTTTGGACGAGGTCTGCTGGATACTGACAGGAAAGCAGGCTTTTTGGCTTGAACGTCGACAAGTTTAACAACAGTATTTAATATTTAAGTAATGTTTTTAATATAATTTGCTTCATAAGCGCATTCATACCATTGGCATTATTATTATTATTATTATTATTATTTTTATTTTTATCTTGTCTCAGTAAAGCAAGTAGATTTTAAAAAATAAACCCCGGCATAGAACCTTTTTTTAATTGGCAGGAAAGAATAGAGCTCAGTTGGCCTCCAATGGGGTGTGTGCGATTGGATGTGGCCAGGGACAGAAAGGAGGGCAATGATTGGGCGGGAAGTGAAGGAAGAGGCAGTGAGGCACAGCAATTGGATAAAAGGGCGATAAAGTGAAATATATACATGTTAGGTATAAGATAAATATATAGATAAATAGATAAATAAATAGATAAATAAATAGATAAATAAATAGATAAAATAACGGTTGACATGGCGATAAGGGTTGACATTGACATGGGGCTCTAAAGTGGAAAGAGAGAGAGAGAGAGAGGGAGAGAGGGAGAGAGAAGATGGTCTCCATAATTCATCTAAAAATGTCGCAAAGGTAACATCAGACACACAGAATGTTGAGAAAGGACTGTGAGAAACTTTGTAAACATCACAGGGCTGTTGGTCAATTTCTTTAATCTTATTTTGGAACCTTGATTTTTGATTTGCAGTCATCTCTCTTTTCTTTTGCTTTCCTTCTTCCTATTCTTCCACTTTCTTTTTCTTTTTCTTTTTCTCTTTCTTTTTCTTCTTCTTCTTCTTCTTTTTCTTCACCTTCTTCTTCTTCTTCTTCTTCTTCTTCTTCTTCTTCTTCTTACCTTTTTTTTTTTTTTTTACGACTATCTCTACCTGCCTCTTTTATATATTTATATATATATACTATTGAGCCTGCCTTTCCCCATCAGCTGCAAGAAAAGAAAGATTGAATGGCGGCATATCAAGCGCTGAAGCAGCGTCAGTTCAGGGTAGAACCTTCCGATCAAGATGACCATCATCAGCAGCATCATCTAAAATATGCTACTTCATCATTACCCATCAAGACTAGCAAATATGATCAATATGGAGCTCCACCGACGAAAATCCATTCGTCATTTTCATCCAACAGGATCATCTTCCGTGCCTGGGCTATCTTCCTGAGCTTTCTTGCTGCTATAGTCTTGATCATGTATCAGATTCATTACGCTCTTCCCACACCTGTTCATGAGTCCGTAAACCCGATAACGGGCCAAGTGCAGTTCTCAGAGACCAATGTCCGGAAAGTAGTAAGACATCTTTCAGAAGACATTGGTTATCGTGTGGTCGGAACAGAACAAGAGTTGGACACAAAGAATTATTTGATCAAAGAGCTCTTGCAGTTGAAAGAGGACGCCCATATCGCAAATCTGAAAAGACAACAACAACCATTACAGCCAAAGGGAGTTGGTACGAATGGAGCATCTCAGGACCTGGAGCAACCTTGGCCTAAATTTGATATGTGGGTCCAAGTCGGAGATGGTTCTCATCGGTTTGACTTTATGTCCAAAGGCAAGTTTCCTCCCTTTCTTTCATTATTCTCTCTCTCTCTCTCTCTCTCTTTTTTTTTTTTTTTTTTTTTGATGTCCAGGACAGTATTACTGAAATGACATTGGAGAAAAGAGCAGTGTCAACTACATCACTCTTTGACCAAAGAAAGCTTTTTTTGCACAGCAACAGTCATTTTGCTGGAATATTTGGAAGGATCTTTGGCCTTCATTATCAACAATGGTCATACATTTTTTTTTTTTTTTACTAAATACTTTCGCCCAATGAAAAAACAAGGCACGGGTGGCATCACATCAAAAGCCAAAAGTCAAAAGTCAAATGCAAACGAGGTCTTTGTTGACACATATTAGCCGAATAAGGGGACAAATACAATCATATTGCCTTTAACTAACAGTCTTTCTTTCTTTCTTTCTTTTTTTTTTCCTCCTTTTCTCGTTTCCTGTTATTTTTTCAATTGATCATTGGTCTCGTCCTTGTGATCCGGGGGGGATGTGAATGATGATCTTTCACCCACTTGATGCTCACTGACCCTGTCCACGCCTTTTAATTCTGGCCAATCCCAAATCAACTTTGTATTACAATGACTCTCCCCTACAAATTTAAATTTGGGTCCATTTTTTTTTTTTTTTTTTTTTTTTTACATCATGCCTCGGTGTGTGTAACGAATGCATGCAATACCAATACTTTTTCCATCGGAACATTTGGGATAACGGGATTCTTCAATTCCTAATTTCTCTAAACATGAACATCAACAATATTTGCAAACAATAGTTGTCATGAAGATGTATACCAACATGACCAACATCATCGTCAGACTCTCATGTGGACCTGAATGTGATCAGAATTCAATCTTGCTCAACTCGCACTACGACACTACGTTGGGATCACCAGGTGCTGTTGATGATGCCCTTGGTGTTGGTGTCATGATGGAAATCATCCGTGTGATGTCCCAGCGACCCGCTCCAAAGAAGAACAGTATTGTTTTTTGTAAGTATTCTTTTTTTTTTTTTTTTCTCTTATACCTTGCTTATGTAAGATAGACTATGCTTTCTGCTAACAAATAATTCCTTATCAAATTTGAAAAAAAAAAAAAAAAAAAAAAAAGTGTTCAACGGAGGTGAAGAGTCATTACAGGATGCATCCCACTCGTTCATCACTGCACATGAACTTAAGGATCAAGTGAGAGCTGTAGTTAATCTGGAGGCCTGCGGAACTTCCGGGCCTGAAATCCTCTTCCAAGCCAATTCACGCACAATGATCGATGCCTACAGAACTGTCCCATATCCCCATGGCACCGTCCTTGCCAATGATCTATTTGCGACTGGGCTCATTCTCTCTGACACAGACTTCCGTCAGTTCGTGGATCATGGAAACTTAACAGGACTTGATATGGCAGTCTATAAGAACAGCTACCTTTACCATACTCACTTGGATCTGGACTCGTACATGGAAACAGGTCTACCCCAGCACATGGGTGAGAATACCCTGGCATTGGCTACTTATTTGACTGAGGAGGCAGAGCTCATCAATTTGGAAAAGACCAGCAGTGTGGTCTTCTTTGACTTCTTCGGCCAGTTCTTTGTCTCATATTCTTGGTCGACTGCATTACAGATTCATATTGTCGTTGGAGGACTCGCATTATTGGCCATGGCCACTCAAGCCTCGCGCCCAACCCTGCGTGCGACTGTCTCTATCCTCTTCTCGTTTATGGCGGCTCTGATCCTTCCTAACCTGTCAGTGATCTTCCTGTTGTCACTGGGCAAACCCATGCAATGGTTCTCGCACGAGTGGCTATCCTGTCTTTTGTTTGGACCTATTGCTCTTGTTGGCATGTTCTCGGTCCAGTACCTCTTCCATGATAAAAAAGCGAGCACAGGTGCGAACGAACTGAGCACGTTCTCTGCGGTGCATGCGTTCTACACCATTTGCTTGGGCCTTGCTTCGTATACAGGACTCGCCTCCAGCTACGTCTTTGCGCTCTATTCGATCAGCTCAACTCTAGGCCTATTCTTCAACAAGTTCCGCATTGCTGAAGCCAAGAAGGATGGTGTAGAGTCTGCACGCGTGGATTATATGACCTACTTTGTTGCCTCGTTGTTGCCTACAGCCTATTTTTCGTTTGTCTGCTTCAGCTTGTTGGATATTTTCATCCCTCTGACTGGTCGCATTGGTGTAGATGCCCCCGTGGATAATATTGTTGCAGTCCTGACTGGCTTTATTATATTTGTGTTCTGTCCTCCCATCATGGCATTCACCCATCGGTTCGGAGCCTCAATGTTGCGCAAGATGATTGTCCTGTTGCTTGTGGCCCATTTGGCGATCTTGTTGATCACATCCATGTTCATCTCACCCTATAATGAACTTCATCCAAAACGTGTCTTTGCTCAGCACCTGAAGAACTTGACTTCTGGAGAATCGATGATGTATATTGCGCACGCAGATCCAGGTCCCTTTTATGATCCCTATGTGACTGAGCTCGAGGAAATGTTTTCAACCAAGGCTGTCTTCCGCAGCCCCAACAACAACCCTGGAGACTGGAATGCCATCTATCCATTCAACCAATTCTTGGAATCTTATGTGATCGACACGACACCCTATATCAAGACCCAGACTCAAAACAAGACGATTGCCAACACAGATAGACCATTGACCGACTTTGTCCATCAGGCGCCTCAGCTCATTGCCGAGAAGGTTTCGTATGATCCCAAGACGGGTCATCGTAGGTTGACGGTGTTATGTACCCATCCAAATTATATCTGGACTGTGGCCAGCTTTGATACACATTTGGTATCATGGTCATTATCGTCGTCGGATCCATTTCCCTATCATTCTCATTATGTGATTCGACATGTGGGTGGTCATGTTAGTGACGGATGGAAGTTGGACCTGGAATACAAAGCCAAAGGACCGGATGACAAGTTGATGATTGAGTTGACAGCAATGGAGACTGAGGGATTTGGAAGAGACCAGGAAAGAGAACTGATTGGAAGCGGCGATATTGGTGTTATGCGCAAGGTCTTGAAGACGCGACCAGCATGGTTGGCGCTGACGTATTTTGGCACAACCGTGAGTCGGTTCCATCTGTAGAGGAAGAGAAAAAAAAAAAAAAAAAAAAAAAATAGAGAAAGGAGGGAATGAAAGGAAAGAAAGGGAAAAAAGGGAAAGAAAAAAAGAAACTGTCTCCCTACTTTCTTTCCACATATCCATGCTACCCATACGCTCTTGTATTTTTAAATTACCAATAAAGGTCGATCAATTCTTCTTTAAGTGTCAACATGCATGCAATGTACATGTACACGCACGTACAAACTTTAAAACGAAGTTGATACCTGGGCCGAGTACGTGTCCTGGATATAAACCTTATTGTGGGATCGTGGGAAGTTTAGGCTACTCATCCTTATTCCTTTTCTCCCACACTCCATTCTCTTTCTCTCTCTCTCTCTCCACTCATTCAACACCCAATTTTCATTGCCATTACCGGTGCTCTTAACCATGTTTGCCAGATCATTCCTTCAGAGAGCTAGCACTCGTTTGCCGAGCTTGGCTTCAACTGCTGTATGACATTATTACATGCTTTTTTTTTTTTTTTTTTTTTTGCATTGACATTTTCATCAGTATACAATTTATGCAAGATCCATTCTTTGAAAAAATAAAAAATAAAAAAAAAAATTTACTAATAACAATTCCTTCTTATCACCCTTTTCACAGCGCACAGCAGGCGTGCGTGCTGGCTCTGTCCGCTTCATTTCATCTTACAATGCCCATGTGGCCGGTTTGACGGATGAACAAAACGAGTTCCGTTTGGCTGTCCACCGGTTTGCTAACGAGGAGCTTGCTCCTCGTGCCCATGATATTGACAAGAAGAACGAATTTCCTATGGTAAAATAAAAAAAAAAAAAAAAAAAAAAAAAAAAAAAAAAAACTTAATTGCTTCATTGGAGTTTTTGCGCAGCTTTGTAATTTATGAAAACTTTATCATCCCTTCTTATTTATTTTTATTTTTATTTTTGTTTTTATAATAAATTATAGGACATGTGGAGGAAGTTCGGTGATATGGGTCTCCTTGGTATCACTGTCCCCACTGAATATGGTGGTCTTGGACTTGGATATTTGGAACACACTGTTGCCATGGAGGAGATTTCTCGTGCTTCCGGATCGGTTGCTTTGTCATATGGTGCTCATTCTAATCTTTGCGTCAATCAGATCAACCGCAACGGAACCGATGCCCAAAAGAGGAAGTTCTTGCCCAAGGTAAACAACAAAAATGAGTTTTTGTTTTGCGGGTTACTTTTATCGTCATTATTATTAATCGTATTAAGTGTACTAATTGTTTTTTTTTTTTTTTCTTTTTTTCTTTTTTTATAGCTGATTTCTGGCGAACATGTTGGTGGTTTGGCCATGTCTGAGCATACCTCTGGATCAGATGTCGTTTCCATGAAGCTTCAGGCAGAAAAGAAGGGTGACAAATATATCCTCAATGGTACTAAGATGTGGATCACCAATGGTCCTGATGCTGATACACTTGTTGTATACGCCAAGACTGACATCAAGGCCGGACCCAAGGGTGTCACAGCCTTCCTCATTGAGAAGGGCATGAAGGGATTCTCTCGTGGCCAGAAGCTCGATAAACTGGGTATGCGTGGCTCCAACACGTCTGAGCTCATCTTCGAGGACTGTGAAGTGCCTGAGGAGAACGTCTTGGGAGAGATTGGAAAGGGAGTGTACGTGCTCATGTCTGGTTTGGACTATGAACGTTTGGTATTGTCAGGAGGACCTCTTGGTTTGATGCAGGCTGCTTTGGACATCACCCTTGACTATGTCCATCAGCGCAAGCAGTTCAACCAGCCCATCGGAGAATTCCAGTTGATCCAGGGCAAGATTGCAGACATGTACACCAAACTGAATGCCTCCAGATCCTATGTCTATGCCACAGCCCGTGCCTGCGATAATGGACATGCCTCCAACCGAGACTGTGCCGGCGTGATCTTGTACTCTGCCGAACGTGCAACAGAGGTTGCATTGGATGCCATCCAGTGCCTTGGAGGAAATGGATACATCAACGACTTCCCTACTGGCAGGATCTTGAGGGATGCTAAGCTCTATGAGATTGGTGCTGGTACCTCAGAAATCAGGAGGATGTTGATCGGACGTGAGTTCAACAAGGAGTACAAAAATTAGAAGAAAAAAAAAAAAATAGTAAATAAATAAATTTATAATAAGAAAAATAGAATGAAGAGTTTTACGATTTACATTATCCGGGATATTTATTTTAATTATTTTGTTCTGTTCTAATTTCAAACTAAACTGAGAAAAGTCCACCCCTTTCATTGCGAGATAATGATGGGCGGTCTATTGGCCTTGTTTCTTTGAACGCGCAAGAATAACCAGTCGACAGCTTCCTTCACTCCTGTGCCCTCTAATGCTGAAATGGGCAACACTCTTGAATCACGAGCCCCGAGTCGCTCTGCAATCTGATTAAAAATCTCTTTGATTTGTTCAAGCCTTAAAGCTGTAGGCATATCTTGTTTATTTGCCAACATAAGCACAGGGACTCCCTCCACTGTGTCATCCATAATTACTTTTTCTAATTAAATGAAAAAGAGATAAAAATAGATAAATATATAAATAAATAAAAATTAAATCCTAATAATGTGTAATATAATAGCAAAGTAGAATAGTATGATCATCGTAAATGTTGTTTTCGTTTTCGTCTTTTTTAATTACCAAGAGCATTTTTACACTCCTCGATACGCTCTGGATCAGATGAGTCTACAACAAAGACAATGGCATGACATTCCCGATAATAACGTTCCCAAATGGATTGTAAATCAGTCTGTCCTCCAAGATCCTGAAAATTGATTCTAGCGCCTCCAATGTCAATTCTTCCGACTATATAAAAATAAAAATAAAAATAAAAAAAGATATGTTAAGAATAATAGTATTAATGGAAGATCAATATGATGTTGCAAATATCGAATAATCCCAGTTTTGAAGACATACTGTTCAATCCAACTGTTGGGGCGATTCTTTCTGGTGGTAATCCTGGTACTCCAAGGAATATAGATTTAATCCTTTCTAGTAATGTCTTTTTTTTTTTTTTTTTTTTGTAATAAAATAAAATAAAATTAGTCCTTCACATATTGATAAAAGTAAAAAAAAAAAAAAAAAAAAAAGCCGCAAGTATTCCATAATGATCAAGAATAAAGAAAAAAAAAAAAAAAAAGATACATAAATGAAAATGGCGTTACAGTCTTTCCAGCATTATCGAGCCCAATAATAACAATATAATATGCCTCTCGTCGTGTAAGGTGCTTGTAGAGTCCACTTAGAAACGTATACATCGTAAACGAATAAAAATAATATAAAACAAAAAAAAAAAAAAGTAAAGGTAATTGCCACTACTTTCTCCTGTTGACACCTCGTTTTTTTTTTTTTTTTTTTTTTTTTCTTTCTCCTTTTCGCAGATGGTCCTATTGTTCCTGACAATGAATGAGAACAGATGGACCCGAAAAAAAAATAAGAAATGGAGTTACAATGAATCTATTTAAATCACGTGAATATCACACAAAATTATTTTCACAGTTTGGTGAGCTTGGCAATGTTTCATCCAAGGCCAACTTTTTGAAACGGTATTATGATACTCCACACGAACATAATGTGCTCCGAAGAGACAACGACTAGAGTGAAGTCAACTAAAAAAAAAAAAAAAAAAAAAAAAGTAATAATGATTGCTCTTACATTTCCCATTTTCCTTCACATAATACACTCTGGGAATCCCAATAAATAGCCGCATCAACCTCTTTAACAACGCAAACTTTCTCATTGATCGCTAGAGTCTTTATGTTCGTTGCAATTGAGCTGTATGTCTAGGTTTCTAGGTTATCCAACCTTTTTTCAGGTGACTGTACTCTTCTATCGTGAAATCCAAGAGGTTCTTGCCCCCGCAATCTCGGAAATCTATACATGAGGAGCCAGTGCTCCTCCGGTAAACTAAAGTTCTCCGGCGCGCTGGAGCGATGTTGTTGCTGGGCATTTTAACGCCTTATCTAATTTTTATTCTATTAACTCATTTATTATTTACCAATCGGGATGTTTTGTGAATCCACAGGAAGGAAAGTTTCTTTGTGCAAAGGCCTTTCATTAGCTATTGGCGAATCCCCCTTGGCATCACCAAAAACTACCACAGTCATGCCTGTAAAAAGACAGTATAAAGACTAAAGAATCTGGCTCCAAGAAAGCCCTTAGTCTTTCGCAGTGCAGTCTTTTTCTAGCTTATCTTTTCACATGCTAGTTCCCTTCTACTTTCAAGCCCTAGACTCTCGGTGATTCAGTCTTTGAGCTTACTTATAAAGCTCTCTTCAGTCTTTTGGACATCCTATGGTATTCTTTGTCATTAAGATCATTTGCTTTTTATTCTCCTTGTCACGTCTGACAACAATCCAGTTTTTTTATTTTTTATTTTTTTTTTTTCCTTCACTGGGCGAACAATACACCAGTGGTGATATGGTGCACTATATCCTCGTCTCTTTTCATCTGCCCTGGGCACTAAAACGAGCAAACTTGACTATTTAGTTTCCTTCAACGCATGGAAAGTGTTGAAAACAACTGACTATTGGCTTGTCACTCGAACGAGACCACAGCTATAAAAAACAAAGCACCAAGTACCTGCTTCTATTTCCTGCCTCCTTCCATTTCTACCTCCTCGCTGGCCTCTTTTTGCTCGAGGTGTGCTACCAAGCCTTTATACTAGTCTAAAGATCCATGTCATTCGAGTTACTCCTTTTTTCTTTTCTTTTTAATCGACTGATAGCAGACCCCTGGTCCTTGTCTCTAACAGCAACGGTACTAGTTCGAATCACTAGAATGTGGAACTAATGGCAGCCATAGTTATCCCGCTTGTACGCGTCACTCCCGCTCCAACCACACAACTCCCTGGGATCGCCAAGGCCAAACTACCGTCCTAGACGCGTGGGATATGCCTTGCGCATAATGTTATCTCAAATACGATTTGATATACCCAAACCTATCAAGGCAGCAACAGGGCTGCGAGAGGTTTCCTCTGACTGCGAGGCCGATCCTCGCCTCGCAAAAGTGCGAGTGAAACAGCCATAGATTTTGTATTCTCGAGATAACAATACCTGTTGCTGTTCACATGAATATTTGAGCTATTTCCGTCTTGTTACAGACCAATATACAATTATTATCTTAATACTCAACTCTTTTTAGCCAGCGAATATATATATTTTTTATCTCTTTTAAAGACATCTTTACCTTGGTCTGATCTACTGGTTACAGGGTACGTAGTTTATCTGCCAGTGAGGCAAGACGTCCCTATCCTTCACATTCAGCATTGGCAGGCTCCACTCCTTAATCGATGAATACAACTACACCGCAAGCGAATTTCAGACCATGAATCGCAGATCAAGTGATACACTGGCCTTGACACGCTCTCCGATGAAAACACTTACATGTCATCTTGGATCACATTAGATTCATGGGCTCATGCCACAGGCTTCATAGGGGAGAATCTTCTTATACCGTCAGTTTGGTGCCGCGCCCTCGCCAGCGAGAAGAGATCTGCCAAAAGTTGGTGTAATAACCAAGCGACAACGCACTAAGTATGGTAACAAAAAGACTTCTTTGAAGGAGAAACCCCATTCAGACAAGTTCCTCTTGACCTCCCTAATAACTTTACTGAAGCGGTTTTGAGTTCCAAGTTTAACTTGTTACTAAAGCGTTGATTATTTTGTAGGGATTAAAAATTATATAATCGATATCCAATGTCAAGCAACAAGAAAGCTTTCTTTCCATAGATGAGGAGTGGACTGAGGCCAAGCACTAGAGTTAATTCGTGTTGTCTCTGCCTCCAAAAACTACTCTTGGGCATCTGCTGAAGGGTAGATAAGCAAACTATTAGTCGACAGCCGGTTGTAGGTATGCTTGCCATCGGAAGTCCAAGGTCCCTGTAACTAATTCTGAGGGTCTTTCGGGCAGTGACCACTGCTTTCGGGTATGGTTAGGCGCAGTGGCTTTTATTATGGAGTGAAATTAACAAATTGGATTTGTTGAATGTGCCGCAAAGTCCCGTCGCCATTTGTGCATCCACGTCTCATTACCCTCCATCGACTCCATTTCTTCGCAACATGGACAGTCTTAAGTTAAATCCTTTGGAGTTTCCGGAAATCCTCTTACTCATTGGCGAGTCGCTCGACCGAAGCGATCTTCTAAGCTGTATCCGCGTCTCCAAGTATTTTCATAGGATTTTTATCCGTCTCGTATGGAGAGAGATCACTATCACATCGAGCAGAAATCCTACTGGTAGAACAATATATAAGCATAAGGGATACATCAAAGAGATTATATTTAATGATTACACATTCAGAGCCTCCTTCCCAAAGATGTATGGGCAGTTACAGGGCCTCAAGTCCATTACATATGGAAAGAGATGTAGATGGCCTACACCGATCCACCTTGTCAACCAGATCAAGGTTCGCAGCTCCATCATCACTAGCTTTCGCTTGACCGCAAAAGAAGCTTCACTAGAGCTGTGGAAAGCTTTATTGGAATGCACCAACCTCAACCATTTGGAGGTTTATCACGTATATACCGAAGTTGCAGCCGACTTATTCCTTCAAGTCTGCAAAAAAGTTAGGCACTTGGAATTGGATAATGCAGCCTTTCAGCTACCTATTAACTTCATGAGTAGTGGCGACAGCGAATATCTTCTCCCAAATATACGCACGTTGCGTATTCATAATGTCTCGATAGTCAACAATCGATTCTCGTCCACTGGCTGGTATTGTCTCGGGATGTTGGTTAAGAATTGTCCAGCATTGTGTTCACTGAATATTGGCAACTACTCCAAGGGAGACCCAACTGCTCATGCAAAATTCTACAGGGTAGTACATCACCAGCGTCCTTGGACTCTGAGTAATCTATCAGATCTATCTATCAATATGCGAATCAATGACAAGGATTTGGCAACACTTCTCAGACGGATGACTAAATTAAAACGGTTATGCGCCCCTTATGGTCTAATTGATGAACTCACTTTACAGGAATTGCTAGCTGACAAGCAAGAGGTGATGGATAGTGGACAACTAGTACAAAAGACTAGACTCTGGAGGCTCTGTGAGACCGTCGAGACATTGAAGTTGAATGGACGCTCCGGTTTTGCTCATACTATTCTATCAAACTGTCCGCGATTGAAAAGCCTGGCTGGGGTTAATATTACGGTGACAGAGATTATCGAAGGAGCAGAATGGGTTTGTACTGGGTTGACTCAACTGGCTATCGATCTTGAGGTAGATGTTGATCAAGAGACTGAAGAAGGCATGACAAAGACACGCATTGCCTTTAGACGACTTGGCAAGTTGACACAGCTAGAACATATTGATCTAGCAGATTGGAACTCATATTTTGAAGTAGAGTGGGCCTCAAGGGGTGTATATAGGCGGTCGCTAGACTTGAGATTAAAATCAGGTCTGGATGAACTAGCCAATCTGAAGAGACTACGTTCGCTGAGTTTTGAAAGGGATAAACACCAGAGAATACAGCTTGAGGATGCGGAATGGATGGTGAACAATTGGCCAAACCTTGAATGCGTGCTTGGTGATCTGAACGAGAGCAGTGTAGCTACTTTGCTGAAAAAGCATAACATATCCACTAACCAATATTAAAGAAGAAACGAAGAGCATTGTCACATCCTATCCTAACACAGAGACAGGGACCTTACACATGAGCCTTTTAGTGCATATCCACTTCCTGAAAATTGCAATACAATCTATATGATGGTGATGATAAGGACCATTGTAGTAATAAAAACATTTACAAGAATTACACATTGCAAAAGTAACCTTTACAACCAATGTTTGTGTCAATATGAAAGTGCTTTTTCTTTTATGGCTGCCCAACGAGTTGTGATTTAGCTGAAGAGAAAGCCGAATCTCGTCTTCGTTTGAATCCCCTTTCTTCTTTCTCTACTATGGCTTCTTTTTCTTAAACAAGACTTTTCATAGCGTCGATATAGAGAGTACGCAGTTGTTCTTGGAACGCTCCTATCACCATTGTCTCACCGCCAGAATTCTCTTGCCAGATATAGTATCAAACTTTTACTTTTACAACTATACATCTCGTGTTTGAACACATCAGACATACTCCTTTCTTTTCTACGCTCTGAATGTTTAAATTGTACCGGTAAAACATTACTGAGTGTTCGATAGAATGCTAGATGGCCATCCTGCTCAAAAGGAGTTTGTAACCGTGTCTGCACTTGTACGATGGTGTTTATACGGAAGTATTTTCTTATTTCTTCAGACATGTGCGGTCAACTGAAAAAAGATATTGCAGCTGCGCGAAAGAGCAACGATCTTCACTCCCTCACTTTTCCCATTTCCTCTCACATAATCCACTCTGAGCATCTCAATAAATAGCCGCATGAACCTCTTTAACAATGCAAACTTTCTTGCTGACTGCTAGAGCCTTTATGTATGCTGCAAATGAGCTGTTCGTCTCTTATCCAAACATATTTCATAAAGTCCAAGAGATCTTGCCATGCAGTCATGGAAATCTATACATGAGGAGCCAGTGCTCCTCCGGTAAACTAAAGTTCGCTGGCGCGCCGGAGCTATGTTGTTGCTGGGCATTTTAACGCTTTATCTAATTTTTATTCTATTAACTCATTTATTATTTACCAATCGGGATGTTTTGTGAATCCACAGGAAGGAAAGTTTCTTTGTGCAAAGGCCTTTCATTAGCTATTGGTGAATCCCCCTCCCTTGGCCTTGTCAGGAACTTTCACGGCCATGCCTACAAACAGATAATATAAAGAAAGAGTCTGGCTCAAGCAAGCCCTTAGTCTTTCATCCTGCAGTCCTTCTCTAGCTTACCTTTACACATGTTAGTTCCCCTTCTACTTTCAAGCTCTAGACTTTCAGCGATTCGGTCCTTGTTCTTGCCCATAACACGCTTCTCTTACTTTGTGGCATCCGATGGTGTCCCTTGTAAATTTACCTTTATTTCCTTCTTTATTTTTCCTTACCCCTCTTTCCCTTAGCGGAGATACACTTACTTTTTACAACAGTCTAGTCTTTTCTTTTATATTTTCTTTTATTCTTTTTTGACACTGCTGAACAATGTAATGCTGGTGAGTCAGTGATGGTATGGTGTACCCTAATACAAAAGTGAACCGGTACACCAAACCCAATGACGGAGGAAATAAAGAACTTGCTATCTATCGCGTCATATACGTATAGGTCCTCGTAGCGCACCGCGACTAAATATTTGGATACTTTACTACACCTGTGATTTGATAACACAGCGCTTATATGGTAGCGGCAGGTCGTGTTTACATCCTCATTGTTATAAAGATAATAGTAGTAAAAAGATATGAAAGAATAATTAGTGCAAGTGCTGGATTGCTCCCACGAAGCAACATGTAAATCAGGTATCAATCAAATATTAATAGCACATTCACAGATATAATTATACTCTTGCCTTTTTTTCATGAGTGTTCGAAAGCGAGAGTGTCCAAATGTTCTGGAGACGTGCCTTTGATACAGGGTCGGATATCTAATGGTGTAGTCTTTCTTGCTTCCTTGTCCTGTTCCTCACTTTTATTAACCTTTTCTGCTACTTCTCTTCTTCGTTAGTACTTTCGTTTACTTTTTTTTTTTTTTTTTTTTTTGCGTTCTGTTGTTTGGTGTTTTCTTTTCTTACTTTTACTTTCATTGACTTCTTGGTACTTACCTTGTTTACTTGAGACTGTCCACCCTACCACCCTATACAGTCCCTTACCCTTGAAGAAGAAGAAAAATATAAAAAAAAAACTTTCCTGTATTCGCTTTCTTTCCTGTACTTTCATTTGCTTTCACTTTCTTGCTATGCTTCCGTTTGTTTCTCTTTTCTATTTCCTTGCCATGCTTTCGTTTATATTTCTTTAACGCTTGTTATCTTTTGACTCAACCTCCTTTGCTGGTTCTCTTTCTTGTTACTCTATGATGATTTACTTTCTTGCTATCCTTTGTTAGTTCATATCCTTTGTTAGTTCATATCCTTGCTACCTTTTGATGGTTCACGTTCTTACTATCCTTTGCTAGTTCATTTCCTTGTTATTCTTTACTGGTTCACTTTCTTACTATCCTTTGGTGGTTCACTTTCTTACTATCCTTTGGTGGTTCACTTTCTTACTATCCTTTGATGGTCTGCTTTCTTACTATCCTTTGATACTTCCTTTCTTATTATTCTTTGCTGCCTGTTTCACTTTCTTGCTATCCTCTGATGGTTCACTTTCTTGTTATCCTCTGATGGTTCACTTTCTTGCTATCCTCTGATGGTTCACTTTCTTGCTATCCTCTGATGATTCATTTCCTTGTTATCCTATGATGGTACATTTTCTTGTTATCTTTTGATGGTTCACTTCTTTAATGCTTCATTTCCTTGTTATCCTTTGGTGCTTCGCTTTCTTGCTATCCTTTGGTACTTCACTTTCTTGCTACCCTTTGGTGCTTCGCTTGTTATTCTCTGCTAGTTCGATTCCCTGTTATCCTTTGGTGTTTCACTTTCTTGTTAGTCTTTGATGGTTCACTTCCTTGCTACGCTTCCATATTTTATCCTTCAATGCCTCGCTTGGTTGCTACGCTTTCATTTCTTTCCTCCATGCTTGACTTTCCTGTTATGCTTTCATCTCTTTTTCGGTACTTCACTTTTGTTATCCTTTCTTATGTTTTTCTAGGCGCATCTCTTTCGTGTCATGTTCTATTACGCTTTCCTTCCCTCTTTCTTTTTTCTCCTCTCATTGCTTCGCTTTCTTGTTATTTTTTTCATTTGCTTTTCTCGACACTTCAACTTGTTACTATGCTATCCTTTGTTTTCCTTCGCTGCTTCACTTCCTTGTTATGCTTTCTTTCTTTCTCGCTGCTTCACTTCCTTGTTATGCTTTCTTCCTTTCTCGCTGCTTCACTTCCTCATTTGTTTTCCTTAGCGCTTCACTTTTTTTAATATACTTTCATGTACTTCTCTTCGACGCTTCACTTCCGAGTTATCTTTTCCTTTGTTTCCCTTTGATGCTTCGCTTTCTTATGTTGTTTTCATTTGTTTTCTACCTTTGCTTATTATAACTCCCTTTGTTTCCCTTTGTGTGTGCGTGTATGTGTTTTTTTTTTTTTTTTTTTTTTTTTTTTTTTTTTTTTTTTTTCCTTGTTATACTTTCGTTTGTTTTCCTTTTGCGCTTCTCTTCCTTACTATGCTTTCATTATGTGTTTCCATTTCTTATTTTGTTTTCTTTTTTTTCTTTCCTTCTCTTCAATGCTTCTCTTTCTTACCATATCTTACATTTGTTTCTCTTTTGCTTTCTTTCTTATCATATTTTCATTTATAGGTGCCAGCATTTCTTACATATCTTTTTGTTTGTTCTTTTCCCTCGCTTTACTTCTTTGCTACGCTTCCGTTTGTTCTTTCTCGACTTTTCCTTCCCCTTTCTCTCTCTCTCTCTTTTTTTTTTTTTTTTTTTTTTTTTTCTTCTTGCTTTCACTTACTCTTCCTATGTGCTTCTCTTCCTCAGTTTATTTTCATTCTCTCTTTCTCGGCGTTCCTTTCTCTTTCTTATTTCTCTTTCTTTTGTTGGTTACTTGCCGCTTCCCCTCCTTACCTTGCTTTCTCTTACCTCGTTTCCTTGCTGCTTACCGCTCTTGGGGGTTATTTTGCCTTTGATATAGTACGGAGACAAAAAGTATGTAGTTTAGTATAAAGTAGTGACGGTAGGAGAAGGCAACGATCGTAGCTGAGCGAGAGTGTGTGGATGACATTAAGAGGCACAGGGAGAGACGGAAGAAGTGTGTGCGTGTGTGCTTGTGTGTGAATGTATTTGACAAAGGACTGCGATCGAGACTTACTTTTCAAGAGGTGGAGAGGTGGAGATAAAGAAGTGGAGAAGTGAAGAGGTGAAGAGGTGAAGAGGTGAAGAGGTGAAGAGGTGAAGAGGTGAAGAGATGAAGAGGTGAAGAGGTGAAGAGAAAAGGAAGAGAAAAGAAGAGATATGAAAAAAAAAAAAAAGGAAAGAAAGAAAGAGCGAGCTTAAAAATGAGAGAAAAAGCGTCATTCTCCCAATCTCACTCGTTGCCACCATTTCTTCTTATCTTTGTTGAAAGCGGACAAAATTATCCGAATATGGGAATGGTCAGTCGCTTTAAAAGCAAAAAGCATCTTCCGTCCACACGGAGAGTTGATGTCATTGGATTGTCACATGAAGCAAAAGGAAAAATGTATGTGAAGGTGGGGAAAGCATTGAAAGAGGGATAAATAAGTTAAATGCGGAGAATTAAATACAATAGTAATGAAAGTGTTGAATCAAAAGTATTAAAGGCCCGGAAGGCCCTGCAGACCTTGGATATAAACAAACGTTAATATTTTCTTCGACACATGCGTTACATACTTTTTACGTGTTGCTTGTTGTTGCTCTCTCAATCCGGCAGGCTTGTGACTTCAACAAGATGGTCGTTAAAAAAATAAGACAGCCTTGCTTTTAGGATATGGGCCAGAAAGGTGATGGGCTCCGTGAACAGCATCTACCAGATACTGTAGCAGACCTGAACACACTGTGTTACTTTCAATCAGAAACTAGAAGGTGCTAGAGTCTATGACAAGCCTTGATCCTTGTCTATTATACTTTTAGAAGTGATAAAAGAGAGAGAAGAGCGAGATGTAATGAAAAGCGTGGCTACTCCTAAAGATGCATAAAAAATGAATTCTTTTTTTTTTTTGTTTCTTTAAAAAATGCGATCGCAAAAAAAGCATACGATATATAAGTCTAGGGGCCAGAAGTCGTGGTGTGAGTAGTGTCTACTCATGGTCATTAAGTTTAATACTCTCGATGCTTTTTGGTTCGTTCTTCTCAGAGTCGTATCACTTTCGCTTATTACGTCAACAAATGCGAAAGATGTCGCAACGAAAGGCAACGGGATCGCTTCCGGGCTATCCAAGCCGACAGTTTTCCGTCCACCCTTTCTTTGAATTTCATGCTGTTTCAAAATGGCGCCCAGTCACTTTCATTTCAACAAAGATAAGAAGAAATGGTGGCAACGAGTGAGATTGGGAGAATGACGCTTTTTCTCTCATTTTTAAGCTCGCTCTTTCTTTCTTTCCTTTTTTTTTTTTTTCATATCTCTTCTTTTCTCTTCCTTTTCTCTTCACCTCTTCACCTCTTCATCTCTTCACCTCTTCACCTCTTCACCTCTTCACCTCTTCACCTCTTCACCTCTTCACTTCTCCACTTCTTTATCTCCACCTCTCCACCTCTTGAAAAGTAAGTCTCGATCGCAGTCCTTTGTCAAATACATTCACACACAAGCACACACGCACACACTTCTTCCGTCTCTCCCTGTGCCTCTTAATGTCATCCACACACTCTCGCTCAGCTACGATCGTTGCCTTCTCCTACCGTCACTACTTTATACTAAACTACATACTTTTTGTCTCCGTACTATATCAAAGGCAAAATAACCCCCAAGAGCGGTAAGCAGCAAGGAAACGAGGTAAGAGAAAGCAAGGTAAGGAGGGGAAGCGGCAAGTAACCAACAAAAGAAAGAGAAATAAGAAAGAGAAAGGAACGCCGAGAAAGAGAGAATGAAAATAAACTGAGGAAGAGAAGCACATAGGAAGAGTAAGTGAAAGCAAGAAGAAAAAAAAAAAAAAAAAAAAAAAAAAAGAGAGAGAGAGAGAAAGGGGAAGGAAAAGTCGAGAAAGAACAAACGGAAGCGTAGCAAAGAAGTAAAGCGAGGGAAAAGAACAAACAAAAAGATATGTAAGAAATGCTGGCACCTATAAATGAAAATATGATAAGAAAGAAAGCAAAAGAGAAACAAATGTAAGATATGGTAAGAAAGAGAAGCATTGAAGAGAAGGAAAGAAAAAAAAGAAAACAAAATAAGAAATGGAAACACATAATGAAAGCATAGTAAGGAAGAGAAGCGCAAAAGGAAAACAAACGAAAGTATAACAAGGAAAAAAAAAAAAAAAAAAAAAAAAAAAAAAAAAAAAAAAAAAACACATACACGCACACACAAAGGGAAACAAAGGGAGTTATAATAAGCAAAGGTAGAAAACAAATGAAAACAACATAAGAAAGCGAAGCATCAAAGGGAAACAAAGGAAAAGATAACTCGGAAGTGAAGCGTCGAAGAGAAGTACATGAAAGTATATTAAAAAAAGTGAAGCGCTAAGGAAAACAAATGAGGAAGTGAAGCAGCGAGAAAGGAAGAAAGCATAACAAGGAAGTGAAGCAGCGAGAAAGAAAGAAAGCATAACAAGGAAGTGAAGCAGCGAAGGAAAACAAAGGATAGCATAGTAACAAGTTGAAGTGTCGAGAAAAGCAAATGAAAAAAATAACAAGAAAGCGAAGCAATGAGAGGAGAAAAAAGAAAGAGGGAAGGAAAGCGTAATAGAACATGACACGAAAGAGATGCGCCTAGAAAAACATAAGAAAGGATAACAAAAGTGAAGTACCGAAAAAGAGATGAAAGCATAACAGGAAAGTCAAGCATGGAGGAAAGAAATGAAAGCGTAGCAACCAAGCGAGGCATTGAAGGATAAAATATGGAAGCGTAGCAAGGAAGTGAACCATCAAAGACTAACAAGAAAGTGAAACACCAAAGGATAACAGGGAATCGAACTAGCAGAGAATAACAAGCGAAGCACCAAAGGGTAGCAAGAAAGTGAAGTACCAAAGGATAGCAAGAAAGCGAAGCACCAAAGGATAACAAGGAAATGAAGCATTAAAGAAGTGAACCATCAAAAGATAACAAGAAAATGTACCATCATAGGATAACAAGGAAATGAATCATCAGAGGATAGCAAGAAAGTGAACCATCAGAGGATAGCAAGAAAGTGAACCATCAGAGGATAACAAGAAAGTGAACCATCAGAGGATAGCAAGAAAGTGAAACAGGCAGCAAAGAATAATAAGAAAGGAAGTATCAAAGGATAGTAAGAAAGCAGACCATCAAAGGATAGTAAGAAAGTGAACCACCAAAGGATAGTAAGAAAGTGAACCACCAAAGGATAGTAAGAAAGTGAACCAGTAAAGAATAACAAGGAAATGAACTAGCAAAGGATAGTAAGAACGTGAACCATCAAAAGGTAGCAAGGATATGAACTAACAAAGGATATGAACTAACAAAGGATAGCAAGAAAGTAAATCATCATAGAGTAACAAGAAAGAGAACCAGCAAAGGAGGTTGAGTCAAAAGATAACAAGCGTTAAAGAAATATAAACGAAAGCATGGCAAGGAAATAGAAAAGAGAAACAAACGGAAGCATAGCAAGAAAGTGAAAGCAAATGAAAGTACAGGAAAGAAAGCGAATACAGGAAAGTTTTTTTTTTATATTTTTCTTCTTCTTCAAGGGTAAGGGACTGTATAGGGTGGTAGGGTGGACAGTCTCAAGTAAACAAGGTAAGTACCAAGAAGTCAATGAAAGTAAAAGTAAGAAAAGAAAACACCAAACAACAGAACGCAAAAAAAAAAAAAAAAAAAAAGTAAACGAAAGTACTAACGAAGAAGAGAAGTAGCAGAAAAGGTTAATAAAAGTGAGGAACAGGACAAGGAAGCAAGAAAGACTACACCATTAGATATCCGACCCTGTATCAAAGGCACGTCTCCAGAACATTTGGACACTCTCGCTTTCGAACACTCATGAAAAAAAGGCAAGAGTATAATTATATCTGTGAATGTGCTATTAATATTTGATTGATACCTGATTTACATGTTGCTTCGTGGGAGCAATCCAGCACTTGCACTAATTATTCTTTCATATCTTTTTACTACTATTATCTTTATAACAATGAGGATGTAAACACGACCTGCCGCTACCATATAAGCGCTGTGTTATCAAATCACAGGTGTAGTAAAGTATCCAAATATTTAGTCGCGGTGCGCTACGAGGACCTATACGTATATGACGCGATAGATAGCAAGTTCTTTATTTCCTCCGTCATTGGGTTTGGTGTACCGGTTCACTTTTGTATTAGGGTACACCATACCATCACTGACTCACCAGCATTACATTGTTCAGCAGTGTCAAAAAAGAATAAAAGAAAATATAAAAGAAAAGACTAGACTGTTGTAAAAAGTAAGTGTATCTCCGCTAAGGGAAAGAGGGGTAAGGAAAAATAAAGAAGGAAATAAAGGTAAATTTACAAGGGACACCATCGGATGCCACAAAGTAAGAGAAGCGTGTTATGGGCAAGAACAAGGACCGAATCGCTGAAAGTCTAGAGCTTGAAAGTAGAAGGGGAACTAACATGTGTAAAGGTAAGCTAGAGAAGGACTGCAGGATGAAAGACTAAGGGCTTGCTTGAGCCAGACTCTTTCTTTATATTATCTGTTTGTAGGCATGGCCGTGAAAGTTCCTGACAAGGCCAAGGGAGGGGGATTCACCAATAGCTAATGAAAGGCCTTTGCACAAAGAAACTTTCCTTCCTGTGGATTCACAAAACATCCCGATTGGTAAATAATAAATGAGTTAATAGAATAAAAATTAGATAAAGCGTTAAAATGCCCAGCAACAACATAGCTCCGGCGCGCCAGCGAACTTTAGTTTACCGGAGGAGCACTGGCTCCTCATGTATAGATTTCCGAGATTGCGGGGGCAAGAACCTCTTGGATTTCACGATAGAAGAGTACAGTCACCTGAAAAAAGGTTGGATAACCTAGAAACCTAGACATACAGCTCAATTGCAACGAACATAAAGACTCTAGCGATCAATGAGAAAGTTTGCGTTGTTAAAGAGGTTGATGCAGCTATTTATTGAGATGCTCAGAGTGGATTCTGTGAGAGGGCATAGGAAAAGTGAGGGAATGAAGATCATTGCTCTTTCACGCAGCTGCAATACCTTTTTTCATACATGTCTGAAGAAATAATAATACGCTTCTGTATGATATTAAGAGATTAATACCTGACAACAATGCTTCAAAAAAAAAAAAAAAAAACTTGTTTTAGGTCACTGTACGTACATGTACATCTTAACGGAGAGGCGATGGAACTTTTCCAGTTTTCTCTTTCCCAGCAAATTCCTCGTTAAAGATTAGGTGGATCTTGCTTTCCCCAAACCAGGATGAGCCATTTCGTTTCACGTAAATGGAAAATGATAATATATAATAAAAATATAGAAATATCGAGTACAGATTCCCCCAAGTTGATTAAGAGTTACGGGGATGACAAGCGTGGTTTTATCATTCTTGCTATGTCTTTACCAGTCCTATACATTCATTTTGGGAGGGTATGGCCAATTCTGACCTTTGCCATGAGGAAGGGGAGAAGGCTGATACCCTTCTCACACATAAGTTTATTTAACCAATTTATTGTATTCAGATGCGAAATAACTCTTCCACTTCATGCTGCTCTATAGCAGAGAGACGCTTGATACATTTTATTACTCCCACTAAAGGTCGCTGATCCTGTTCCTCGCATCTTCAGCCCCTTGCGACAAACAGGAGCGATTGGACGTGCGGGAACGCGATGGCTTTTGTCTTTCCAAAAAAAAAAAAAAAAAAAAAAAATCGAATAGAGATTAGGCTCCTGAATCATACTATACAGGTAATCATATAGGACAGGAAGAGCTACTTGGCGCTAATCTGGAATATTGAAAGAAACAAAGGTATCAAAGGCAACTTCAATTGAATGGATACTGTCCTGTTACTAATCAACTGGGGGTAGCATTAATTTTTTTAAAAAAGGCGGAAAGGGATGCTTTTTGAGATTTTCTCACCGATGGAGGGCGGGCTTTTATTGAACGCCTGGCTTTTTAGATACCACTTAGTTGCCTTGACGTTTTATCTAGTACTTGGTATCCTTTAGGATATACAGCTTGGTTGTCGAGAATGTTATAGGATAGCACATCTCATTCCACAGGTTGGTAGCACGGCCTAGTAAGCGATTATAGAAGCCAGCAGTGGTATTGGCCTGATTGCTCTTCAAGCCCAAGGACATGAATGAACGTACGCTACTCATTTGGCTGGCAGTGATTATTACCGCTAAGTGTAATCCCTGACTGGCGTCTGCATTCAAATGGTCACAGACACTCCTCTGTCATGTTTGCAGAAATGGGGCAGAGAGCTGCTACATTTAGGTTTGGGCTTTTATACTTATCCTTGGTGTTTACTTTGTTGGTCAAGGAGTCAAGGGTATTTTGTTAAAAACTGGTTTGATGGAAACAAGCGAATTGACTGTCTTTGAGGCTCCTTTTTTTTTTGTAATGTCTTAATTGACTACCCTTGGTAGCTTTGGTTAGGGCAGCTGCTGTTATTTTAGTTTAGTTATACCCGTTGTTGGTTGAGTTGATTGCAACTGTGTCGTTTATTTTGGATGGTGTTTTTTGTGTTTTGGTGTTTTTTATTGGGCCCTTTGTTGAATTTGCTTACTAAATCTGCTTGCATAGTATGCTTCTTGGATCTTTTTTTGCGTCTACTACAGGATCTGTTTGTTGTCTTTTTTTTTTTATTTCTTTTCATTTATCCGTCCTTTGTTTCTGTCTTCGAGATGGCTCTTTGGTCCTTCGATCCTTCGTGGCGATTCCTCAATCCCTTGAGGCGGTTCTTCGGAGCAGTTATTGGTTCAGCTCTTCGTGGCGGCTGTTTGAGGTGGTTGTTCAAGGCAGTTTTTAATTTTTATTTTTTTTGGATGAGTTTTTTTAGGTTGACGGGAGTTTGGTTTTTTTTTTTTTTTTTTTTTTTTTTTTTTCGTTGATCCTCTTATTTTTTCGGATATTAGTTTTTTGAGGCTATTGTTTGTTCCTTTGTGTTTGGAATGAGATTTTTTCCTGGCACCTTTCTGCTGCGCCTGTTGTTGCTGTTATAGCTAACATCACTGTTAAAAATGAAATGCAGGTTAGTAACGCTGTTTCATATTATTCGCCGGACCTAATTAAACAATCTTTCCGTATAGCATTGCACAGAAACTACTTATTGCATTGGCATTTGTAGGCAGCCGGAACTCATAATAGGTCGTTGCTACCCAGCGCTGCCTATGTTCCCGTCTGCTTTGGAGCATCTTTAGGCATGTCCTCCACTCAGGAACATCCACGCTGTGACCTTCCACCCCCGAATCCCTTGACAAGCCTTCGCTTCGGCTCAGTGGCTTCTTCCTTCTGGGACTATGGCCTGTGCTGGTTTCCATCCTAAGCTAGAATCAAGCCAAAACCGAACTGTTTCATAAAAGCTCTTATGTTTGGCTTGCATCTGCTCAGGAGAATCCAACCCAGATACCTGCCGGCAGTCCTGATACTTTGTTTCGACTCTAGCCTTCCGTGCGGTAGCCGATCCGAGGCTCTGGTTCAGACAGAGGTAGAACATAAGGCCTTAAAACATGGTGTAGAGATGCCATGCGCTAAGCTGTGTTAGGCATCCCTGTCCTAGCTTAGCTCCTAGGAGCACCTAAGGATGATAAGTTAGTGTTAATAGGCATCCGCTAGAACCATACCCCCGAGCTGCCTAAAGATCTCATCTAAGTAGAGAACAAAAAACAAAAAAAATCAAGTTAGTATGCTCTTTAAAAAAAAAAAAAAAAAATCTATTTTACCTGAGGCGTTATAAAGTTGTAGTTCCTCTTTTCCACCCAAAGAGAGGCTTTGGCAACACCTTACGCCTATCCTACCCCTGTCCTGGCCCTGGCCCTGGTCCTGCTGAGGGGGGGATCTTTCTTGGAGGTCAACCCTCAGGGCATATGGTTCTAGCGAATGCCTATTAACACTAACTTACCATCCTTAGGCGAGCCTGAGGTATGTCCTCTGTCCTAGATAAACCATAACTCCGGACGCGCCCCGAGCAAAGCCAACGCAGCCAGCAAAGCGAAATCTAGAAATAGTACTATTAAAATCACCTCCGTTTCCGCCGACGACGATGTCGATGCCTCCGGTGCATATGCATATATACAGACTAGTTTCAAATGTATGGATATCAGAAGATCAAATGCTTTTGCCGCCGCCTTGGTCTTGGTGTGTGAGTACTCAGTGGCGCCATTTTTTACTGGGGCACCCTGATGATTTCTAGGGCACAGTCTGTGAAGCGGTCTCCTTGTCTAACGAAACCATGGCAGTCTCAACGTCGTTGATGGACGCAGCGTCAAATGACAGCATGATAATGAGAAGCAAAGATAGCTTCAAAAGGATTTCAAGGTGTATTTCATGGCAAAATGAGGAAAGTAAAACACCGTTGATTCTAAGCGACCAGGGTGGGCATTACTAAGAATAAAGCTATGACGACTAACAACAGCCGCACGAAGGAAGAATGGGGCCTTTGACAAGGTAGAAGATGAAGTGTGCTTTTGTGAAAGGGAGGGTGCGGTTCACATTTATACTTGGGAGAGAGTGAGATGATCCTTAACCTAGGCTCCTTTACCACGTTTGGAAGCTCGTGTGGCTTATGGCAGGCGTGGTATAATTATTGCATGCGTAGATGTAAAGGAATGTTTAAAAAATAGGACGTCAAAAAAACAATGCGTAAAGGACACGAAGAATAAGAGCCCGGATACAGAACAGAGGAATAAAGGCTGAGCGAAATTAAAGTTATGACGCAACATTCTACACGTGTTGGCTACATGCAGCCTTAATCTCATAAACATACAGGTTTGTTTGTGTTACACCCTTGCATAGTTGTTGCCCATACTTGAACACATATACATTAAGAACAGGCTGATTGGTCCAGAAACAAACATGAACACAACGCTCCCGTATTTACAGGAAATATAGATTAATATCGACGTACTATATCGAACGGGATTAGTAAAACAACAGGCTGTTGTCCGATTCATTTGTTATGCTTTAGGATAATTTCTTATGAACATGTTACTTTTAAAGATACAGCCAAATAAAGATATATCTCTACATGCTATTAAAATTTGCATCGTGGCGATGAACTACATCCTTATATCGCAGCCTCGACATCAAGGACGCAATTGAATCTATTCAGGAGCCTGACAGCATAGTTTATCTATTATATTATTTGCTTTTGCATTTAAAAGTAAGCTGCGAAGCCTAGTATTAATTTGTCAAGGCTAGGCGGGCATTATTCCGAGGGATGCGTAAGGTAAATCAGACTATGAGGATAAGCTGCTTTTTTCTTCTTTTAGCTCCGTTGGATCTGAAGTAATAATTGAGAATTTAAAAGCAGTGAAAAAAAAGCCTGTCAATTTGGCGATCACATTTAAGAAGAATGTTGTCTGAGTGAATATCACCATGTGCAACACCTAATCTGTAAATCACTAGAGTTGGCGCCGTACTGTTAAATCGGGTTATGGGAGGAATCAAAGCATCGTCTGCGCCCTCTAGGGCTCATTTAGCAAACCAAGTTCGCGTGAAAGTCGATAGAGAGCCATATTTCGGTCCATGTAGCCTTATATGACCATGGAGTTGCTTGAGCGAACTAGCTGGATCTTGAGGTGGCATGCCTCATGCGCGATATGCAGCTGGATAGCTGCTGCCTTAGTTCAAGTGGAGGGAAGCCGGTTGTTTCATTTCTATTCGGAGCAGGATCGAGTTGAAGTCATTTTGCCAAATCTGAGTCTCTAAATTCCCTGCCGCCAGCTTTAAAGCTTTGTGCGGACGAAAGCAAGGATTGAACAGACCCAGTGTCCTCACGAAGATATCCTAAAGCGAACTCTCCACAAAATAATGCCTTTGTTTCGGTTCGGAATAGTCCGGTGTGGTATCAAGCGGCATCTGGAGCACGGTTTAAGACAGACCTGTAGATGATACTGAAGCCGCAGCAAGCAAAAAAAAAAAAAAAAAAAAAAAGTATGAAGTGACAATTAATTGTTAGATTAGTATGGAGACCAACTCGGTAACATATTTCTAACAAAAAGAACGTAGAGAATAATAAAGGTAGGCATTTGGTGTTTTGTCTACCTTTGGGCTGTGGGTGGAAGGTGTGGAAACTGGTGAAAGTTGATAAATGTGCAGAGAAGTGGAGGCGAGTGAAAGATGAACGTAATGGATCAACATGATACAGTTCGGTATATAGTTTTTTGCTGATTTTTTTTACTGATTTTTATTACTTCCTTGGCATGCACTAGTGCTTGCATCCCAGTTCTTGTCATATCAAGTACTACTATACGCCGTAAATGTGGCTTCGTATGGACGCCAATATGTCAATAGCCGGTTGTTTTATACACCCGTAGTGCAGAGAACTGCCTGTTATTAATGAAAGCTAAATAGGCAAATTTGCCCGCTTTACGGTCCAATGTTTCTTTTGCTTTAAGTCACGAAGGGGAAGCTGATTTTCTACGTCTACGGACCATTCCATCTCGGTTTGATTTCCTAGTGTTGGCAATAGCACCTCAAACCATCATTTTAGATCGCTCAATTCTAAGAAGAGACTTGGATACAATTTTCTCATCCTCTTTAGAGCGAAGCTTTAGCCTAATTCAAAGCAAGATCCACAAGGCTAAACAATACTTTCTCATTCCATACATGTCCATTCATTTCCTCTTCAGTGAAAGCAAGTCAAGCTGTGACATGCCTCTCTTCATATCTTTGCTTCTTAATTACAACATAACTGAAGAAGAACTTGTTTCTATGTAGCACAAAACGGATATTCTTTTGACTGAAAAGCTTGCGGATGCCATCAGTAATCTATAGAGTTGCACCGCTATTCTTGTTAACACTGACGACAAGAGCCTTGAAGTTCAGACGGTCGCATATCCATTCCAAATTTTTCTCGCTGTCCTATCTTTTAATCAGGTCTCGAGCTTTTCGAATGTGGGATACTATGATCTTGGCGATTGTAATCTCATAGAATCCAACGATCCTGTCTTTCTGTTCGAAAGGCATACTGCAATTGAAAAAAGGAAAAAATAAATAAATAGATACTGATAATAATGAATGAAAGTGGTGGCATTATCTTGAGGATCGGGAGACAGTGTTTATTCATTTTTCGTCGATTTGAAGACAAAACATTTCTTCATGCCTGACTTTAGAAGACAAACAAACAAACATGTCGTAAAAATGGATGAAAAAGCTATCTGTATTAAATATATACATGCTAAACATGTGCAAATAACATTTGCCAATATATCTTTACTTTAGTGGTCAACGACAGCGTTGTCAGCTACTCTGATATCGAGAGCTAACGGCTTAAAACTGCTCTTAAGCTTCGTAAACCAACAGGATACAACAAATAAAGCATCGGGGCTAGTGGACTGCAAATTGGCGATAAAAGAATATGACAGCTCAATACCATGGAGGAAATGGACCACGACTCGATGAGCCCCTGCCAACAGGGTATAGGAGGGACAATTAACGAGCTGAATTGAGTTCAACCATCACATTCTTTTAAAAAAAAAAAGTGTGTCCCATGTAACATGGTCCGCATTAGTGTTTGTCCAATCCTTCGCGGAATGCAATACAACAAGCGTTGCATCAAGGCACTGTTGAAGATCCTGCTAGGGGTAAGTTGTGTAAGGAAGCATCGCGAGGGTAATGAAGACAGTGCACACACTTCAGTAAGGCGATTAGTGCGATTCCACAACCAACAATGAATATAGAAAGTAGAATCTTTACCTTGTCATGGTGAAGAAGCCAGCAAGTGTCTTTGGGTGCCCGCTCCCGTATATATGACGTCACTGGATTTCGATCCCTGTAGCGGCTGTGTTGTTGAGGCTCTCTTTTGTGCCACCTCCTGAGAACGGGAAAGAGAAAGAGAATCTGGTGAGTTTACTGTAACGAAGAAAAGCAATAGATCAAAATTGACTCTCCTTCCATGTCTATTCCCAGAGGAGAAGAGGGAGAGGGAAAGAGAAAGAGAGTGTGTCTGCAGAGTCCTCTGCCATGAGCAAAACCACGGATCAGGGGGTGAGTAAAAGGATGGATGGTCGGCTCGAGGCCGTGCAAGTATTCGTGATGGGGGAACAAAGTGATCCCATCTTCATATGACAAAGACTAAAGAGGGCTATGAATCCCAGTCGATTTCAAATGACAGATCAGATATTTCCAAAAATAAAAATAAAAGTAATTATGCCATATCTGTAATACAAAATAAAAAGCAGCTCAAGCCATCCTGTTCACATTCACTGCAAACGAATCTTCAGTCAAGTTGCCCAAACTCTTTATCCCATCTCATTCATCATCGGAAGACGTGGTCAAAATTTCCCATGTGTATACCCAGGTTGCAATGTCGTATTGTATCGATAGTATAGTGACAAAGAAGAATGCACAGACAATTTTGGTCCTTGTAACATTCATTGAAAAAAAAGGTTCTTCTATGTTTGTCTTGTTTATAACAAGGAGATCCGTTTTATTTTCTTTCACAAGCACATGTTACGGACAAAATAGCTCCTTTAGCCCATTCATCAGATCCGCGTGTGTATGCATGCGTATCTTTGATATTGAGAGCGAAAAAAAAAATACGACATTACATGATCATGAACTTATTCGCTTTTATCTCTTTTTTTACTTTGGGTTTGTAATGACTTCTACACCTCTTTTATTCTTCTTGGATTTTTGCTTTTCTTTCTTCTTGTCTTCACCTACTTACTGTATCGCCTCTTTTGTTTAAGAACTATCTATCTTTTCATCTTCATACTAATGCCCCTCAAAAATTCTCGCACAATCTACATCAGTAATTTGTCAAATACATCCTTCGTTTGTTAAAATCGCTAGATCGGCTCCCTACAACTTTATTGTTAGCATCCATTTGTTTTTAGGGTCAGATTAGACTCCACACTTGACATAAAGAGCTTCGGATGAAATCATGCAGCATCCTCCACAGAGAAACCCCCCTCTACAGCAACTGCACACGCAAGCCCATCATAACTTGGGACAACAGCAGCAGCAGCAGCAACAGCAACGCGATCAGCTAAGTGGGGCTGAGCATACCCATTCCAGAAATACGACTGGATCGGTACCACTAGAGGACTTTTCTGCCCCTCGTAATAATCATCCTCCTTCTTTCCAACAGCTCACACAGAGCAACGCGATCTCGGGCTTTGGTGGTGGATTAAGCCTCACGATACCCTCGTCACCAAATAATAGTGGCGGTAGCCCTATGCTTTCAGGCCTTGCGTCTGGCGCTGGCGCAGATACCATAGGGAACCATGGCTTTGGGAATAACAGCCATAACAATACCAGTAGCAGCCGCAATGATAATAATGACAATACTATCACTGGCTTCGAGTCCTTAGAATCATTAGCTTCGCTATCTGTACTATCTCCCACACTATCGACACCTGGGGGTAGCGGAAGAAGGAACTCTAGTTCGAGCACATCCACTGGATATTTTTCATCTTCGTTTCACCCGCCACAGAGCTTGCCAATGATATACCAAAATCAGCCAATAGGACCCCTATCCAATAACAGTAATGATGGGAGTGGTGGCGGTGGTGGAGAACATGTTGTTGATAACAATGATAGCAACATGAATGGATCGTATTACAATCAAACAACACCGTCATCATCGTTCCAGAATACATATTACCAAAACTCTACTCAAGATCTGCTTACGTCTCAACAAGGACAGAGGAAGCGGCAACAGGGAGCTTATTACCAACATCAGCAACAGCATCAGTATCAGCAGTATCAGCAACAGCAACCATCGTCGTCTGCTCGTTCGTTACCCTTGCCAGCATACTCTACTTCTTCATTATCTTCATCACTTCCCGTATATTCAACTAGCCTACAACAGTATAGCCAACAGCAGCGGTATCGCCAGCCAACAGTTCTATCGCAGCAACAGCAGCAGGATCAATTTTATCGTTCTTTAGCACAGTCATCAACTCAACAACAACGCTATCATCAGGAAAGCATACCTTTACCCCATCCGACATCTCAAAGCGTCCTGTCCACATCTTCCTTTCCGCACGAGGGACCACCTCGAGCCAGAAGCAAGAGTTTGACTGTAGTCACAAGCACAGCTATGAAGACAAATACGAATGCGGACACCGCAGCTGTTCCTCCTTCAAATTCAGGCTCACAATCAGCATCGTTAGAAACAGCCTCCAGTCATGAAGGCGGTACCAAAAAAGTTTATATTCCAGCACGACCACGGATGATCCCTCCACGTCCGCCACAAACGTCTGCTCCCAGAAAATATCATGGCCGTCAAATACGTAAGTTGTCAGCTCCATCGATTAATCATTATCAAGTGTCCGGGATGCAGGAGCTTGTGCCGCCAGCAAGACGAATGGCCCATATCCAATCAGAGCAAAAGCGACGCGAAAAGATTAATGCAGGATTTGAAGAACTCAAAAGCGTGATACCAGAGTAAGAGATTTTTTTGTGATGGAATATCAAACAGTCTCCTTTGCGTGTCTGTCTTTATGAACATTCTGCATCAAAAATCAATAACCAAACTAAAATTTTAATTCTGGGTTGATCTTCAAACCTTGTGCTGGCAATAAAACTTTCAGGTGTGCACAAAACACAGACTCAAAAGCCACTATCCTTAGGAAAGGTATGTTTATGCTGTCATATGCCTCTTTCTTCCCTACCCCCGAAAAAAAAAAAAAAAAAAAAAAGACGCGTTTTATTTTATTTTTATCCTGCCGCGCATTGACTTTTTTTTTTTTTTTTTTTTTTTTTTAACAGCTGTGGACCGGATATTAGAACTTGAAGATGAATTACGGAAGTATACAGGCGAGTTTCATTATGTGCCCGAGGATTCTAAAGAACGTGAGGAGTAGACGTGTAATAGCCATTGAAATGTATAATTTGTAAATATTTAATAAACCCTACATTTATTTCACATCGTTTGGTTGCACTTGTCGCTGGTTGGCTGATTTTTTTTGACGTACATGTACATGGATAGAGGATTTCTACGACTCTTTGCCGAAATTGGGATCAGTTCGTTGGTCATTGGTCAGTTCTTCATTCACAAAGCGTTGAGAGTCCGGAAAAAATTATATTTGGGCTAACAGTTGCAGGGAGAAAAGAGAAAAAAGAGATTGAGATAAACCTCCTTCGTTACTCAAACTTCATTCTTTCCACACACAGCATCAGTTTTGTGCGTCCATGCTTAAAAAAAAAAAGGGATAAATGCATGTAAAGTTGTCGCTCAACCGCAAAATGTTCGTGGCATTAGCTGATTCCATGCTGCATCTTTGTGTCACAAGGCGCTACTGACTTTGGCTTTGGCTGCACTGCATGGGCCAAGCAAAAATAGATGGTCATTTTGTACAAGTCTGGCTGCTGTACGCGCGTAGTGAAAACACTTTCACTTCATTTCAGCACACAGAGCCCTGTCTCAGTCTTCGCATTCTGTCTCCTCACACTTTGCTCAGCCCGCATAGACCAAGCTGTGCTTTCATATCCAATGCTCTTCTTGACTTGGCTGTATTTTGGCAGCTCAAAGTTTGCTTTGATACTGTGTAAATGAAGAGGTTGGAATTTTCTTTTATGTCTTCCTTTTTCTCCCCAACCCCCTTCTTTTTCTCTTCCCAAATTTGGGGAAACCTCTTTGTTTGGGAACAGCTTGCAACAAGGATTGAAAAGAAGCAACTTAGCCTGTGGATAATTTACAATGTGATGTTGTTCAACAACAACTACCTCTTTTCTTACTGCCTTGCTTCATGTAAACACTTCTTTCGTCAACTTTCTTTCCGACACAAAAAAAAAAAAAAAAAAAAAAAAAAAGCACCTCTTCCTGCATCCTGCACACTTCTGCACTCTGCACTCTGCACTCTGCAAGCAACACTGGCAATTTTATTGTTTTTCTTTTTTTCTGCATCTCTTCTTCTCTCTGCCTTTTCTTTTCCCACTCTCACTAACCTCCTGCTCTAGATCTCCTTTTACAGAACTTCTTGTTTCACATCATTCAGAGTTTTCCATATATATATATATATATATATATATATATATTCTATACTTTTTAAACTTCCCTTCTTTTCATCCTAACCTTGATACTCAGACAGAAGCTTCAATTCTTTATTTTGTTTCTTTAACCAACAGCAGCAACCAACAGCAGCAACCAACAGCAGCAACCAACAGCAGCAACAAACAGCAATACTAACAACAGTAAGAACAAGAACAACTAATCGCATGTTTGTAGTCGACAATTTCATTTCCTTCCATGATCTCACACCATCCGGCAACTTCCTATGGGCATCGTCTTCAATTGAGGCATGTCTAGGCTATGACCCTGAAGAGGTTGTAGGCTGGAATGCATACGATGTGATTCACCCAGAGGACTTTTCCCATGTCAAAGTCGTACATGGGGAGAGTATGATGAATGAAATGGTTGGAACTCAAGTTTTGTTGCGAATAAGGCATAAGAATGGAGAATATGTCCAGTGTATGGTTTTATTCAGTATATGCTACGACTACATCGTCTCATGCTTCACTCTAGTTGATCAGTCAGCAGGAAGCAGTAAGTGAGAAAATTAAAAAAAAAAAAAAAGTCAAATATTTACCCACATTCATATAAACATCGTGCAAGCATGGTAAACCTTATCCAATTGGACCCCTTCCAAAAAAAAAAAAAAAAAAAAAAAAAATAAGAGAAAAGTATTAAATAGTCTGAACGCGTCGAAAGCTCATCTTTGTGCATTTCTGTCGATTGGATACTCCGAGTGGGTCTCACTCCAATGCAAAATGATGGAGAGCTTTTCTTCTTTTCTTTATAAACGGTGCTTGGCCATATTAATATTGGTTTTGCTGATGAATGGTATCTCTAACCTTGATTTTTTTGTTTTTGTTTTTGTTTTTTCTATAGTTCGAAAAGTTGGCACCTATTCTGCTGCAATGACCAGTCTCGTAGGGTCTAAAGAAGAGGTACATCATGGACGACCTTGATTGTTCATTACGATATTCAATAAGTTTGGTCGTGAAGTGTTTTTTGCTAACGGATTGGGATATACGTCAGAGGTCATCGAAAGGTTACATTTCACATTCCACGTTGACTCTGAACAACTGTATTGGAAGTAGGCCTCACGATGTGTCAAAAAAAAAAAAAAAAAAAAAAAAAGTTAACACCATAGGATGGCATCTTGAGATGTGATTGGTCCCTCTTCGGACCCATGAACACTAATCCAATCAGCCAATAAATGCCCCTGGTTCCCCGCTATCATATTCAGTCCCTATCCTTATTTGGAAAAGACCTTTTTCCAGCTTTAATTTCTTGCTTGTATTAAACCATGTCTTTTTCCCCCTGTGACATTCATAATGTAGGAATTTGCACGTATTCGACGCCATCATCAAGCTTTCCGTGCAAACACATGGAACCCTGATAGTCTTGAGTTAGAACCTCGTGTCTGCATGTTACTCAATCGTTTCTCTCGAAGTCTTTGTATCATGTACGCATCTCCATCATGTGAGATGATCTTAAAGATCGATTCTGACTTGGTAGTTGGCAAACCTTTCCTTTTGTATGTACGGTCAGACGATTTGGGTAGATTTGTAGAACAGGTTGATATTGCAAAATCTTCTAGTGCTGTCACTCATATGAAGCTCTGGTTCCAATCACCTGATTCTCGACAAGAAATTCCATGCGAGATCATGTTGTTTGGTGCTGCAGACGGCATGATTGCAATCCTTAGACGGTGCAAACCATTTGTACGGAAATATTTGATCACCGAAGCCCCTCCCTCGGAATACTTTGCAAGCGCGTCATCAGCCAATTCATCATTCACTTACCATACAGACATCAGTAGCGGTTATAACCGCTGTAGCAACAACAACGATAGTTACACCTTCAACGTCGATTCCAATTTCAACGTCAGCAGTAGTTGCAGTAATAGCCAAAGTAACAGCGATTGCAACATCAACAATAGAGGAGATCCTCGTTTAAAATACATGTATAGCATCGATGACAGGAGTGCCCGATATAGGACCAGTAACTCTTCAGTCGAGTCGGCTGCTTCCTCCTATTCCTCATCTACATCTGGGTCATCATTCAATCACTTAGGCCACAGAGCATATGGAGCTCCCTTACGCAATCTGCCTATTGGATCAATTAACAGCATTCGAAACTTGGATAATGGGCAGAATGAACTAAGGCCTCTAACGTCAATAAAGGGCGATGAGGTACAGATTGTGGATTCTGATACAGCATTACCAGAAGGCTACCGGTTACGGAGGCATCATGTCGTCGAGCCTGATGTGGAGGAGACAGGACTGGAGGAATATATCGATTCCCTCGCTCTACACGAGGAGCTTCAAGGAAAGCACTGCAAAGATACTTTCAAAGTACCTCGAGATATTTATACAGGGAGCATTGATGTATTTGATACGGTGGATGATGATGGTTGTAATAGCAAGTATCCGTATTTTGAGGAGGAGTATGAGGAACTGCAGATGCCATCATCACGTGTGGTCAGGTAGTAATCATTGTTAATATCCTATTCCTCCCACCAACATGTACATTGCTTAGAAATATATCGCTATGATGTTAGCAGAGTAAGCTTGAAGAATAAAAAGTACAAACGCATGTTTAAAAAACAAAAGCGCTCAGCCTCTTTTGCAACCTTTTTTTATTTTTCCTTTGAAACTTTATATTAAGCTTGCTGTGTAAAAACAAAAAATGTCCCTCATTGAATAATCTTTTATTTACAGTTATAATACGTCCTAATATTTAATATAAACGAGAAAGCGTTTTTTTTAAGCAACCCAGCTTGACTCCATGTTGCGCATAACGACCTCCTCGCCATTGTTGTCTTCCCTACTCTTGAGGACACCGATCTGATAGACGACTTCGCCCTCAGCTCTGCAGAGTGCAGTGACCTCCTCGACATCTTCAGAGTTGACGACCAAAACCATACCAATACCACAGTTGAAGGTGCGTGCCATCTCGCGGTGTGGTACATTACCAGTGGCCATGATCCACTTGAAGACATCTGGGAAGGGCCAAGTCGAAGCATCGACCTCGACGCCAAGCTCCTTGGGCAAGACACGAGGGATATTATCAATAAAGCCACCGCCGGTGATATGGGCCATAGCCTTGACAAGATCCTTGCGAACCACAGGCAGGAGTTGTTTGACATAGATACGAGTAGGGGTCAAGAGTGACTGACCCAGAGTCTTGGTTTTGTCCCAAGGGCAGGGGGAATGCAATTCCTGGTTGGATTTCTGAACAATCTTGCGAATCAAAGAGTAACCATTTGAGTGTGCACCCGAAGAGGTGAGACCCAAGAGGATATCGCCGGGTTTAATCAGATCCATACGGGGAATGATCTTGTTGCGCTCGACGGCACCGACTGCAAAGCCCGCAAGGTCATAATCACCAGGGGTATACAATCCAGGCATCTCTGAGGTCTCTCCACCGATCAAGGCGCATCCAGCCATGAGACAGCCATCGGCCACACCCTTGATCACGTCCTTAGCGACCTCAACTTCGAGCTTACCACATGCATAATAATCGAGGAAGAACAGTGACTCTGCTCCCTGGACAATTAGATCGTTTACGTTCATGGCAACCACATCAATTCCAATTGTGTCGTGGATACCTGTCATTTGTGCCAACTTGAGCTTCGTTCCCACGCCATCCGTAGCTGAGACCAAGATGGGGTCCTGGAACCCTGCAGCCTTAAGATCAAACAATCCTCCAAACCCTCCAATCTCGCCATCGGCTCCTACACGACGTGTGGCCTTGACAAGGGGCTTGATCTTTTGGACTAATAGGTTTCCAGCATCGATCGATACTCCTGCCTGAGCATAAGTCATTTGGTTATCTGTAGCACTTTGATTAGCCAAGAACTTGAAAGCGCGGTGAGCAATATCGCGACGGAAGAACATGCCCTCGAATGTGATTGAGTTTACTCCTGCATAGGCCTTGTCGACAGCACCACGGAGATCCTTGGCGATGCCTGTGGAGGCCAAGACGCGTCCGCCGGATGTGTACAATGTGTTGTCCTCTTTGAGAGTCGTACCCGCATGGAAGACAATGACGTCCTCATCAGTCTTTTGAAGAGTGATCGCCTTGCCAGTTGGATAAGAGCCAGGGTATCCGCCCGAAGCAACCACGACCGTGGCAGCGAAACCAGGCTTGATACCGACACGGACAGAGTCGAGACGACCTTCTGTGCAGGCCAACATGACCTCGGCCAAGTCGGTATCATCGCTCAATAGAGGCAAGACGACCTCGGTCTCTGGATCTCCAAAACGGACATTGTATTCCAGTACTTTAGGTCCAGCATTCGTGAGCATGATGCCTGTGAAGAGGATACCGACGAAGGGGAATCCATCACGACGCATGCCATCGATCGTTGGCTGCAGAATCGTACGTTTGATATCTGCCAATAGTTCAGGTGTAGCTACAGGGGTAGGGCAGTAGCAGCCCATGCCTCCAGTGTTGGGGCCCTGATCATCATCGAAGATACGTTTGTGGTCCTGTGCTGGAGGTAAGGGGATGACAGTGTAACCATCTGAGAAGGCAAGGATGCTAAGTTCCTGACCGTCCAAAAATTCCTCAACTACAAGCTCATTTCCTATAAAAAAATAAAAATAAAAAAAATAAATAAAAAAAATAAATAAAATAAAATAAAAATAAAAGAGTAATAATACAACATGAGTATCTCCTCATTCCGTTTGAGATGAATATCAAACAAGCAATTTTTTTTTTTTTTTTTTTTTTTTTTTGTTTTTTTGCAAGTCCGACGCTGAGTCAATGATTGGGATGTACATATTAAGAAATCCCCGCGTTTATCTGACGAATGGAACGTGTGCCTGTGCGGAATCCTAACTTTCTCTCAATTGTTGTTTTTCTTTTTTTTTTTCCAACTAAATTCACTTTAAAGATTCTGTTTTCTACCCGGATCCTAATCATAAATGATAAACGACACTAAGAATGGTTTTAAAAACTTACCAGCAGCGCCAAAGACCTTGTCTACCAGAATCTGATCAACACCCTGATAAGCCTCCTCTTTGTTAATAGGGATGAGGACACCTTTGCCAGCGGCCAAACCTGAGGCCTTCAGAACCACACTGAAATCAGCCTTACGAATATATTCCTTTGCAGCGGCGGCATCTGTAAAGTTCTCATAAGCAGCTGTAGGAATTCTGTGCTTCTTCATAAAATCTTTTGAGAACGTCTTGGAGCCTTCCATACGTGCTGCCTTGATCGATGGTCCGAATACAGGGATACCAACTATATCATTTTTTTTTTAAAAAAAAAAATAAATAAATAAAAAAATTGAGATGAGATATAATGATAAAAATGAGAACAATAACTTTTTCTTTGATTACAACATACTCCTCTGGAAAACTGCGGTGACACCCTCGACCAAAGGCTGCTCAGGTCCAGGGACGACAAGATTAACCTAGAGTAATAAGGGACAGTCCTTACAGATTAGCATCCTCAAAAAAAAAAGGAATAAATCAAAGCGCCATTCAATCAGGATTTACGAAAGCAATAGTCACTTACATTGTTCTCAACAGCGAATTTTGTAAGGGCAGGGAAGTCAAGGACACCAATGTTGACGTTCACAACCTTGTTTAATCCCGCACCAGTTCCACCATTCCCTATTGTTATTTCATGCACGAACATAAAAAATAAAAAATAAAAAGTCAGAAGGGTGGGAAATTTTTTTTTATCTGACATGAGAACAGAACAGTAATATATGAGATTAAAAGAAACATACCAGGAGCTACAAAGATACGCTCCACATTTTCTGACTGAGCAAGCTTCCAAGCAATGGTATGTTCACGGCCACCGTTGCCGAGTAGCAACACTACAAGCTTGTCCATGTTTATCAAAAAAATTTAAATCGTTACAAGGATAACTGTGTGATGAAGGGAAACAATCCTTTGTTTTTTATCTTTCTTTTCTTTCTTTCTTTCTTTTTTTTTTCCCTTGGAGTAAGAAGAAAAGAAAAATACAAGGCAAATGTGATAAGGAAGAGGATAGGGTGGAGAAGAAAGTGAGCGTTTGCGAGGATAAGAAAAATAAAAACTCAATTAGGTCGCAAGCATATCTCTGATAAAAAGAGAAAAAAAAAATCAGTGGCTTGGTGTTTATTCATTAGGATATCCATTGACTGATAACCTTAGATCCGCTGATCATTTTCTTTCCTTTTCTTTTTTTTGTTACTATTACATTTTACGGACGTAATGAATATGACTGAAGGCCTACAGATCTATAGAACAGCACGTATTCTTATTCATCTCTTTAAAAACAAAAAGTTGAAAAACAATTGAAGGATAAAAGATGGTTGGGGAAGAATATCTGACTTCAAAGATACTATTCGTTGTACGTTACGCTTTTATTTTCAAAACCAGTCATTACACTACACTTTTATATTTTGTCTTCACAAGGTAAAGCACTATATTTCCTAGCGAGGCAAGAGCTCACCGTGGTGAAGCCACGGTCTCCGGTTCACAATGTCTATGTCTAGAAAATCGTACTAAAGTCCATTGAATGGACACGTGAGAAAAGACACAACTTTATGACTTTTTGTGACTGTTAACATGTTACATTACAACAGTGGTAAGTCAACTTTCCTCCTCCATTGGGCAGTTTAGTTTTAATAATGAAATCAGAGAATGATGAAAAACAAAACAAAGCCCTGACAAAGGTTATTTGTTACACGAACCAGATCCAGACTAGAAACCATTGTCGTAGCTAAGTCCATTATTATTTAGCTTTGTCGTAGGGTATGGGTATTAAAGCTCCAGATTGCCGTAAAATACATTCGTAGAGCTTATTCAAAGATAGGTTACGAAGCCTCTCTTAATCGGGTGGAAACTTCCCTCATTTAATTGACACTGTCATTTTCACCCAATTCATTCCGCTACTTCACCCTTGCTGCTGCGTCTTTGGACGTTTTTAAGGAGGCTCAAGTCTCTGATGATCCTGCATTCGACACCCAAGGGATTGAGGAATGACTATCCACAACTATTCACCGTGTTCCAACTCGAGTTACCAAAGAGGATATGGAAGTAGATGGTTACTATCATATCCCAGCATACTATTCCAATCAGCCCTCGGAATAAAACGCTAGCCACTCTAATATATGAAGGGCGGGTTTATAAAATTTTGTCACCAAGCCCAGTTATAGGGGCCTGAGACAGGTTCCCTTGCAACTTCTTTTTTGTAATGATGAGAGTCGTGCCACTAATCTTCTCTTCCCTGGAGTCTGTTCGAACATTTGAAATATGTGATTCCTACATATAAAAATAGATAAATGTATAAACCGTCAAGATCCATCATTTCCATTGTTTATCCAATTGAGGGCGTTAACAGTGTAGACTCTTACCTTTTCCTTCACTTCCAAGTCATTTTCTGAGCACTCAGCTGTTCCTTGCTGCAAAACAGTGATCGATCAAATTCTGAGTGGACTTTGTTCTTGGCAATGGCAGCAACTTCATCCCGACCCATCATAGAAATTAGCCAAAGCCAGGGCAAAAAGCCGAATTCCTCTTGGGATTGGTTTTAATTTCGATAGACCCTTGATGGTAGAGATAAACGATTCTTCATTCCCTGCGGCCTCTAGAAATACCTTTGCTATTGCTGCCTAATAGATGTAAATTGAATGTGCCCACCAAAACTATGGATGTTTTACTTACAAATTTGTAAAAGAAGAATTGATCTCCCAATCATTGTTGCCTCAAGTGCTTAACTGTGCCAATGAGGGAAGTCCTCACAGCTCTCGCTACCGCCATCCTGAGCTTAAACTTCTCAGGGCGCTTTTAAGATGGCATTTGCGCGAGCCACACCCCACCAATATTTCCGGCGCCAATCACGTCACGATCAAATACGCATCTATGGTAGTATTTTAACCTTAGTAGGGCTTGGAGCGGTTGGTACAGTAACAAACGTACACTGAAGAAATACCTATGAATGCCATCTAGTAGTTCGCCATACTATTGCTGTTAGAGGCAAAGGCTTGAGCATACAATCAATCGGCTTTTGAAGCCTCGAATGGCAACCATTTTTAGATCTGTATAGAGATTCGGAACATACCTCTAGCGATAAAGGGTACACACATCACATCCATAGGGGTATTTATTCAAATTCATATCAAAGCATAGCTACAAGTTTATCTATGGGCATCATAAATAAAGCATCCATGGGAGGTGTTCTCTAGCAACTAGAACGTGTATATTAGGAATCTAGAACGTGTAGTAAACGTTCTTCGATATTTATAAGATATGTTTCTGCAAGATATTCAAGATGTTTTTTACGGTGCTCATACCGTAACACGAATTATCGTTAGTTTGTTTTAGTCACGTGGAGGGGATCGCCACCAACTATAACCAAGAAACTCTTTGGAGAACTGGCTGTTCTCAGTCAGGTAAAGAACCTCATCACTAGCAAAACATGGATCATTAAAGATTCCTTCTTTTGTACCAGAACCATTGGGGTACTGACTGTTCTCGTTCAGTCTGTATTGTTCTCTATTGTGTTTAAGAATAATTTTGTCTTTCTGTAGCTGGAAGTGGCTGGCTTCACAAACCATCAAAAGACCCTTTTATTGAGGTATTGAGAAATGAGGCATGAGTTCCAAATTGACAGCGCATTGATTTACGTATAGGAACATGTCCATTTCTTAGTTGCTCATTTTTTTAAAAAAAACGTTAATTCTTACACATGTGTGAATTCAGATCAACGATTGATTAAAGATCAACAAAGATCAGATCGTGCAGAAGAGATTTGTAATGTCAGGAATGAATCAGGATGAAGGGCAAATGCAATGAGAGAAGCAACGAGGAAGTTCATTTTGCTTCTCATTCCTTCATTCCTAAAATTCATTAACATTTGAATTGCCAAGCTTTTCCTGGATCCTCAGCACTACTCTACTCGCGGGCGGCCTGATCCTTTGCCAGCCAGCTATCAGGATGGGAATGAAGTCTTTCCTCGAGAGACGTTCGAACGGTCCTGCGACAGATACTTGCTCTACCTGACGGTCAGTGAGTACCATCGCCAGTACCTCGAGCAAGAACTAAACAAACTCCCTGAGGATCAAAAGACATGGGAGAAATGTGAGACGACTTTCCTTAAAATTGTCTTCACAGAACAAGAACGTATGTCACAGTTCAAAAAACTTCTTGAAACTGGTCGCGGTGCACGCGAGACATACCATTAGTTCGCCATGCGTGTGGACCGAGACGTGCATGCATATGGTGTCAGCGATGACAACGAGATGGCCATATCCCTCCTGACGGCCACAGTAAAGGCTTTCATGCATGACATCATGATCATGAGGTTACAAGTCCTCAAGCAAGAACCTGTGCTCGCCTTTAAGTCGATTTCCGTGTTCACGAGGATTCTGGGAGGGCTCACTGGTTCCCATATCCCACAAAAAACCGTCGGCAATGACAATCCGTCACCTTATCGCCGTGCACGAGCGCCTGACTATGAAAGGTTTAATCCTAAGGGCAAAGCCCACAATGAAGAGGCCAAAACAAAGCTCCTCTATGACTGCTAACCATGTGGCAAAAGTTTCTCTCATAGCACGGAAGGACACAGACAATGTTCGAAGTGCAATACACGAGGACATCTGGCGTCCGAATGCACCAGACACATCAATAGATCTGGTAAAAATAGTCTTAATTTAAATAATAGTCCTTCATTGAACAAGCAAACAGCCACTAATATTAATACACAGGCCCCAACAAGCCCGCCTCGGCCAATCGTTAACCGAGTAGATCTTAGTTAGAAGAATATAATAATAAAAACGCAGGAACTTCAGTGTATCCCAAAAATATACTAGCTCTACCTCATCGTGCTCAAACATATCGAGACCCATTTCTCTTGAAACCACCATTGATGATTTTTGACACTTAGCCTAGAATCTCTAGAAACAATCGATCCTAGAACATTACTTTGGCATGATCAATGCGTCACTGCTACACTTGCATTCAAATTTACACCCGTATCTTATCATATAAAAGATTCATCTTTGTCCTTCTCGAATGCTACTCCTAACGATGACATCCATACCTTGGCCAAACTCCATCTTTATCAAGGGAGGACTGACAGAAAGATCATAGTTTTTGTTCACTTCGAAGGGGAAAGTACGAAGCTTTGGTTGATACAGGCGCAAGTGTTACATGTGTCCGAAAAGACATTGTTCTTAAATACAACAAAGTTATCTCTCCTGTTTCAGGTGTTGTCACTCTAGCTGATAAAAGCTTAACAATCCCCCGTATAGGATTGGCCGAAAATGTAGAACTCGCGTATGGCAGTAGGAACGTGTCTGCGACATTAGAGGTGATCAATCGATCATACCCCCCTTATCATCGGGGCAATGGTGTTGCTGAAAACCATGTCAAAATTCTATGTCAAATGATTAGAAAACAAAGGCGTGGATAGTCATGCTCCGTTTGTCCAACTAAGTACCAATACTCGAATAGTGAGTCTCCACAACTCCTCCCCTTTTTCTCTATTTTTTGCGCGCAAAACCAATGGCTTCAGCAACTATACCGATATGGATAGCAAACCAATGGGTCAAGAAGAGTTACTTGAAAGACTCAAATATATGACGGAAATGGTCTTCCCCGCGATTCGACGTAAGTTTAAGCGAGCTCAGCAAAAAAATGATAGAATGCTTTAATGCCACTATGCTTCTGAAAGAATTCCCTGATAGAGTTAAGATCATGACTCTCGATCCGATCCGTGGTAATAAACTTACTCCGCGCTATGAGGGGCCCTACACTGTCGTGAACAAGAGTTCTCATGGCTCCTATATTCTTACAGGCACAATTCTGGCCAGACATTGTGCTCCATCTCTATTGAAACTTGTACTTGATGGCTTTGAAGATACTGGCACATATGAAATGGATAAGGTTGTTGATTGATCATCGGCAGTGCCTCGTCTCCTCACGAGTATGAATACCTTACTTTGGTGGAGAACTTTTTTCAATTGTTACTAATATAGAAAGGCAATTCGCCTTTGCACGTGGCTTCGACCTCAACGTATCTTAAACATGATCTTAAGGGGAGAGAGAAGAAAGTGACTCGCATTATCGTATGTGTTAAGAATATCTATTTACATCGTAATTTCCGAAGGGCTTCGGAGGCCTTACCATTCGCCATCACATCTTTTCAATTGTCTTTCTCCTCCCTTTCCTTGTTTGTCTCATCACATCACAACCATGGCTAAATCGGCTTTTTGGAACACGGTTCGCAAGGCTCTCACTGTGGTATACACTCGTACAACATTCATACTTTATTTGAACATCAGACTCTTCAGCCAACCAGCCTTGATGGAAGCAAGCATGGCATGTTGAATAACGCGACTTTCTCGGCTGTAACCTTTTTTTTTTGTTTTTTTGTTTTTTTCTTCTACGATATCAATAGAACCCCAAAGTTTCGACGGGTATGCCCGATCCAAAGGAATTCCGTTTTATCGCACCTGGGTAATAATAAGATCACTAGTGTTTTTTATTTTTTTTAGGACAAACAAAGGAGCAGCTGTCATTGGATCGTGGGATATATATCTGGATTAACATAGTCATCATACTGTTTCTTTATATTAATTGTCATAGTGGTCAGCCCCCAACCTTCGTTCCCAAGGATCCCTTGGCTAACGACATTGCACAGAATCCTTACTATGGGCGTGATGTCAGGAGAAACTATCCCCGTTTGGCGGTTTACTCCCAAGAGGAGGTTGCAGGATTGATTGCTGCAAAGGAAGCTTTGGCGTAAGTCATCATTTTCCTTTTTTTTTTTTGTAATTATTATTAGCTCTCACACATTTATGGGTGGCTTTACAAATGCAAGGAAAGGAAAGACAATTATGATGCCTTCGGTCGTAAATCAGCTTCAATTAAAAGGAGAAACTTTCTATTCTATTGTCATCTTGATCTTTTTGGACGGGATCAATTTTCATTAGCATTGGATCTGGCGAGTCTGCTATCACCAAAGCTGCTGAGAATGTCTCCTTGACTGAGGTGATCAAGTCTGTAAAGTCGCCCCTGTACACACCAGACAACCTCCCACCCACTCCTGTTATTAAGAGTAGCAGGCATAAATGGGTCCTCTCTCCAGACCAGCCCCCTGTTGATCAAGGTAATGATCATTTAAGACTGTGAGCTTGGAATTTGAATCAATTGATCATGCCTTTTTTTTTTTTTTTTTTTTTTTTTGCAGAGACTGATCTCATTGTATTTACTTGCTGATTTGTCACTTGGATGAATAGGCACCTACTGGACCATGCGTAATATGAAAACTGCCAAGTAAAAAAAAAAAAAAAAAAAAAAAAAAAAAAAGACCGGAAAGGAGAAAACCAAGTGAAACTCTTTACCATTGTCATGTCTCATCATCAACTATATCCGAGTTCCAAGAAACCAGCGACATCAACCATCATAAAAAAAAATTTTGCCCCCCCCCCCTAGACGATGTCCAGGCATACGATTAGATATAAATATATATATAAATATAAAAGTAAAGTGAAAAGAAAAGTAAAAGTAAAAGAAAAATATATAGTGGATAATAAAAGGTGTAGTGCAATCCAAAGGTTCCGAGAATGTGTGATTCTAATATTCTCGCCGACCAAGATATCATCGGGATTCACATTCATAAATCTGCTATTTAATCTGGATTGGAGCTTTTGTTTTTATTATGATGCGACCTATCATGCGGTGACTGAACTGGTATAAAAAAAAAAAAAAAAAAAGAGTGAAGGAATGGACTATGAAATTACTTCTACAGTTCATTGCTAAATTCTTTTTTTTTTTTTTTTTTTTTTTTCCTTCAACCGAATTATCTTCTTGCTGCCCGCTGATATAGTTACATCATGAGATACTATAGTATTATACATTTGCTGCTCTTCCTGATCTTGCCACTTATGACAGTTGTTGTGGCCTCTACCGCTGATGAAGTGACCACATCTCCTTCCATTAACAACGCCAACGATGTGTTGATCCCTTCAAGAACTGCTCTTCAATCTAGAACAAACGCCCCTCAGTCTCGACAATTAGTTGTTCCATCGCCAATCCCTTTTTCGAGCGAACAAGGCTTATTTTCGCAGACTAGAACGGATGCGCCGTTGACGATGATTGAAGAAACTGATAAAAGTATCAAGAAAACTTTTGATAGAGTGAGGCATGGTAAAATAATCAGACGGCAGAATGCGGCTCATATGACTGCAGGGGCTAGAGTTGGGAGCCAGGAAGCTGTGATGACAGACACTGTCATTCTACCAATTATCAACATCCGACCCCATGCAGCAGAAGCTCAAGGGGGGGGAAAGGCAGCGGTTTGTAACTGCCCGTTGGTGTCTTCCATTCCAAGGTTATCTCGCGCTCCGGCACGACTCTTGTTGGGACGGTCATACCAAGGTTGTGATACAATTGCAGCAGATAGCTGGTCAGGACACGACGATGATGAGGCTTGTAAAAAAGGACATAGCAGAGGCCGTCGCCCTCATTAAGAAAAAAAAAAAAAAAAAAAAAAAAGGACCCAAAGATAGTTTTTTTTTTTTTTTTTTTTTTTTTTTTCGATAGTATGAAACTTGCTTTTATTTTATATGACCAACAACACTTTTCCCTCTGAGACTATGATGGGCAAAGCACATGAGACCTCACATCTTTTACTCTAGTACACTGCAATAAAAGCAAGGCCAAATAAAAGCTTTTTTCTATGGTCTTGGGCTTTGCAGCAGATCCTGCTTTAACGTTTTTTTTTTTTTTTTTTTTTTTTTTTTTGGCTTAATGAATATTTATGCAGAAAAGGTTGAAAATAAAATAAAAAGGATTGTGCCACAAACAGCAGGGTCACCATCGAACAAATTCCTCGATATAAATGTCGCCTCTTCTGTCTCTGAAAAATATCAGCCCTTTCGCTCCTGTTTAATATTTCCAATCGACAGTTTGAGAAACGCGTGAGCATGAGTGTACAAAGACTTTAAAGTTATAGGTCTGTGCTTTATTTTTATTTTATTTTTTTTTTCAGGTACAGAAAGGGGGACTTAACTAAGCCCATTCAAACTTGGACTACAGCATCCATGGCACTGTTGAGTGGTGGTGATCGCATCTGTTTGACATGCACGTTTTACTTGCCCAAACATCGGAATATTTCCTCTGTGGATTAGTCAAGCGATTGGCAGATGGTTGAGACAGGCACATTAAACGTTTTAAATTTATTTAGTCCTACTTGGGGATCTTACACCTTAATCTGATTTTTTTTTTTTTTACTTCTTTCACTTCTACTGCTGTGCTTGTTCTCGTTACCATTGTCATTGTAGTTATGCGAGAGAAAGGAAAAAGTAGAGACAAGGCACAGTCGGGGTTTGTAAGATCTCCTTTATACTGTTATATTTTGCCTTGTTAAATTTTCATTGATGAAATGGATGGCACTCTTGCGCAACCAAAGGAGTGAAAACTGGAAGCTTATCATCAAGGATTTGTTTCTGTACTAGCACTAAGCGAGAGTTCTGCAGCTACGGAACGCGTGTGGGGCGGAGTATCATCCGCTTTCGTACCCTCAGTGGTGCCTAGCTCTGGGCTGGTCACTTCAGACGATGAGTCAGACACAGCCATCTCAGACACCTTAGACACATCAGACACGGAAGCTATGGAAGCACCCTCTGCCTCTAGAACCAACTGGAAATCAGGCCTCAAGATGCTACAGAATGCCGAGATTGTTTCTGATGGATCGTCCTCAAGTTTTGAGAGGTGAACATGATGATGGAAACAGTGCTAAATTCAGAAGGATCTCAAGCTCGTCACTTCGCTACCAATGGTCGGTCGTTCTTGCCTTATATCGAATACCGTCACCTGCTTGAAGAGAAAAGCTCAGGAAAGTCGCATACGACTACGGAATTGATTCAATCTTTCAGCTTGATGGAGGGAACAATGCATGATATTAGTTTCATGTTTTACTCGCAATTGCCTTTTTATATATAAAAAGGATAATATATACTAAAATATACTATAGCTTGTTGAAACTCTATGGATAGCGAGGAGTCAAAGAATGAAAAGCAAGCCAGAGAAAAGAGGACAGGAGTCGTTGGTGGCTAGAGTGAAAAAAAAAAATACATGTTATCAAATTCCTCATCTCGGATATTGCAGAAAGTTTCATTCTATACAGGCCATTGATCTTTCAGCCACGGAGGAAATCATTCAATTAAAAAAAGGATTGCTAGAAATAAACGGTAAAAACAAGTCAGGCTCCGAGTAAAGCCATACTGTGATCAAGAAGAGAATGGAGTAAGGAAAAAAAAAAACGACTAATGCTCATGTTTACAACGTGCATCACTTTCAAGAGCAATTTTTTAAAAAAAGGGAAAAGGGAGGAAGAAAGGGGATCAAGCGAGGAATGGAAAGGGGAGAACTTGTGCAAGTAGGGAAACGGAAAAATTGGCACAGCTCTCATGCTTTTTTTATATTATGCCGCTTTTTTTTGGGACGAGAATAGCTTAAAAAAAAGAAAAAGAAAAAAGCATTGCTCATTTTCTGTGCTCACAACATGACTAAGGGAAGCTCATGTAGTATATCAACGAAGAAACAAGGAAAATAAAAAAAATAAAAAAAGGTCGTTTTTCTTTTTCATTGGAATGGTATCGTTATCGCCTGTGTGATACGGTGTAAATGTACTTGTTTTTTTTTTTTTTTTTTTTTTTTTTTTCATCTACGATCTGAATTCGAATGGCAACCGTTTCTTGAAAGATACTAAAATAAATAATAATGCTTAGAGAAGCATAGTTGAACGTTCTAAAGGAATAGCCTTTTTTTACCCCTATCCATTTAATAACTGCATCCCGATACTATCAGCTGACAGAAAGATGAATACAGCGTCCTTTTTTCAGGAGGAAAAAAAAAAAAAAAGAAAAAAGAAACAAAGCAGTAAACCGCCATCTTAATGAAATGAATAACTTTTGGAGTCGCTCTTTTATGATCGATAGCCTCAAACGCTCACAATCTTTTCCTTTTACCTTTTTACCCTTTTTTTTTCCACCTTGGTGCTGTTTTAATAGCAACTTGCATGGCAGGGAGGTGACGACAGATATAACCTTGGTAGAAGGGATGACAAAGACAAGCTTAAAAAAAAAAGAGCTAAAATAAAAATAAAAAAGAAAAAAAGAAAAATAAACAAGTTCTGCACACCAAGTTTAATACGTATATTTATATATTTATATATTTATACATATTCATCACGATACATGCGTGTATCAGGGGAAGGAGATTGCAGATCAAAATTTAAGCTCGTTCAGGATGACAAAGCCTTTCTTTCATGTTTCATTACCTTTTGGAAGCAAGGGGAGCTGCATTTCGTTTAAGGATCCCTTGCTCACACAAGCATTAATCGACAAAAACGGAACTTTGGTGCTATGCTCTTTTAGGATTTTAAAAAACAAAAAAAACAAAGAAAAATAAAAAACAAAAAGAAAGATGCATCAAGCCCCGTCATTGTAAACCTAAAGTATATAAGATAAATGAGCAGGGGTGAAGAAGAAGAAGTATAGAAGAAGAAGAAGAAGAGGATGAACAAACAAGAAGATGAAAGAAGAAAGAAGAAAAAGGCAAAAAATAGACTCAAAAAAAAAATCAAGAGTAGTAATATGAAAGAAAGAATGAAGGAAAGGAAAAGAAGGAAGGAAGAAAGAAAATGCCGTTTTTTTTTTAGTTGAATGAATGCCCATGTCGATGCACATAAATGAATGTATCGACAGATTTGTTATACATACAAGAGCAGCTCGTCTTAGATAATGTTCATGCTTTGTTAATTTGTGAAAGAGCGATCCCACTCTGTTTAGGCTAGACAAGAGCTTAATCAATTGATGGCCCCAAAAAAAAAAGAAAAAAGAAATTTTAAAGAGCAAAAAAAAAAAAGCAAAGACCTAGATATAAAAAGGATTTCTTCTTTCTTTCTCTTTCTTGGTCATCCTTCATTTTCTGCCCACTTTCTCCTTTTTCTCTTTTCCTCGTCCCTCTTCCTCTTCCTCTTCTCCCCCCACACATCTTATCTTGTGAATCCATCTATATTTCAAACACTTGCATTCCATTCTCATCTCGCGTTCATCCTTCTGCTTCTCTCTTTTCATTCTTTTTCTTTACGTCGCTCTTATTCTTTAGCAACATCCATTGACCCCATCCTACTTTTTCCTTGCTTTTCTTCTTTTCTTTTTTTTACGGTTACACTACTTTTTTTCCTTTTTTCTTGTTCTATCTGAATCAAATTGTACAATAATGGCTCCTCAAATTGCCTCAATCATTGTCGAATGCAGGTCTCAGGAACAGCTCGAACAGATCATTCAAAATACTAAAAAGGTTGTTGTGCTCTACTACAGCTATGCCATGCCGTAAGTCATCAATACAGTACAAAAGGAAAAAACATTGCTTTTCATATAGATCTTTGTGTCAATTGAAAAAAAAAAAAAAAAAAAAAAAAAAAGGCATGGATTGCTTTTTTTTATGCTGCGCTTTTTTTCTTTTTCTTTTCTTTCTTTCCCTTCTTTTCGATGTATCGGAATCAAAAGTGTTTGTAAAAGGAAGCTTGTCCTTATTTCATCCTTCCCAAAATAACTTTTTCGACCACATGGTTTTCGGTTACACATGTACAAAAGAACGCAAAGAAAAAGAACGTGGAAAAGTACACAGAATGAATCGGTTTTGCTGTGTACATCTCATCGCTTTTAAAAAACCAGCTCACTTTTTAAAGCCAAATACATTTGCCACCGCTTTTCTCCACATCCGAGATAATACAAACCTACATTTATATATATACATTACCGTTTTTTTTTTTTTTTTTTTTCCTCTCTTGGTTCCATTTGCTTACAAATCAATCTTCTTTCCTCGCTTTCCTAGTTGGGGTAAAATTGCCGAACACAAGATGCATGTATGCGCTCGGGCATTGGAGAAGGGCAACATCACGACCATTCCTTTTGTTCTTGTAAATTACGCAGAGTTTTATGAGTATGGAGGCAAGATCGAAGTTCAACCCTCTACTATGATTAAATATGCAGCATACGTAGATGGTGTCGAACGACAGACAACAGGAAACAGTGCAGAGCTCGAGGGTCTCGTGACAGGTCTTCTCTGATTTAAAAAAAAAAAAGTGAAATAAAAAAAAAGGCAGTTGCAGGATGCGACCACTCAAGAGCAAAACATTACTACTATATCATATTTATTATCAACTGTTATCCTACCCGATTCAGTGAACATGTCTTTTCAAGTCTTTTGAACACTAGAACATTATTTTTTCTTTTTATTCTACTATCTTTACAACAACCATCCACATCTATATTATATACAAATAATCTTAACGATGAAGACAAAAAGGGTTTCTTTTTCTTTTTTTGTCAAAGTAAGCCTCGATCTATCCTCGATATACCAGTTTATTCTTCTATCTTCACTGCCACAATAAACAAAAGAGTCGCAGATGGATTAAATTAGAAAAAAGTTTTCTTGATGTTATATTAAATTCATGGGCTCATTCATGGGCAAAAAAAAAAAAAAATCTTCGATTTGCTTTTTTTTTTTTATTTTTAATATAATCTGTTTGGGAATGAATTTTCAACGCGTGTTTGTTGTCATCAATTAAATAAATAAATTAGTAATGGTATAATACTGAACAGAGAAGCACATACGCGTGTAATAAATGGTGTGTAGATTATCTCAGCCCCGATAGTTACAGCCCTGCGCATTTTTCTGTAACCTGATCTGGAATTGGTTGGGTAAGAGGGAAAAAATAAGATGGAGAGTGATCTTGCTGACAATGATCAGTGCATGCATGCACGTTTTTATTAAACTCTTTGTATCTCTCTTTTTCAGCTGCGCAAATTAAGCTTGGGCCATGTGTCATGCATATTGTCCATTACAGAAGAATTTGCGGTGTGGAATGCCAGACAAGCAAACTATTTCGAATGATTTTGGACCAAGCATACTCATGAGGTGGCTTGGAATCAGCAAAAGCCTATCTCTAAAAAAAAAAAGATCGCTTCTTTATCCATCCCACCTTTGCCTCCTGTTTTCTGGTTTTGCCTCAATCCTTTATTGCCCTTACCTTGTTTTGTTTTCTGATCAACTAGCTCACTGACTCACCATATTATTAGGACACACTCTCATTTGACGATTACAACACTTAACCAAGAAACATGCAAGAAAATGGCCAGGATACTGTACCTCCTTGGCAACAGCAACAGCAACAGCAACAGCAGCAGCAGCAGCAAGCGTTTATGGGAAAATACACCGACACGTTTTTAATAGTCGAAATGAATTCCTTTAGCCTCTCGATCTTCAAAGTTACCGCAGCCTTCACACTACTCCAGTTCATCCTGTTTTACGGTACATGGTTCTTGTTTCCGGAGCTTTCAAAGTACCGCAACAGGCTCGCTTGGGGCTTGTATTGCTCAGTAATATTTCTGGTCCTTTCCCTATCGGAACCGGTCAATGTGAGGACGACTGTCTTTCATAGGTTGGGCCTAGGTCTAGCCGATGTCGAAGCAGCCACTGTATTTTCTACATGGACTCCAAAGTTCTATGCGTGGGTCCAAAAGCTGTCTAATCTTCCTCCAGGACTTGAGCTCAGATCTGGATTCGAACCATTGTTACTTGCAAGAGGCCAGGAGTATGATCGGAGAAGCCTTCGACCTTGTAGGCAATACCCTGCAGTGGTTTACCTCATTGCCTGTCTTTTCGTTAGCACCATTGGAACCAAATCTAGGCAGGGGTAGCCGGTTTATCTTGGGCATTATCCACTTTGCCTTGTTCTGCATTGAAGATATGATTATTAGAGAATATATTTGTTCCAGGAGACGTAGGGGCTATTAATGAGCTGGTTTTATCGCGTTCTTTATATCGCACCCGCATATCAGCGGGCAGCTGTCAATGCTCCTTCTATATCAACTGAATTTATTATCACCATGGAAGGTCAGTGCCACGATACCCAACGAAGATTGGAAGATACCCAAGGACAAATTCCAGAACGCAAAAATTTCTGTGCATTTGGAAAAGCAGGATTTCTTTCGCTCTCTCACCCCCCTTTTTTTTTTTAAAAAAAAAAAAAAAAAAAAAAAAAAAATTGATATAGGCTGGATCATCAGTTTAGCTGGAGGTATCATATCAAGACCGCGAACCATTTTCCGGTTCCTGTTGACGTTCATCATGATCAGTAACTTTTACAAGCTCTGCATTTGCCAGGAAAGGCTTTTTAATTACACAATACACTGGTATTTGGCGACTGCATATGGGCTGATCTTGTTGCATGACTTTTGGTCCCCAATGTTTTCCCAAGGAAGGGCGCGACGTGCATAAGGACGATAACAAGAACAAGAGCAAACATGAGAGTGAGGCAGCCACTACCTCCCAAACAACATCAGCAGAGAAACATGGAAAAACCCAGCTTACCAGCTGTTGATTCCATTCTTGTAGGGAAGCCGTTACGACTCCGTTTCAAGAATAAACAGATAGAGCAAAAACCATCAATGGATTTCTTTTCGCGTACCTTACATCGCAAGGTTTTAGCAGAATAAAGTCGCCTGCACTGTGTGTAGAACGAGACACTGATGAAAAAGGGGCAATTGGGGATTTATCATGCACATGTATATATTTTAGAAACTAAGAATGCTTGTGCCATTGTTGACATTGACCAAGAGAGGTTGCACAAAATCCCTTCTCTCTCCTATCCTTGGTTTTTTGTCTGTTCCCTGTTACCCTTCCCTGTTCCCCTACTCCCTGTTACCCCTGCTCTGCACGACAAAAACCAGAACACAACATGGTGACATGCTTTAAGACTTTTTTTATTTTTATTTTCCTTTGCTTTGCATAATGGAAAGTATAAAGCAAGTTTCACCTCACGTAATGTCCATGGTATGTCTGTTCCTGACAAAGCTTGGCTCATATTGTGTTTCGTATGCTATCATATGCATTTAGCACTAAGGCTCATGCACTGTATGTACAAATATATACACCTAAAGTCCATGGATGTATTGCATTGCATTGATAACGGTAAAGAAAAGGCAGGTCCTGTTATTTTTTTATTAGTTCTGTTGCCCATGGACCACTCCACCTCCCCAACTCTTGAAAAACACGTTTTTTCAAGGTTTTCGTCATTGTCTGTGACTTTTTTTTTTTTTTTTTTTTTTTTTAATCAGAAGTATACGTTTCCATGTTTGATTAAAAAAAAAGAGCCTAGATGAACAGAACAGTAAAGATGCTAATTGCGGAAAATGACAGGAACAAACCTTGCATTTCCAATAAACTGAACAGATTTTTTTTATTCTTTATGCTTTATTCTTCAACTGGGTTGTGTAACGCAAAGGAAGGAAGGAAGGAAGGAAGGAAGAAAGGGCGTCTCTGTGTTTTGTGCGCTTGTGTCTATTGTTTTGTGAACATCCTGACACTATTCATTGTCTGTTAACGATAATGTTACCTGTTCCAAAAACAGGTTGTGGAGGAAATGATGTTATATATATACTGATTATGATGCTTGGAGCAAGGAAAAAAAAAAAAAAAAGGGATCAGGGCAAAATAATAGGAAATATTATCGTTGTTGAGTGTGTGTGTGAGGAAGAGAAAGAGAGAGAAAGGACGATTAATGCATGACACGGGTGACCATGCGTTTTTTTTTTTTTTTTTTTTTTTTTTTTTTGCCCTGCCCGTCATTTGGAAGGTGCAAGGACACGGATACGAAAATGAACATGAGCACAAATATGCAAGCAGATGCATGGTTGAGTTGATTGATGAGGAGAGCAAACGGTTGATGTGTGAGAATAAGGAGTGGGGGCAATGGCAAGGCAGGGAGTAGTGGTCTATGGTTCACGTCGTGCTTTTGACTTTTTCCTGCACTGGATAGAGTACAAATGTCCCTCCTCTGTTTCTGCCTTTTTCTCTTTTTTCTCTTTCTTCTTTTCAGTTCGCTCCTGCAACTAATCACTTCCAATCCGAAACAAATAATACACCCATCGACTCTATCACACCCTCACCCTGCTCCTCATCCCATTCTGAATTAGTTTTGGCCTAGCACCATTCTTCAATTGTACCATCCTCATCCATCGCATTCATAAAAAAAAAGAAGCAATGTCTCCACAACCCACAGTCCTTGTCCTCGGTGGCGTCGGTTTCATCGGCCGTAATTTTGTTGCTTATCTGGTTGAGAACAACCTGGCATCTGAGATCAGGGTCATTGACAAAGTCCTCCCCCAAACTGCTTACCTTAACAAGCGGATTCAAGCTGCGTTCGAAAAGGTCGAATTCATGCAGGGAAACCTCTCCAACGCAGGTAAAAAAAAAAAAAAAAAGCTCCTTGACGTATAAGGATGGGGAGAAGAATAAGAGAAATAATTTAAACGCGTTCTATTTGTTGTGTTTTGTTTGGTATCTCCTATTGCGATTGCTGTTGATGAAGATGAACTATACACTAATGATATTTATATTCATCGTTACTATACTAGCCTCTATTGAAAAGTGCTTTACTCGTCCAGATGGTTCTTCATTCGACTATGTGATCAACCTTGCAGCAGAGACCAAGTTCTCACAGCCTAATGAGGTAATTTTTTTTTTTTTTTTTTTTTTTTTTTTACAATTTACCGACAGATATTTCAAGAACAAAAGACCAAGGGACCCACAGAAAAAGAAAGGAAGTGAGAGAAAATGAACTCAGTCTACTTTACTTCGGCACGATTTCAAACAACGTGGCATTGCCAAGGTCTTAGAAAGGGTACCGGAGTGTGAGAAAAAAAATTAGTCCGCATGCCCTTATTTCGAGCCCAGGAGCTAAAAAGAGATGGTTGTGTCACATCAATGTTCGTTTTCTAGTATTCGAAGGGAGAAGAAAGGGCTCTTTTGGGGGAGAGGAGGCGAGAAAAGATAGGAAGGGGCAAAGTACCTTTTTTTTTTTTTTTTTTTGTTCTCAATGATATATCACTAGAAGGCATTCCACTATACAATTGGACGGGAGGTTTGAACCATATTGTCGGATCGTAAAGCTTGCCAATTCAACTCCCCTTCCTATTTTTTTATTATTATTATTGTTATTATTATTACTGTTATTACGATTATGGTTATGATTATGATTATTATCTGTGAAGTAACTGTCATATTCAATAGCGAATGTCGCATAGCTTCTACTTTGATATCCTCCCCTTGAATAGACCATTCTCTTTATTCAGCTGGAGTAAAATGGGTTTTTTTCTTTTTTTCTTTTTTTTTTCTCCGCATGGAGGCAATTTTGTACTACACAAAACTTTAACAACGTTCTAAAGTTACGCAAGACATGAGCATGTAAAAAAAAGATACTTTGGCCAATGACGTACTGAAATGAGACTAATTGGAACTACTCCTAGATTTATGAGGACCGCATTTACAGACTGTCGATCAATTGTGCCAAGGAAGCTGTCAAGCGAGGAGCAAAGATTTTTGTCCAGATGTCGACAGGTGACATCTACGAGAGCAGTGGTGTAAGTGACGTATTGTTAGGATTTGTGCATTTTTAATTATTTTTGCTCTTTTTTCTTTTCCTCCTCTCCTCATGTCTTTGCTAATCACAATGTTTTTTTTTTTATTTATTTTTTTTAGGCTGCTAGCAAAGAGGATTCAAAGACAAAACCATGGAATACGATTGCGGAGTATAAATTAAAGGTCGACAAAGAGCTCCAGAGCATGGAGGGGTAAGTCTTCTTACTAGTGAACAAGAACCAAAGTTTGGCAGCTTAGCAATCAAAAAAAGTTTCTGTGTGTTTGTGTGTGTATAATTTCGTTCATCCATCTGTTTAAATTTTAAAAAATTATGCTTGAGGAGGAGAGTTGGACATGAGCCAAGTCAGTTATCAGTTCTTGCGGATCGGGCCCAAAGACATTGGAAAATTCCACGTGTGACACGCCACTGAACCTTTTTCTTATTAATTTTTTTTTTATTTCTTCCCTTCTAGACTTAACCTCATCATTCTGCGCCCAGCAGTCGTATACGGAATTGGCGCCATGGGTGGACTCAGTAAGTGAGATGCACTCGATCTCAGATTCAGGATCAACAGCCGACCAATCAAAGTCGAACTGGTGTAGGAAAAAAAAAAAATTTAAAACATTACATCTAATGACTTTAATTTTTACCCATAGCTCCTCGCTTAATTTGTGGTCGCGTATACCAACATGAGAAAAAGAAGATGGAGTTCTTGTGGACAAAGGACCTGCGCATCAATACAGTTCATGTTGAGGATGTTTCACGGGCGATCTGGCACACCGCCAACTGGTATATTAGCAACAACCAGACTGGATCTGTCATCTTTAATCTTGCAGACGAGAACGATACCGGTACATTTTTTTTTTTTTTTTTGTATATTATATATATTTATATCTTTACAAATGACATGTACGAAATGCCAGGACTAAAAGCAGCTTTGTTTATTCCTTTGTTTGTTTATTCGACACTTTTGCAGACCAGGAGGCTGTTAACACACACATCCGTGCCATCTTTGGTATTGAGACAGGATTTCAGGGCAAGCTTGTTTCCCAATTTGCCACAGTAAGTTTGATAGGCTTTGCGTAAGCAAATCTTGTCATAAGAACTGATTTCTCGCCATCAATGGAATTGAGAATATTTGCCAAAACCATTAACCTTTTTTTTTTTTTTTTTTTTTTTTAATAGTTAAACATGAGAGATGTAACGGAAGAAATCAATGAGGTTCACCTGACACCTTGGTCCGATATCTTGAAGGAACACAATATTAAGACATCACCATTAACTCCATACCTTGACCAAGAATTGCTCTGCAATAATGCGTTGTCCCTAGACGGATCCAAAATCTGCACAACAACCGGCTTCACGTACGAACATCCAAAATTGACAACAGAGAGCCTGCAAGAGATCATTACAGATTTCCAGGAGCTGGGTATCTGGCCTCGCGACGATTGATAGTATATAATATATATAGATGCAATTGAAAACATTCACGCGTTTATTCCCTGATAAAAAAAAAACTTTTTTTCCCGAAAATTTTGTTATTCCAAATCTTTCAAAAGTCCAGAACGATAGAGCGGGTAATAATAATAAATATATAAAAAAAAGACTTTAAAGTCAGTGTATTTACATAGTATACGCCTTTTAACCAATTGATTGATGAAAAAAAAAAAAAAAAAAAAAAAAAAAAAAACTATTATAGACAAGAGATAGGGTATTCAGTAGTCATGTGTAGCCATAAAAGAGGGACAACAAAAGTAAAAAAAAGTTCGGAGAGAACTCCTACAGGCTCACAAGGATGAACAAGTTGATCTAATGTCTTCCAAAGTGTCCCTTCCATCGTTCGCTCTCTACTTTTTCATCCCATTCCTGGATTCTTTCTTCCATTCCCTTGACGTCATGAGATACACATTCATCATTGGTTGCTATGAAAGAGAGTCCTGATATACGAGAGAGGTTACAGACAGTGACGGAGATCGAATACAGGTTGGGCAGTAGGGGCGAAGCATCTTCTACTCCACAAATTACAAGATCATCTTTAATACCAATACGAATGTCTGTCACCAAAAAAATACGCGTTTAAACATTGGTTTTTTTTAAGCATCGTCGTCGCGTTATGTTTTTCTGGTGCTGTATCATTGATCTTACCAGAATAGATATAATATATAAATATTAGAGAATGCTCTGCTAACTATGCTTCTATAGAGTGGGGGCCGTGCAAATGTGGGAAATGTTCAGATCACGGGCGACAGTCTTTAGATGATGCTTAAATAAGGAAACGAAATTCCCGGGGATTGCAAGGTGTCCCAAATCCATGCATTCCGTGTGGTTTTTTTTTTTTTTTTTTTTTTTTTTTTTTACATACCCTAGCTTGCACAAATATCTATTTCTAACACTTTTCTCTTTCCCACGCGTTCGTTCCTCTCATTTGACACACCAAAAACAAAATCAATCATGTCTTCTGAGAAACCTGCATTTGCATCCTCATCGCATGCACCATCAGTCTCAAGTCCTGGGTGTCTCGATATCTTTCGAGCTATCTTTAACAATAGCAGCAACGATAACACTGCCGACGTACGACGATACACTATTAATCTTTTTTTTTTTTTTTTTTTTTTTTAAAAAAAAAAATACGCGAAACCAAGCTGAAAACGAATATATTTGTATATAAATAATCTAGGAAAAGACGACGTCAGAGTTCCCTAGAGACTCCGCAAGCGACGATGACGCCTCAACGCCATTGATACCGACGTATGAGGGCCTTGAAGCACAGATGAGGGATCTTCTTGTCGATCAGGATAATAACTCCGAACTTTTAGAACTTTGCAAGGGTAATGAATTTGCCAAAACCGTGTTCCATGCTATTGAAAAGGTTTCAAAGGAACTACGAGAGATTAGCTTGAAGGTAAGCTCGGATTCTTGGAATATAATTAGTTTATTAAAATAAAAAAAAAATAAAAAAAAAAAAAAAAAGTGAATACTAATGTTAATTGGGTGTTAGATCCACGAGGAGCCAGAGTTAGCCTTTAAAGAGTATAAAGCTCATGCGCTTTTGACCGATTATTTGGAAAAGAAAGGATTTAAGGTGGAACGAAAAGCTTTTGGTCTAGATACTGCCTTTGTCGCTCGCGCTGGAAAGTCTGACAAGGTCACCATCGGTTTTTGCTCTGAAGTATGTTGTTCAATGCTCACACAAAAAAAAAAAAAAAAAAAAAAAAAAAAGTATAAATGGTTCCAGGCGTGACGTGTTTTTGTGGATTTATACTCCATGTGTTCCTGATTAATAATGTTTGCTTATTTCAGTATGATGCATTGCCTGGGATTGGCCATGGCTGCGGTCATAATTTAATTGCAATCGCTGGCGTGGCCGCTGCCATCGGTGTCAAAGCCGCAATTAAGAAATTTGGCCTCCATGCTCAGGTCAAGCTCTTTGGCACGCCTGCAGAGGAGACAACTGGTAAAGCTACCTGAAGAGGTGGTCAAAGCTATAATACAGGGATTTATCCTTGTAACTATAGTTATCCTAAAGCTCATTGATTTTTTTCTTCTTCTTCTCACTATTAGGAGGAAAGATTGTAATGTTGGAGAGGGGCGCATTTAAAAATGTTGATGTTTGTATGATGCTTCATGGAGCCAACGCAGATTTAAGCTACCCAGCCTTTTTAGCTCTGGATACAGCTGAAGTAGAGTTCTTCGGAAAGGCCTCTCACGCGTCAGCCACGCCATGGGAAGGAGTGAATGCACTGGATGCTGCAATCATGACGTACACCAGTATTGGACTGATGCGCCAACAGCTGCATCCCACGCAGCGTGTTCATGGAATCATCAAAGATGGTGGTAAGGCAGCCAACATTATCCCAGACTATACGTTATCTCAATACACTGTGCGTGCGCTCAAGTACTCAGAATTGATGGTGTTGAAGAAGAGAGTTGAAGCTATCTTCAACGCTGCAGCCAGGTCAACAGGATGCACTGTTTCCATCAAATGGGGAGTCCCATATAAAGGTATTATTATTATTGGAAAGAGAAGGTGGCTTATTGTCTCATGATATGTGTACGCGACAAATACTTACTTTTATACAAAAACCACTTGAACATAGATATCTTGACAAACTCTGTTCTGACTCAAAAGTTTGAGCACTACATGAAAGCGCAGGGCGCGAAATATCTACCAAAGGAGGAGCAATTGAGGAAAGTGGGTGGATCGACCGACATGGGTAATTTGACGTATGCACTTCCAGGAATACATCCAGTGTTCAACATTTTAAATTTGGAAAGCAAGGATGTGAACGTAGCACTACATACCAGGGCGTTTGCAGAGGCCGCAATGCAACCTATAGCTCATACTGCAACCCTTCGCGCCGCAAAATGTTTGGCCATGACAGGCGTTGAGTGTATTTTAGATCGCAAACTATTGCAGAAAGTCAAGAAGGAATTTGAGGAGAACAAGGAGAAGTAGAAAAATGAATATATAGTCAATATAAACGATCTATGAGCAGCTAAAAAAGATTACTTTTTACATTTCTTGCTCGTTGAATTTTATGTTTGTCCGCCGCTTTTTGCCAAGTTTGATGTTTTTTTTTTTTTTTTTTTTTTTTTTTTTCGTGATGCTCGGATCATCAGATTGAAGACCAAAGTAGACAAAAAAAAAAAAAAAAAAAAAATGGATTCAAGTGAGAGCATAAAAAAAAAAAAAAAAAAAAAAAGATTGAGCATCGGATATACGCACCACATGCCTTTAAAGAGAAATGAAAAAAGTAACTGTAGTTACGAGGAGAAAAAAAAAAAAGGCGGTGCTGTCGTAAGAAGTATAACGTCCGCGAGCACTGCCGCACGGAAGCGTAGGAATCGACGCGTCTCGCTTGATCCTAGGAGTAACATAAAGCATTCATGTATACGTTGTACACGTTAATTTTTCTTTTCACAAAACAAACAGAACCAAGAATGGGGTGAGGAATAAGAGAGCTTTAGCATCAATTAAAAAATAAATAAAAAAATAAAAAAAAAAAGGTTATCGGAGAGATGCGATTTGCCATTGACAAAGTCGATGCAGACCATTAGTTGTGGATACGTTGCATGATATTGTCATGGCTCACAGGGTAACTTTGGCCCAGATTATGACGAGAGCGCTTGTCTTGTGTCCAAGGCACGAGAGGGTAAAAAAAAAAAAAGCAGGGACAACATAGTCAATTGCTTTTTTTGGCAATTGAACCCATGCACGAACGCAGAGCGTTCATTGCACAAAGAAACACGAACGGGTGTAGGGAGAGCAAATAAAAATTTGTAGATGTAATTGATAATGTATTTTTAACAGATGAATGTTATACATGTCGAAAGAAATTCTTTTTTATTTTGCACAGCCCATCAAATAGGAAACAAAAGTATTTATTTATTTATTCTCAGTTATTATCAATATTCGGTTATTAGCACTTTGACAAATGGGGTCAAGCGCGTTGTCTTAACATTAAGGTTTTTCTACCTGTTTACAAACATTCGCGCATTTAGTTGGGTTTATCCTTTTTTTTTTTTTTTTTTTTTTTTTGTATAGACATCCATTATATATATTAATATATGCATTTTCACATTCGGATTCTGATCCGCAGCTTAAATCTACGTCAGCTAACTCGAGTTGCCAGTAGCGCCAGTAGTAGTGTCAACATTGTAAGTAACATGATTTAGACTTAGTTTCTTCAGTTTTGGCAATCTGCGAATTTGTTCAAACAGTCTTTGCTTTGTCAAAGACCCGTTGCGGAATCCTGCGCCACCTGCAGTGATCGCGCTCGCTGCAGTACCTGATCCGCCACGGCTACTGGGACTACCATCTATAGGCAGATGCATAGGTCCAGTCATAGTGGGCATCGTCATGGACCTTGGGGTAGAGGCCAACTGCCAGTGGTACGGCTGCAATGGTGGCGCTTGAGGGCCATGAACGGGTGTTGCGGGATCCATAGCCATGGTCACATCTGTCAGCTCCAATGTTTCTAGATCCACACATGCCCAAGGCTCAGTCAATAGTTGTAGGGTCTCGTTTCGCCCCAAGGCATGAGGACTGAAGGACAGAGAAAGGTTCCTGAGCTGGTTACAATGCCTCAAGAGCTTACAAATATTGGCTGTATCCTTCATGGGGGTATCTCGACGAGCATTGAACCGTAGACTGAGTGAGGTCAACGTCGAGGACTGCATGATCAGAGCAGAAGATAGAGCGTCATCTAACCAAGGGATATCGATCTTGAGTGATTGAAGGTTTTGAGCAGAGAGGACCAGATCTGCGTACTCGACATCTGTCATGTAATCGTAGCCGCGTAAAGAGGATGAGAACCGTAGCACATACTCGATCGAGGAGAGTCGGGGACAGTACCTGCGGAGAATGGGGGTCAGAGTCCGAGCATCCTCACCGCTCTCAGAGTAGAGTGTAAAGTTGACCAGGTTGAGGCATGATCGGATCAAGTCTACAAAAGCCCCTTCTTTGAATACACTTATATCCAACCTCAGATCAGTTACACCATTCCCTATCGGATAATAATGCTGAGGAGATCCTGCGAATGAAGAGGGCAGAAGTGATGATGAGGACAGGGGTGACCATGGAGGCGAAGACGAGGTTGAGGAGGAGGGGGAAGAAACACTGGAGAAGGATGGATCAAATGGTGCGGGATCGGTCCAGTCAATGGCTGTCAAGCTCAACAGCTTTAGACGCTTGCAGGCACTCAGGAACTGGACAAATGTCCGGCCGGAGAGGGTCCAATGAGAGAGCTGGAGTTCCTCCAGTGTGTTGGACATCCTCATTAACAGACCGTAGTCCGGAGTAGGTAATACTGTATTGAGAACGGGCGACGTGGAGGAGGAGCCTTTCCAGACCAAGTTTTCTAATGATTCGGCATTGGCCTCGATCAAGGGCTGGAGCGATTGATCCCACCATGAAATGGCAAGGGCCTTCAGGTGTCTACACTCGAATGGACCGGAGAAGGAGCGGTCGTAGAAGAAGACGCGAAAATAGCGACTGTTCTTGGTGATGACCTGTTTGGGAATCGATCGCATCACAAACCCGTCATAGACATACCAGAGCACAGGCAATAGGGCTTCGCGCCAGGTCTTGTTGACGAGTGTACACCGAAGGAGGATCGTAGGATTAAAGTCGTAAAAACCTAGACGATCACTGTATTTCCAACGAGGGAGACAAAGTCCTACCAAGGTAATGATTTCTGGCATATCCAAAGGGTGGATCCTTTTCATCTTGGTAGTACCCGATGATAAAGAAGGCTGGCTAATGTGTCATGATGAAGAGAAGAAGAGGAGTTGATGAAGAGTCAATTGGAAGGGAGACAAGAATACTAGACTTGCATCTGATGGAGCATAAAGCAACCTGTTCTTGGATGGCAGCATCCGTACCTGAATTGATTGTACATAGTGTTAAGGAAAGGAGAAGGGTAATAGATTGATTTCAATAGATGTATATAAAAAAAAAAAAAGCGCGAATACTGAATAAATGCAATTAGGGCTAAGCTTAGTAATGGAATGGTATAAGACAAAAAAAAAAAATCAGCAGAGACGTGGTGTATAGAAGGAGGAAAGGAAAAAGCGTTTGGAGGAAAGCAGTAATAAAGTAAAAAGGAAAAGAGAAGGAAAAAGGATGATGCTTTCTTGACGTTTTCTTAATGCGAATAACAAAAAAGTAACTGAACGTGAGTTGGGAAACCCTGGGTTATTTTATAGCTTTTTTTTCTTTATTATTATTATTATCATTAGTATTAATATTAGTTATTGTTATTATTACTATTACTATTACTATTTATTGGATATACACTATTATCATTTTAGTTATTGTTACTATATAAGTAAAATTAGGATTATTTAATATTAATATCAAAGAAAGATATTTTATGTCAATGTCAGGTAATAGGAAAAAGCGCAGAAGTGGATAGAATAATAATAATGATAATGATAAAAAAAAAAAAAGGCGGCGTGCGTTTTATTATATGATTATGAATAATTGACCTGTGCATGTTTCTTTATTTCTCTACCCTTGCTCACTTTCATTCTAATGACTCAAGGTGAATCGAGTCAACGGAAAAAAAAAAAAAAAAAAAAAAAGAATGGCATGAATGAGAAAGTGATGGCGAAAACAACATTCCTTGGCGGATGAAAGCATAAAAAAGTTAAAAAGTGAAGGCCTTGATATGACTGGGCTAGAAGAAGAAAAAGGAAACAGCCAGAGTTATTCATTCATATTCATTCAATTATAATAAAATAAGGTCGATTAAAAATAAAAAATAAAAAATAAAAAATAAAAAATAAAAACAAAACAAAAACACAAAAGGCGTCTTATTCTAAAATGACAAAATAAGATGTACAACATAGCAAAAATAAAAAATAAAAAAGTTAAATGTTGCTTCCACACCGCAGCCAAGGTCTGGCGCTTTACTGACATCAAGCCCAAAGATGAGTGAAAGTATTACACATAAGATGTTTAAGCATCCCTAATTGCCCCCTTACCAATGCTTAGCGATCATCTGCTTCGCAGCCATTTCGCCGCACTCGGATACTTTGGGCCTGCCATCCCTCAATCCTGTTTGTCTTGGCTTTTTCTTTTTCCGATCATGAAAGCCCTCAACGGTCTTTTTTTACCCCATCTTGTTCGCGCCGTCTTTTTCTTTTCTTTTCTTTTCTTTTTTTTTTTTACAATAGAAAAAAAGCTCCACCCTTGCTGGCTGTGTGTGTCTATCAGGTGCTAATTGCTTTTTTATCCGAAAAAAGGCAATCTCGATTGCTAAAAATCGACATCATTTCCTCACAGAATAATGCAGCACCTCCTTTCTCCGATATAAGCAAAAGTCGAACGTCTTAAGAGACGGATGTTCTCTTTTATAACCTTGCTGTCTTGAACTCCGCCGTGAAGTGAAGACTGAATAAACTCCTGAAAGTTCCAAGCTCCTCTTAACCTTTACTGTCAAGCAGAGTTCGGCATAGGGTAACCTTTTTTTTACAAATATATATTTTATTTTACTTTATTTTTTAAAAAAAAACGAAAAACATATAATGCGCAGTATATATATTTGACGACGATGGTGGTGGATGGTGATGACGAAGTCCCCCCTCCCTTCTTTTTTTTCTCGCTTCTTTCTGCAATTGTCGACTGTCCCTCTTCCCTCTTTCCTTACTGTCCTTTATTTGGTCATTTGCCACTTTTGTCAATCAGTGGCCAAAGCCAACATTTGGAATAAAGTTTTTCTGCTGTGCCCTGACCTTAGTCTTCGAGTAAAAAAAAACGCATGCACGTGATCATGGCTGTCTAACATTTGCCCAAAAGTCGCGTCCGATTGTTCAGATCCTTTCCTCGATTGAAGACATCATTTCCTTGTTGATTGAAAGAACATTCCTCTTGTTCTCCTCTTTGCAATCCCTTAAATAAAAAAAACTTGATTCTTTACTCCTATGGCACACTGTACTCGTCTCAACACCCTGGCTTTTCGCCCTCAGTATCTATTGACAAAATCATATCGGATAAAAGTATCGACTTTATACAACTGCAATAGCTCGATTCGATTCTATTCGTCTTCGCCTTCTGCTTCTGCTTCTGCTTCTGCTTCTACTTCTACTGCATCACCATCAAAGCCGCATTCTATATTTGTGCAGAACCCATCGTTCAAGAGCACGTCTGCTTTGAACCAGTCTCAACATAGTCCCCACTTTAAAGCCCAAACAACACAGCTGCCAAATATTAAGAATCGCCTACCAATCTATATTCTTGTGGGGATTGTCGGTGCTGGGTTCTGGGCAGGATCCATCGCTGTGGCAGCGAACCATCAACGGCAAGGGACTAGCATCGTCCGTGGTACGTTGTTCAATGTAAAGTTTGACAAGAAGGCTCAAGAGTTACTGGGTGATAACATTGACTTTACAAACAAGAGATGGCCCTGGATTTCTGGAACGGTTGCCCATTTGAAAGGACGGGTCGATATTGAATATCAAGTACGGGGTGATAAAGCAGAGGGTCGGATTCATTTTGTAGCCGTGCGACCTGCGAAGCAATGGATCACAACAGACTTTACGCTCACCATGCCAGATGGAACATGTGTCCCTCTAGGCAAGGATACAGTCTTGCCAGAGATCAACTAGAATTTATTATTGTTACTTATTATTACTATTGCTATTATCACGACTGTCACCATTATTGTCCCCAGGTGTGTAGAACAGAATTAAAAAAAAAAAAAACAGTGTCTTGCTCAAGGAACGGAATTCAAAGTATAAATGTAATTGATATGTGGCTTATTGTCAATGAAGTAAATAGACTACTTCTCCCCCTCCTTCATGAAGCCATATTCATTTCGTTGACCTCTGGATCCTTTTTCCAAAATTGCATAAATGGCATCTGCATTTCGTTCACTTTTCACAAATCCCTCTCGCTTTGCCATCAGTACTTCTCATGGTCATGTGCCTGCTGGATTGCCAAATAGGCTGTCCATGAGTAAAACTCATAGCCATGGTCCTATTTTTCAAAACTCAAAACTTGCTACCATTGCCCCTGGCCGAATCTTCTTTCGCTCAAAACATATCGACTATACTCAGAAATATGCAGAGAAACTGAAGCGCAAGGCACAAGAGTAAATAATAATATATACATATATATTTTTATAGGAAAGAGGTGTCTTTTCTTTTTGTATTCAATTGAATTCAATGGATCTTCAGTGTTAACCGTGATCTATTTATTATTCTATATAATTCTCTTTTACTGCAATTAAAAAGAGAAGGTGTTGCCACTGTGGAGGAATTGAAGGCAAAACTTTTACCAGCCACACAAACTGCTTTTAAGAAGGTACAGCTTCAGGAGTCGAAGCCTTCATCCACTGTCGCTGAATCAGCAGTTGAAAAAAAAGGACAGATCAAGAATGCAGAACCTTCTGCGAAGCTACATCCAGCCCCAGAATCAGGAAGTCCGGTAAGATTATCCACCAAAGAATTAGTCGATATCACAAACATTAAAAAAAAGGTCTGACATTTTTTTTCTTTTGTTCTATAAACTAGTCATTGGATAAGCTTATGAAGCTTGACTTGATTCAAGACTTGGACCCAGAGAGTATCAGTAAGATCTGGATCCAGAAACATATGGATCAAGAGGACACCATCTCAGCGGCCGTACCTGCTGATACTTACAAGAAGATGCTGAGCCGATCCAAAGAATATCCAATGGTAAGAAAACAAAATAAAAACAAAATAAAAACAAAATAAAAAATAAAAAAAATAAAAAAAAAAAAAGATTAGTCAATGTTCAATAGACAACTAAAGATTTGGGCTTTGACTTTATTTTTTTTTTTTTTTTTTTTTTTTTTTTTAGTTCCTATTGCCATTGTCCCATGGTGATGGTGTAGAGTTTTACTTGATGCAATTTGCATTTCATCAAGTGATCTTTACCTCTTTACTGGAGTACAAAACCCATGGCGAGAATGCAAGGCCATTTTTGACATTGACTCATTATCCAGAATTAATTGATTCCAAAGGAATCGTCCTCATGAATGGCTCCGTCTCCACGCATCCCCGCGTCCTCACTGTCGACCAAGCCCAGATTTTGATCTTTGGCATGCAGCAATACTATGTCAGCGATCACAAGGAGAAATACCAATTGTTGCAGGATTTCCATAAACGACCAGATCAATTCTCACATCAAAAACTCATAGACTTGACTGAAATCTCTGGATAAAAAAAAAAAAAAAAAAAAAAAAGAAATATAAAAATAAATGTGAAAATAAAATAGTGTATTTACAAGTCATTTTATTATGAGACACCAATTTAAGTAAAAGGATATGAGTGATGGAAGAAAGGAAACAGTTTAGTGAAAGTACTTGCGGACAAGAGAAGGAACATGGCCCTCCTTCTTGTAGAATGCAACAATCTTCTCAACCTTGCTGGCAACAACATCAGGAACAAGGCCAAAGTGCTTGTAAACTTCTTTATAAGGACCTGAGGCACCAAAAGTATCGATACCGATGGACTCATGAGCATAGCGATCCCAACCAAAAGTGGTCATGGCCTCAACCGAAACAGTGGGGACACCGTCGATCAAAACTGATGCCCTGTAGTCGTGAGATTGCTCATCAAACAAAGTCGTCGAAGGCATAGAGACAACACGGGCTTTGATGCCCTTCTCGGTCAACAACTTGGCAGCATCCACACAGAGTGAGACCTCTGATCCAGTACCAACAAGAGTCACATCAGCGCCTTCGACTTCTTGGAGAACATATCCTCCATGAAGGGTTTTTTCAACGGAGGAGCCCTCAAGCTGTGGCAAATCCTGACGAGTCAAGGCCAAGACCGAAGGACGATCTTTGGTAGAAATAGCAAAGAGATAAGCACCCGAGGTTTCGTTACCGTCAGCGGGGCGCAAGTCGACGAGGTTGGGGGTAGCACGGATCATGGCCATGGTCTCGATGGGCTGATGAGTAGGACCGTCCTCTCCAAGGCCAATGGAGTCATGAGTCATGATATAAATGACACGGTGTCCAGAGAGAGCAGACAAGCGGACTGCTCCAGAAGCGTAGCTGATAAAGTTGAGGAAAGTGGCGCCAGCAGGGATGATTCCACCATAGGCATCCAAACCATTCATAATGGCAGACATACCATGTTCACGGACACCATAGCGGAGGTAGCGGCCAGAGTAGTGACCAATGCCAGTATTCTCGGGTTGGAAATCAACAGCAGTCTTCCAGCGGGTCAAGTTCGATCCAGTCAGATCAGCAGATCCGATCATCAGCTCGGGCAAGAGATCCGCAACCTTATTCAAAACAGCCTCGGACAATTTACGTGTGGCAACGGGCTTGTCAGCGGGAGTGAAACGAGGAAGAGCACTAGTCCAGTCCTGGGGCAGCTCCTTGTTCAGACGACGCTTTAGTTGAGCACCGAGCTCTGGGTATTCGGCATTATATTTCTCTAGAAGAGCATCCCATTCCTGGTTGAGGGCGGTGCCTTTGGCAGCCTTGGAATGATAGATGTCATAAGTCGACTGAGGGACAACGAAGGACTCCTCGGGATTGAAGCCCATGGCCTTCTTCAACTGAGCGATATCATCAGCCTTGAGGGGTGATCCATGAACTTTCTCGGTTCCCTGGATCATGGAGCCGAAACCGATGATAGTGCGGATCTTGATGAGAGTGGGTTTGTCTGTGACCTTCTTGGCTTCCTCAATGGCGTTAGCAATAGCCTCCAAATCGCTATTACCATCGTTGACAACGACAACGTGCCAGCCATAGGCTTCAAAGCGCTTGGCAACATCTTCGGTAAACGAGACTTCGGTATCACCGTCAATTGAAATGTGGTTGTCATCATAGAGAGCAATAAGCTTGCCCAATTGCAGATGTCTGTTGAGGATTGTTTTTTTTTTTTTTGTTCAAGTTGTGTTGGGTTGGGGATAAATGATCAAGAGATAAAAGAAAAAATGTTGAGTACTCAATCTACTTATCATGCTTCTTCTGTTGGCTCATAATTTTTTTTAAAAAAAAAATTCTGCATCTGTGGGGGGCCTTTATCAATTTATCAGTGTATCATTTCCACAACTTACCCGGCGAGGGAAGCAGCCTCACAGGAGACACCCTCCTGCAAGCAGCCATCACCAGTGATCATGAAAGTGTAGTTGTTAAAGAGTTCAAAGTCAGGCTTGTTAAAGGTGGCAGCCATATGAGCCTCTCCAATGGCTAAACCAATAGCGTTGGCGAAGCCTTGACCCAAGGGACCCTGGTAAACACAGTCAAGATGAATGTTAGTCATAAGTTCGCAGATCATTCTAACAGGTAGACTGATCGGTTTATAATTCTAATTTCTTTTTTGTTTGTTTGTTTGTTTAAAGACTTACGGTGGTGACCTCGATACCCTCAGTAATGTGAGACTCGGGATGGCCAGGGGTCCTAGAAAAAGATAAAGCCAAAAGAATCGAGATAATGAAACAAAGAGCAAGCGTCAATAACCATTGGTTGGATCATTCTATTGATCAACAAAACGTGGATCACTAGTGTAAAGCGCATTTAATTTTTTTTTTTTTTTTTTTTTTTTTGCATAAATCGTTTTGCCCCAAGGAATGGAAAGTAATAAGGCATAAACCGGAGTTTAGGAAAAAAAAAAAAAAAAAAAAAAAAAAAAAAAAAAAAAATTGAAGGGCTGAATATGTATAAATATGATCAAGGTAAAAACCGTTTGGAAAGATGGAGAAGGATCTGATTTTGGGACTGGCACATCAAAGAAAAACAAATTTATGAATGACACATCGCAAAAAAAATGTATTTTTGTAGGTATTCAGAGAAAAGAGATTGCAATAACACAAGATAAAATATCAATAAAAGCATGAGGATCATCCTTACTTGCTGTTAAGCTGACGGAAGGCTTTCAAATCATCCATGGTGACATTGTAGCCCATCAAGTGCAAGAGAATGTACTGCAATGCGCAAGCGTGTCCGTTCGACAAAACGAAACGATCGCGATTGGCCTAACATTTATATAGTTATGAAAGATTTGATCCGTTAATATATGTTTGCAGATAGTATTCCACCAATACATGAATAAAGCCTTTTTATTTGTTTCCTCGGCCAAATTCCATAAACTCACCCATTTGGGATTCTTGGGGTTGTAGTTCATAAAACGCGAGAAAAGCAAGTGAGCCATTGGAGCGCAACCCATGGGAGCACCTAAAGGTTACGAATCGGTTTTGCAAACAAGAACAAAATAACAGAATCGGCGCTGTCAGTCATTTCCCCTGTTAAATCATATATGCAAGCTTATCGCGTTCTAATGGCAAATAAAAAAGTCTTACCGGGGTGACCAGAGTTGCTTTTGAAGACAGTGTCAGCAGCGAGCACACGAATGGTGTTGATGGCATGAATGTCGTCCTGAGTGAAGCTCATGTTAGCAAAGCTTAGTTTTATGTTGTAATGGAAGGGAGGAATGGTAATGACTCAAAAAGAAAAAAAAAGAAGAGAGAGATGATTGAGGTTCCTGCCCCATATTATTTATGCTATTCTGACTTTCTGCTGGATCCAGGAACAGGAACAGGAACAGGAACAAAGTAAGAATAAGGTATGAGGGGCGTGGCTTGTATCACGTGAACAACGTCCGTGCAATCTGTTTAATCAGTCAGACTACGCTTAATAAACAAATCAGTTGGACAAAACTAATCATGATTATGTCACTCAAAGCCACGTCCCTTCAACCTTACTTTACAATGGTATCTATGGCGTTCCACACCTGGGGACATCCGATATCCCGACGAGCTCAGTACAGCAACACGCAACATGGTTCGTCCCTTCGTCCTACACGAGGGACGCTGTGAGGATTTCATTTATGAAATGGATAATCTAGCCTTTTCATCACTCACACTTGGTTGCACGGTACACAGAGGCCGTAGAGGTGATTTAGCTCTCTCTTTTAGTTTCTATTCTTTTTTTCTTTCTTTTTCTTATTATGCTTGAGGGTTTAGCACATGTCATCAGGCCGCAAGAACTGTGAGAAAAAATAAAGTACGAAAAAGTAGAAAGACAGGGCGCAGCAAAGCGAAAATCGTGCTTTTCAATTGGCTATTGCGCGGTACAAATGCAGCACGGAGGCCGACTCCAGTAAAGCGTGCTTATTAATTCATTATATTTTCATGCACACAGCTATACTGCCAGTTGCGAGAAAAGGGCAAAAACTACTTAGAACCTAGGACTAAGTGTTACCCTACTTTTATTTTTATTTTTAAATCGCTCCTAAGAACAATAGTTCGACAGCTCTATTCACATTTCCATTTGACGCTAGTAATGCTCGTATGTTTTTGGATGCATCCCAGAGCCCCATCTCATTCATCTCTTTTAGCTGTACCTGGTATCGTACTTCCGATGACAATGGTAATAGTTGCTGCCGTTGCTGCGTAATCGTAGGCGTAGCTATGGATGTTGAACACGCGTAAGAACGATTATCCTTTGTACACCTTGTTCCAGAGTGTGGTTGCGATAAAGGCCTTCCTGACATCCGCTGTATCCAAAGATGACCAGAATCGGCTACATCTGATGTTGACTCAAGTGATTGTCTCGTGTTAGAATTATTTGCTGCACCAATCCTACTTCCGAACATAGTAAATGGGTTGAATAGTGAATGAAACCCCCCTGCTCCCGAGTCTGCGGCTGTATTAGCTGTCATAGTCAAAGTAGATGCGGTAGTTCCTCGTGCGATGGAAGGAGACATTACAGGCGTTGATGATGCAGTCTTTGCTGATACACTACGGTTGGTAGACCATGCATTATCAAACATCCTACTGAAACCACTACCATTTCCACCACTGTTATCACCAAGTTGGGGTTGGGCGCTCGTCTTTGCCATCTGACATAACGTCTCCGGGTTCGAAATGATCTGCTGGAACTGCGGAGAGCGTAACATCTGTCTGGCCTCGGGCTCAATGGCCCGTAATGCTGGGTTCATAGAGAGCATGGATTCCAAAACCTGTGGGTTCTGAAGCATCGATGACATATATTGAGCAAAATTGGGATCCTCCATCATCTGCGACAAAATTATGGATTCCATACCCTTTATGAGCCCTCCTCCTTCTGCTCCAATCCCGATGTTTGCCAGTGGGTTAGGTAGCGCGCCTATACCAACTACTGGAGGATCTACAGATGACAGATATTCGATGTTTCAATGTGTGTGTTAGTACTAAACAAAACAAGACCGCAGGCTTTTTTTTTTATGAACAATATGAATAAATTAATAATTAAGGGCTACTTCACGCGAGCAGGAAAGCCCTCTGTGCATTACCTTGAGCCGTGGGGAGCATGGCTTGCGCCATTGAAGGTGTAGATGCAGTGTTTGCATTGGCGCCAGTTATATTAGGCTTAGTCAAAGGAACTGTTAAGGACGCTGATGATGTTACATTGGTTGTCACCGTTATCTCGGGCTTTGCTGCTCTCCGAAACATGTGAACAGTGTGTCCTTCTGAAATCTTGTAAGACTCGAGAAGTTCCATGTCCTTGAGGATCCTACCGGAATAGATCAGCCGGATCTCATCTGTTGATGTTGACGATGCATTAAAATTGCTTTGAGTGAGGGCAGTGATCCTGTGCTTAAGCTCAAGCACAGATTCGGACAAGCAAACCGAGACGACAAATTTTTGTTCATTGGGTGCTTTAATGTTGATAGTGATGGGGGTTGAAGAGGCGGAAATCATTGTATATTTTTGACATCCAAAGGTTGGCGTAAGTGGTTCTCCAGAATTGGTACTGAAATTAAAAGGATATAAATGCGAATATTGATGGAAATGAAAAGGCTCTTTAGAGAGTAGAGAATAAAGCGTAGAAATCTTGCCAATGCTATTAGATTGCTGATGCAAAAAAAAAAAAAAAAAAAAAAAGCAGCACTGCCGTGTACAATAGAAAAAAAAAAAGTGGGAGAAAAGACAAAAAATCGTTCAAATGAGCGCACGCAATTATCGCAATGATTGTGACTCTTGAGATTCTATTCTTCCTTCTTTCTTGTGGGCGAAGACATCCATTAGGAATAGGAAATTAAAGTTGGGAAACACTTGTCTTACTTACGTGGCCACCGTATTTGTCCGATCGATCTTTTACATGCCGAGCCCAGGCATGCTCTGGTGACACACAAGTTCTTGCTTCATAACTTAATTCAGACCAGAATTATCCAGCATATTTATTTAATAATAAATCACGACATTTGCTAATCTTTTTTTTTTTATTTTTATTTTTATTTTTTTTTAATAATTAACCCAAAAATCCAGTGGCAGAAGTGAACGCATTGCTCGCCAATGGTCTTCAGCGCCTAATTTTTGCATAGCATTTAGTGTGTTGTTACGATCAAGAATCAGTTCGCCTTTGGAAGCATCGAATGGCGTTGATAGTGGCCAGTCTTGAAAACTTGATAAAATCCAGTCACGCATTACACTAGGTCGAAGTGCATGGTCGATATGACCGCCTGCTTTTTGTAATCGTTCCAGTTCTTCTTGAGAAGGAAATGGTGGAGGAACATATTGATCAAACTCTATAGGGATCTGGGAAGCGAAAAACACCATGTTCTGATAGGCCTCGGGCTCTTCGGGGCTCTCTTTGAAGCCAATCACATGCTTGAATGCTGCATGGAGGGTGCGACGGACAGAATTGAGCGCCTGAGATTTGGCAGGGTGTTCAGAACCAACCATGTTCTATGCCAGGTCAATTACAGAAAAAAATCACATTAGGAAAATAAACAAAAAAAAAAAAAAAAAAAAAAAAAGCTGTGATCGTCTAAAGTGGGTTGGTCAACACTTAAAGCAAAGAAGACCAGATTGACATGCAAATAAAGAAAGAAAGATAATAGAGGAAAAGGTACTAGCAAACAATGCTTACTAAGGCAAGCACACCATCGGGTTTCATGATTCTTTGAATATCATATAGAGCCTCAAGAGAAAACAATTGAGGAGGTACACCACCGCCTGTAAAGACATCATGGATCACGTAATCGTACTCGCCCTCAGGCGCGTCCTTGATGAATTGTCTGCCATCTTGGATAAAGAGTCGATGCGGTTGTGGCCAGTCGAAATATTGCGTCGCATAATTAGCTACCACAGGATCAATTTCTACTACATCCACAAGTACCCCTTTTTGAATCAACGAACTTGAGGCGATGCCAACTCCCAGACCACTAATCGTAGTTGCAATTATATTGATGTAAATATTGATGTGCTTTTTATGCGTAACAGGTAGCTTTACTTCTCACCAAATCAAGACATAATTGAATATCGAGAGAAACAACATACATTTGGAGAGCCATTTCTTGCTTGCTCTTCTCGCGGTTCTTGATCAGCTGGACGGCTATGCGAAGTTTTTTTTTTTAAAAAAAAAAAAAAAAAAAAAAAAAATCAACAGAAGGTTTTTTTTTTTTTTTTTGCAACATCTATTACTGAATTATACGCATTACCCTCAGGGATGTAAAAAGTTCCAAAGATAGAGTCACCAGTCTCAGCATACATGCCACCGATCAATGAGTGTCCAGCACGCATAACTCGGATATGAAGGTCATTTCGTGTCGTGTGCTCATCTACTACACTAATCCAGCCGGTAACACTCTCATTCCTTGCCAAAATTGTGAAGTTACTATTGGGTGGATTATGAGCCTAAATCATGAAATAATAAAAAAGTTGTTATTGAGAGTAGACAACTTATGGCTTTTTTGCTTTTCTTTTCTTTTTTTTTCTTTTTACCTTTGTTACCCCTGGCTGGCATTGAGGGTTTCGAGTGTAGTTTTGAGCAACCATGGCAAGCACAAGGGCTAGTGGAATAAAACTCATCACAAGCGATGCACGGCCGGATGCAGTAGTAACCCTGGGCTTCTCTCTGTTCTCTAGCCGTTCATCTGGAAGGGCTACTTCTCCATGGATGATTGTCAGTGCTTTTTTTTTTTTTTTTTTTTTTAAATAAAGGTTAGATTAATCGGATTAATTTTATTTTCTAATTGCATTTTGATATGAGAGCATTGTTCCTTTTTTTTTTTTTTTTTTTTTTTTTTTTTCAACTCACTTTTATGAAGACCAGAGACGACAGCTACCAAGATGGCTGCTGCATATACACGCGGACAATTAGGCCCTTGTGGCGCCATCTGGAAGATTACTAACGTCAGCCCTAAAATGGCTCCGACATGGATCACCACGCAGCTCATCCAAGTTCGGACATGAACGCGCTCATAGGAACGAAGAACACATGCCAATGTGTTTGCAAAACCCAATGACGCCAAAACAGGGTATGCAAAGAATAACTGAGTCAAGTGGGGACCTTTCCAAGGCCCAAACTCGCCACTATACTTGAACATGACGTGGATTGTAAATAAAGAGCTGGCTAATAAGAGTGCACACATGTCCAAGCATGTGATGATACCCTTTCTTAAGTTGGCATCTTTATGAAAACCAGCGGCTGTTGACTCAGCAGCAGTCCTTGAGGGTTTGCTCTTTGATAATAATAACGCAGAAGACATGGTCGAAGTTCTGGTAGATCCAGAAAAATAGGTATAAGCAATGCCCAGCATGACACCCACACCAACAGAGGCAAGAGACAGCTTTAGGAATAGCTCCTCGATGAATATGCTGCCATAAATGGGCTCCATCATACTAGGGGCGACTCTCAGGATCATGCCTGCGACTAAAGGCGTCAAAATGATCAAAGATGCCCTGGTCACAGTCAATAAGAGCTCCAGAAGCATGGTTTGTGAATGCGGTGGTTTTTGACCATTGTGCGCAGTCTTCATGGTTGCTACGCCCGATTGTTTAAATTTGCTAGAGGCATTGGCGCAGGCTTCTTTATTGGAAGCTTCAGTGGAGGTATAAAGGGAGGAAGAAGAGGTTGTCGTTGAAGAGAACGAGGAGAAGTGCTTCTGAGTCGTTGTTGAAGACGTGACTCCAACAGTATCCACTGAGGATGAGGTCGCAGCCGATTCAGAAAAGCTTTTACTTGAATCTGCCCCACTCGCGGCAGCTTGATGACCACGCTTCCGCTGCTTCATTATTGTACTCATGAGAATGAAGGAATAAGGATTCTTTAAAAGTCAAGTGAAATATGACCTTGGTCTTTTTAACATTTCCTCTTTCATTTGCAGTGGCTTGAATTCAACATCATGGATGATTCGGCAAGAATCCTGAACAAGAATGTCCTATAAAGCATTGATCTTGCAAAGGCGACGCAATCGCCACAAGCACTCTTGGGGAATGCAGCAAGCAGTAGATAAAAATATCGGATACATATATATAACAAATTCAATTCTTTGTCTTTCATGAATCATGAATTGAAAGGCAAAAAAAAACTTTACTTTTGAACTACGTATCTTCATCATAGCCAGAGCATCGAGGCTTATCGATGGTAGAAGAACCACTGTACAATAAGCTGGCAGTCCGAGCTGGCTCTAGTGTCCACCTACGCCTTCGTCGAAGACGATTTAGTTTATGCAAACGACGTGCTGATGGTGTAGTTGAGTTATTTGCCTTCTGGTTTGGTCGGGATTCTGATAATGTCACAAAATAAGTTTTTCCAAACAAAGCATCGCCACTGGTAGCTATTATCCTAAGATTTAAACTCCTGCGTTCATGGTGCGTAGTCCAAGCAAAGGCTCGTTCTATTGCTTGTTTTGCCTGTTCTCCGGAAGCTTCTGTGAGCGATGGGCTTCCAATCATGACTCCTAAAATAAACATTACTGTCCAGAAGACAAGTTGAGATGAATGAATATAAGTGCTGATGATACTGTTGGTTATCATCATATTATTTCTTGAACTGTCATCTCCTTCGCCGTCTAATATATCCTCCGTTTCTGACGTAATCGAGGACATTGCTGTTAGATCCTCAGTAAAGGACTCAATTTCTGGCCAAGCTGCTGGCATTATTGATCTACGAATCTTCCGCTTACTCAGGCTTGAGAGCCCGGTGGGCGTGTGGAGAGTCGATGTTATTTGTATATCCTCAGAATTATCCTGCAAGAAGTAGTGTGTGCATGGCGCTAAGGATAACTGAGACGGTTCAAAGTCCTGAAGATCCTTCTGGCCTTTTATTAGGCTCATATTGTCATAGACAAGACTTGGATCGTTGCTCCTTTGAACAGTGTCTGCCTCGATCATCTGCGTCGATTCTGACGTATCGCTTAGTGCTGTTGCAAAGATTCGACTCCAACGTGGAGATGCCAATCCTGACTCTGAGTCAACAAAGGTATCGCTAATAGACACTGTGCTTGAACGCTCGCTGATAGTACTTTCGTCACTCAGAGGCTTCCCATCATGCGTTATAGAAGTGAACTGACTTAAAGAATCTTCATCATCCCATGGCATAGTATCATCGTCCAGCCAATCTGTCGAATCTATCGAATCTGCTGGTTCTTGCTTTTTATATCCACTCAGAAACAGATTCCGCCCTCCAACTGCCGCAGATATTGCTGAATCCATCTCCTCGGCCTGATCATCTTGGAGTACTTGATGTCGCACTGCTCTTTCCTGCTTCGTGTGCATCCAGTTCTGATAACATGCTATTGAAACCAAGTCCTTGGTGAGACATTCGATAGTCTCAGCAGTTCGATCCAGCTCAACGTCCATCTGTTGAAAAACCTGGGCCATCTTTCTGTTACGTTCCATTTCAACAATCTCGGATCTCAGTAAAGGGTAGCTTAAGCGCCGTCCAAGCCTTCTGATCGAAGATGTTTGTTGCAGGTGATCTTTTAAATCTGTCACAGCTACCATTGACCCGGCCATATCGGCGGACAGTAAGGCTGGAGTTTCACTTGCATCAGACATCTGCATTGCCTTTTTTGAAAAGAATGTCCCATCATTCAGAGTCGTTACTTCATCTTGCGCAACATCTGTAGTCAATTCATCCTCATTATTTCTAAAATCTCGACGAGTTTCGGGCTCATTCGCATAAATGGAATCTTGGAGCTCCAAAAATAAGCTTCTCCGTTTCCCCGAGTTCCTATTTAAAGATGTGCGAGCGCCGGTAAGAAACACTCTTTGACTCCATCGTTTGTCATCAATATTGGCAGCTGGGTCTAGATAATCATAAGACGGTGTATTTTCTGGCTCATCATCATTTCCAGTATCATTTAGAGTCTCAGATTCTGCAAATGTGAAGGGTATGATTTCTGGCATTGTATTTACTCCATTCTCCTCATTCAGTGAGCCCTCATGTGCTGATGTGGATCTATCCACAGCTGTTGCGGCATCCGTAATAAGGTGCTCCAAGAGTGAACATATTCTTTCGAATGCTGCGTTCGAGTCTTCGTCACTTTGGCTGTTGAGAGTTTCCAGGCTCCGTCGCTTTTGACCCATGTGTTGACATGGGCGTGAAGCATCGGTGTTGTTGTTTTGTGCAGAGCTACTGGATTTCGGTCGGGGTCGATAGGCCTTGTTCTCAGAGGACCATTGGTTGTGGTATGTGTTAGAGGCTGTGACTGGTCTTGAGGGGAAAGAGAGATTGTGGAAAGTTGAGGAGGGCGAAGTACGTTGGTTGGTGCATGAAGTTTGAAATATTTCCTCATTGGAGGGTGCGTGTAAAGGCCAGCTTATGCGGTTACTACGTCCATCCAAGGCGGTGGGTATTAGGGCTTCGAGTTTGTTCTGTGTTGTGAATCCCCACGTTCTTGATTCATCTAAGGAGGTGTTTCTTTTGTTGTCTTGATACTCTTGGCTGTCAAAAAAAAAAAAAAAAAAAAAAAAGTTAGAATAAAGGGGTGGGTAATACATAAAACCAAAACCGCAACCGTCGCATCCTTCAATTTCCTTACTCTTCAAGGGAGAAGGTATTTTGATGGGCCGTAGTTAAATATGGGCTGCTCATATGGTGGGGCGTTAGGAGGTGAGTATGGAAACGAAAGAAGTAGAGAGGAAGGGAAAATGAAGTTGAGGATAAAAAGAGCAAACTGTTTTAAAAATAACAAGAATACTGACGTAAAAGCAGAGCTAACTTGCACACGCTAAATTTGCTCCAAAACTTGATGATGTGATTGATGTATGCAGATATTGAAGGGCGCAGACAATCCTGAAAGACTTTAGATGACAATTGGTGTTATTCGAGTATTTGATAGAAGAAATTGCTGTTACATCTTCTCATGAGCACCTAATTTTCTTTCTATTTTCCTAAATCATGGCCTTTTCACAGCAAGGCGTCATCAACGTCTCTAAATGACCAATCTTCGAGAAGAAAATCGATACTCTGTCTGGATGACGAAGCCAGCAAAGTGGTTTGGGCTCTTCCCAAAATTTAAGCCCATATTAAATTGGTGTTTGATAAATCATGTTCTGGTTCAGTTCCATGGGTCCGTGAGTTTTTTTTTTTTTTTTTTTTTTTGCAGAAATCGAACGGTATTTATTGAGGTTAATATTTTACATCATGTGGGATAGTCAATAAGATAGTGAGCGAGCATTCTGGGATAGAATGGGACAAAATGGGACAAAATTACAAATTAGCGTAGTTGGCAAAGGGAAAAAGATAAGGGACTTTTTCAAAATCAATTCTCCAGATAGATTATAGGCTAGTCATATCCAGACTCGTATGCAATAATTTCCTTGAGCTGTAACATGAGTTCGGGGTGTTTGTCAAGGCAGCCATTCATGCGTCTCGTCCAAGCATTATCGCAGGGGAGATCCTGTCGTGTGAGGCCCAGAGTTTCACAAAAGATCAAGTAATGATCTCGCTGATCTCCACCATGGGACATGCGTCGTCCCTGGAGACGCTCTCGAGCATTTATAAAAAATTGAGGGTAGCACTCTTGGAAATCCTCAAGAGAGAAATCCTCTATATCACGCAGCCATTTAATTTGAACATTCTCAAACGAAGAATCTCGATAGCCGTACTCATCTTCACCCCAGAGTACGTTTGCGTCATCGTCATCTTCTGGGCCAATCCAGCCGACGATGCCTTTAAACTTTTCAAGAATGCAGGGCGGTAGGGGCCCAAGGTGAGCGGCAATGGAATGCATCCAATCTCTGTCTGATAGCGCTTCTCGAGGCTGAAAGAGCAAAGACTTGAATTTTTCTCGGCTGTCCTTGGGAAGACTACTGTACATTAAGTTAAAGAACTCTGAATTACGAGTGGCCAGCTCCTGCAGCTCAGAGCTTCGATCAAATAGCGCTACCAGCATGTCTTGCGGAGCAGATTCTGTATAAATGTGGTTCAGAATGTTCTCTTGGGGATCATCACTCGCATCCTTCAGTGATGGGTCCTGTGCTTGTTCAGCTGTAGAAGAATCATCGTCTTGAATGGGTGAGATTGATACACGACGGAGGGCATTCTCCGCCTGAAGTATAGAGTCATTAAGGTGTATATCCTTAGACTCAGACTCGGATTCAGACCCAGCACTCGTCTTGTCTTGGAATTGGACGCCAGATAGAGTGTTCTCGACTGATTCTTCATAATGATCATTGACACGAGTATGACTTGACCTCTGGCAAGATTTTAGTATGAGGCGGGCACTTTCCCTAGAGAGGGGTTTAGATGAAGGATTTCCCATGTCAAGATCGAAAGTGACAGTTGGACGACGGCCTTGGGCACCCTTTCCATAGTTACTCATGGCCGGAGCAGAAACTTGCTCAAGCTCTTGCTGGCGCTGGCTACGGTCGAGTAAATGGACGGCTGTGGGGTGCTCTTGAGAGTCCTTTCGCTTACGCTGAAGGGTTGACGCGGGATGGAAATCAATGGGGGTAACAGGGGACCACTCTGAATTTTCCAAATCATCGTCCTCACCCGAGTCCGATTGAGGATCTAACGGGGGAGTGCCTGCGATGGCCGAGTCAGTCATCATGGCTTCAAGATCATTTTCGTCGTTAATCGATGCAAGAGAGCCAGTGTAACCTGGGTAGGTCCTTGGATGATCCAGTGGTGAGTGTCTCTTGCGTAGGTCTGTAAAAGACAACGTTGGGGCTTGTAGCGCCGACATTGTTATGTGAATTGGAGAGGGTATGAATGTGTGAACGTGTGTGTAAAAAAAAAGAGAGAGAGAAAGAAAGAGATGGAGTAATAAAAGACTGTGAATGTTGATGAAAAAGAATAAGGCAGTAATAAAGAAAAGCGTTCGGGTGAAGGAGAGGAAGGAAGGGGGTGGGGGAATGTGGAGAAGAAAGATAAGGAAAAAGAAAAAAAAGAAGAGAGGAGCTGTTGATGAAGCTTTGTTTGTGTGTGAGCAAAAAAAAAAGCACTAACGGCGCCATTGCTGTTTGCTGGGCAAGGTTCCAGAGAGGGAAAAAAAAGAAAAGCAGGAAAAACCAAGCCAAGGGAATGATATCAGTCAGTCCTCATTTATTAAACTGAAATCTCGTCTTCGACTTCCATTTTCATGAAACAAAGAGACCGAGTTAGACTAAATGCCGCAATACACGTACAAAATCATGCAGGACATCATTTGGGCACAGCTTTTGTTGTGCCTGGTTGGTGGCAGCTGTTAGCTATTTTATATCACGTTACTTACTGATTCGTTTATTTATACAATTTACTATTAATTTAATCATCTTTTTTTTTTTTTTTTTTTTTTTTTGGAATCTGTTTATGGTGGCGGGTTTCCAAAAGTTTATTTTTTTTTTTTTTCTTTTTTTTTTCTCTTCCTCTTCCTCTTCTTCCTCCCTCTCCCCTCCCCCTCCTCCTCCGTAAACACCAGCATGGATCAATACGTCGCCGGCCTTGAGCAAACCTTGCAGCAGGTCCTCTTTTCTAACGACAGCAACCAGATCAAGGAGGTACTATTTTTCAATTCAAAACAGTTTACAGGATGTTCTCATGTTTGATTCGGAAGATCCATTCAAAAAAACAATGACTGATCCAGACTCAACATGAAATTGTCTTGTGATTCTAGGCTACCAAGGCATTGAACAATCAGTTCTTTGCCGACGCTAATTGCGTCCCTGCTCTGGTTCATATTATCCAAACTTCTCAGCAGAAGGAGGTAAGCAGCTATTTTCGTTCATTATATTTTTATCATTATCATTGTAACAACATCCAGTGTCAGCAGCTTGAGAGTGCATGCAGTGCTTATATATCATGAGTATATTAATGGCTTAGTATTTTATGTCTGAATAAATTTGCTTCGTACCTACTTCTCTTTTGAACTAGATCCGTCAACTTGCAGCTGTCGAGCTTCGCAAACAGATCTCGAACTGGTGGTCCAAGATGGAGGAGGAGACTCGCACGTCTGTCAAAGCAAAGCTTTTGGAGACCATTCTAAATGAACAAGAGTAGGTTTGATCTATGGTACTATCAGCAGAACAAGAAAGTTTAAACTTATCAGACTTGTTGCCTAACGTTATATCACTGTTTCTAGACCACTCCCTCGTCATTCCACAGCACGTGTTATTGCCACAGTTGGAAGGATTGAGATTCCTGCCATGACCTGGAATGAACTCCTCGCTTTCTTATTCCAGTGCTCCAACAGCACAAACGCTGGTCATCGTGAAGTTGGAATTTACATCATCTACGCCATCTTCGAAGTCACCGATGCCTTTGCCGACAATTTGCGCCAACTCCTTGAGCTTTTCAGCCGTACAATTGTCGATCCTGACTCTCCTATCGTTCGCATCACCACTGTCCAGGCTTTGGGGAAAATGGCAGAATTCATTGAGGAGGATCAAAAAGACGAGATCAACATGTTTTCGGAGCTCGTCCCACACATGGTTAATGTTCTTCAGCAATGCCTTAATGATGGCGACGAAGAATCAGCTACAAAGTGCTTCGACGTCTTTGACGGCCTCTTGCTGCTTGAAATCCCCATTTTATCAAAACATGTTCAAAACCTTATCCAGTTCTTCTTGAGCATTGGGGCCAACAAGTCCTACGAGCCAGTTTTACGCGTCCAGGGACTTTCGTTCCTTATGTGGGCTACTGTTTATAAAAAAACGAAGATTCAGCGCCTCAAGCTAGTCGCTCCTATGATTCAGGCTTTAATGCCGATCGCTGCTGAGGAGGAGCCTGAGGATCAAGATGAAGATTCTCCTGCTCGTCTTGCCTTCAAGGTCATCAACACTTTGGCCACCAACCTTCCTCCTCAGCAAGTTTTCCCTGTCGCTTTGGAAGGCATCCTTGCCTATATGGCTAACGCTGAACCCTTATATCGCAAGGCTGCTATGGTTACCATGGCTGTTTTGGTTGAGGGTACTGTTGACTTTATCCGTCCCAAATTCAACGACCTTCTTTTGGTCGTTTGTGCTGGTCTTCAGGACCCTGAGACCGAGGTTCGTCGTGCCGCATGCATGGCCCTGAGCTCATTTGCTGAGGAATTTGACCAGGAAATCGCCGAGAACCATGCCAAGTTATTGCCTTTGGTGTTTAATTTAATGAACGAACCCACCCCTGAAATTACAAAGCAGGCTTGCAATGCTTTGGACGCTATATTAGAGGGTCTGGGGGAGAATATCCTTCAATATCTCCCTGTTCTCATGGAAAAGTTGTTGCACATGCTTGATCACGCTCAGGGCGAAACTCGTGCTATTGTTGTTGCTGCTATCGGTAGCGCTGCTCATGCCTCTGGACCCGAATTCACTCCTTACTTCCCTGAGGTGATTAAGCGCCTTCAGCATCTTATGACTCTACACTCTAATGAGGATGAGCTTATGCTTCGCGCCGTATCCACTGACGCATTAGGCGCTATAGCCGCATCTGTTGGCAAAGATGTTTTCAGAGTAAGTCGACTTAATATTTTTTTTCTAATTTTCGAGACCCTCTAACATTTTATGCCATATGCAAGCATCAGCCCTAATCCCTTTTCTGCTAAAATTACTATTGCTCTATGTTTATTAGCCTCATTTGAATAGTTTGATGAACTTGGCCATGGAAGGATTGCTTCTTGATAACACTCGTCTCCGAGAGTGCGGATATTACTTCTTTGCTGGAATCGCTCAGGTTTTTGAGGACGAATTCTCGCCTTATTTGTCGGGCATCATGCCTCAATTGATTGCATCGTGTCAACTGGATGAGAACAGTACTCGCTTTGACAATGAGGGCGAGGGTGAAGATGACGGCGAGGATACGGCGGAGGATTTGAACTACGTCTTCCGTTCCGCTATCGCTGACGAAAAGGAGGTCGCTGCCGATACTATCGGCGAATTTTTCCAGCATACTCGATCCGCATTCCTCCCCTATGTTGAGTCTAGCGTAAAGGAGCTCATCAACCTCACCACACATATGTCTGATGGAGTCCGTAAGGCCTCATGTGGTGCACTCTTCAATTTCCTGCGTACATTCTACAAGCTCTCCAACTGTGAGGAATGGAAGGCTGGGCTTCCTGTCGCGATCCCTCTTCATGATAATGTTGCTCAGCTTAACTCGCTGGTTATGCCTGCCATCCTTACAATCTGGGAAGATGAGGATGACAAGTAAATAATACTTTGGTCATAGTTGCCCTCTGGATGTACCTTCATATGAACCATTGACCCTGATTCTTATTTTTTTTTTCTACAATGATTAGGATGGTTGTTGTTCAAGTCTGCCAGGAAATGGTAGAAACTGTCAAGCTTTGTGGTCCTGGTGTAGTTGCTAATTGTATGTATTATATATTTATTTATTTATTTTATCTATATTTGTGGAGTCATTCACTAATACGAAGATCCTCGCTTCAATGGTCGTAGATATCACTACTATTGCTGAGCACTTGAATTTGATTTTTGAGAAAAAGGCATATTGTCAACAGGAGCTCGCTGATGAAGAAGGTCTCTTGGATGAGGATGAGCAGGCAGAGTTTGATGCGTTGCTGATTTCGTCTGCCTCGGACTTGGTTGGTGCCTTGGCAGCCGCTTTGGGCGAAAGCTTTATTCCATACGCCAAGGTCTTTGTACCTCATATTGCAAAATACTACAAGAAAACCAAGCCTACAAGTGAGCGTTCGATGGCCATAGGCTGCTTAGGCGAGATTGCTGCTGGCATGCTGGGTGGTATCACCGAGTTCACAGAAGTCATTTTCCCGATCGCTCTTAAGGGACTTAGTGACGAGGAGCCCGAGGTCAGAAGTAACGCTGCCTACACTGTTGGTGCCCTTTGCCAAAATACTAATTTGGACATTTCTACCCAATATCCAGCACTCTTGACTACTTTATACCCCCTATTCCAAGGCCAGAGCCTGGACAATGTTACAGACAATGCATGCGGTGCTGTCGCTCGTATGATCATGAAGTATCCCAATGCGGTACCATTGGACCAAGTCCTCCCAGTCTTTATGCAGGCCTTGCCATTGAAACGCGACTATGAGGAGAACGAACCAGTGTACAAATTGTTATTCTCTCTTATTCGTTCGCAAAACTCTTGGATTTTCGCGAATTTGACATCGTTGTTGCCCATTTTCGCAGAAGTTCTTTCTAAGGAGGATGAGCTCAAACCTCATACGCGTCAAGAGATGATTGAGATCATCAAAGCCTTAAATCAACAGTTCCCAGCGTTGAATATTAGCTCATCCCCCTTGAGTGCATATCTCCAATAGTCATTAGGAGAAATCTTTAACTTAATCAATAAAACCAGTAGAAAACCTGATCTAAGGTCCTTGGTCGGCTTTGATGCATATTTTAGGGATGCCTTAATCGGTTGATCGAAGTCCTTCAGCTATCTTTGGCATTTTTTTTATTTTTTATTTTATTTTATTTTATTTTTTTTTTTTTTGGCTTTTATTCACTTCTGTTTCATTGGTTTGGATGGTTTGGATGATTTTTGTTTTCTTTGTTGGTTGTTGTTGTTACTGTTTTTACTTTTCTTCTATCGCCTCCTGCCGTACCGATGGAGCCTGACCTTTTTTTGTTCTTCAAAATATATAAAAAAAATCACAACCACGAGTGAGCAATATAGTTCCTATCAAAAGGCAAGTCTCTCTTTAATTCGCCGGTTCTAACAAAACCACCGTATAGCATCGCCAAAACATCACCCAGTATCTTATCATTTACAGATAGACCGAGCTCACAATGGGCCGTCTCGACCAGATGTAAATATACATCCTGAATAGACTTAAGCATCTGTGACCTATCAGCGCAAGGACGGCATCGAGCTTCACGTCAGGAAACAAGATTGAGTCAATATCCCGCGAATTTTTTTGTTAAAACAATAGAAACGCTTAGTACAGTACCAAAACAAACGGTTCATTGTTCTGTATTACCTCCATGGATAGTGTGACATGTCAGTCACATGTAAATAGTAACTTTACTTATCAATTATTAGTTATCAATTAGGGATTGTCCTTCGCCCCTATTTAAATCAGTAGGAGGTGATAAATAAAGGGACGTCTCTCATTCATTTTCCTATCCATATGATTCATGTTGATCGCCATACTCCTCAGATAGACTTTTTAATGCATTTCATGCCAAAAATTATTGCTTGTATCGCGCTAGAGGACTTTTGTGATGAGATAAGATGGTAACTGGTGATCACATCGATAATCTAGTACAGCGACGTGTAGCTTGAAGAGTGTTTTAAAGCTTCTACTACTCACGTGTCGGAGCTCTCGCTCTGCTGTGACCAAAGGGAAACTGGACCACCTGAATTTCACTCAATCCTACAACTGGCTACTTACTTCAATAAGTACATTTTCCCGGTGAAAACACTACACTGAGCCAATAGCGAGATCAGCAATTAGGTGAATTCCTAAATATGCAATAGGGAGAAAAAAAGATAAAAAAGGTAAAAGGCTTTTTCATATCGCAGCAAGAGTGAAAACAAAAGCATTTATAATAATGGAGAGAGACGCCAGTGTAGAAAACTTTTTTTTTTTTTTTTTTTTTTTTGAATAGAATTGAATTGAGTTGGATTGAATTGATAGTTGTTTGGTGATCGAAGCTTGAAGGCTTGGGTCTTGATGACGGATAGCGAGAAGGCTCACTACGGACAGATGGAGTAAACACCTAACACTGATGGAAAACTCAGCGGCCTTAAGGAATGGGTAAGGCCTTTCTCAGGCTTCATTCGCAAAATAGACGCGCAATCTCGTTCACCATTGCTGTCGTATGACTTACCGAGATTAACCACTTCATTAATGGATCCCTTCATTGAATAAACCACAGCCCCGACCGCCGATAAAGCCAGCGAAACGGAACCTTTAAACGATAACACCAGCGCCAGCACCACTTCCGCCGATGACAGCGTCGGTTCCTCCGGTAGATGTGCATATAAACAAGTTAGCTCTAAATGTATGAACACCAAGAAGATGCAAATGCTTGCTTTTGTTGTCGCCTTGGTCTTGAGTACATGAGTATTTAGTGGCGCCTCTTTTCAATGGGATAGGCATGGTGGTCCTTCTCATCCAATGAAGCCGTGGCGGTCTCAGCATCGTTGCTGGGCGCAACATCAATTGGTAACATGGCCACGAGAAACAAAGACAGTTTCAAAAGGCTTTCATGGTGAATTTCCTGGTAAAGTGAGAGAAGTAAAACATCGTTAACTCTAAGCGATCAGGATGAGCATTACCAAGAATAAGACCATAGCAACCGACGACAACAGCCGCATGAAGGAAGTAAGGAAGTGTGCTTTTGTGAAAGGGAACCTGAGGTTCATATTTACACAAGCGAGATGATCCGGAGCCTAGGCTCCTTTGCAATGCTCGAGAGCTCGGCTGGTTCATGGCAAGCATGGTATAATTATTGCATGCCTAGATGTAGGGGGAATGTTTAAAAAATGGAACGTAAAAAATAATACGTAAAGGATACGAAGGATGAGAGCCCGATATAGAATAGAGACCGAGTGAAATTAAAGTTTGTTTGTGTTACACCTCGCATAACATTTGCCCACAGCTGAACACATTTGCATTCGCCAACATATAAAGAACAGGTCCAGAAGCATTTTGTTTTTAAAAAAAGTTATGTCTAATACCCTTCTAAAAAAAATATTCCCAGCTAGTAAAACAATCATGAGGAAATGAACTTCATAAAGCAGTTAGACTGGAGCGGTCGTGGGCGAAGAATCGGGTCACTCAATTATTTCCCATACTTTATTGATGAAAGCCATCGTTTCAGTCGTAGTTGCTGCACTCGACGACTGCGCCAACCGCGTAAGGCCTCGCCGGATGGCAGCTTCATTGGAGTCCGTCAATACCTCCGCTGTTACCACATGAGCTGCTGAAATGGCTGCAAGTAACTTCAGGGAGGTAACTGCGATTGTCTCCTCAATACTTTCAATCCCAAGGACTGCGACATCCATAGCCCATTGACTGGTCTCCCTTGACACAGTGCATCCTCCTACCGTAGATATAGCACTAGCAGCTGTGTAAAGGACCTGTATACAACCCTGAATTAACGGCAAGTATTCTTTTTTACTAACTAGCAGAGTATTATCACGAAGAAATGACATCGCACATTCTCCAAGGGTCGGGGAAACCAGATCCATTAGGCGACACGGTACACAGTCTGAAGACGGGGCTGGAGAGAGATGGTTTACTGTCGCTTGGGATCCAATTGTGGACCCGGATGCCAGGCTTTGCATCGTCATGAAAAGTACATTAATTAAGCAGAGCGCTGAGGGCAAGTTGGATCTGCTCCCCTTGATAATTACGTCCGTAAGTACAGAGAGAATGTCTCTCAAGATGGCTAGCAACAGATCCTGAGGTGAACTGGGTATTGGAGATATGCTATTTTCTGCCTGGGTTATCACTTCATCACCCCTAAGCTCATCTATTGGTGCATTTACGCTTGAAGTATCACAGTCCTTGCTGATCCGCTCCAAACCCTTGGAAAAACAACCGCTGTTGTATGGAGCCGTACACAATATGGTCTTTGAGAGTACGTCAACAATACCGAGTTGTAACTTATACAGCTCGCTCATAAATACTAAGAGGTAGCAGTGCGGTTAGAAACTTTTTTACGGATTCTGTTATTCGACCAAGGGGAGCAGTTGTGAACGTACCATTTTGTTCAGAAGTAATTCTCACAATCGGATAAAAATAGTTGGTGATAATCCGGTAAATCCATTGACAGGCTTTGCTGATTTGCTCCGAGGTATCGGATTGGATATTCCAATTCACAATCCAATCATACATTGCAAACAGCCAGGACCGACTTGCAGCTAAATCAAGCTGATCTACTTGTAAGGGTTTCAATCCGATCACTTTACTCATACCCGTATATATTGCCTCCAATGAAGAATCCGGGAACATGCTGTGAGTAATTGCTGTGGAGAGAGTTCTGACTATGCTAAACTCTAGTGGGTTGTCGATTCTATATCACAACCACCCAAAAAGACTGTATTAATAACTTTTTTTTTATTAAAAAAAAAAAAAAAAAAAAAAAAAAAAGAGAAAAAGCATTGTGATACGTACCGTTCTGCCAAAGCTAAACGCATCTTTTCGGGAATGGGCTTTGCGTCGTTGTCAACACCAGAGGGCTTATTCAACTTCCTATACTCACGTGCGAATCCGTGAGCAGGAATTGTCTATTGAAGCATACAGAGTGTATAAGTATCTCTCTTTTTTAAAGCCTCAAAGGACCTACAAATGCAGTCTTCACACAGTACCTTGAGAACCAACAATGGCGACAGGCGGGCAAAACGAAGGTCATCGATCGCTTCATCGGTAACTTCCAGAGCCACTTCTAGAAGATCTTCTCCTAATACTCCCTGGCGCTCCATAATCTCCAGAATGGCAGTGGAAAGTGATACAATAGCATCAGTACTCGCGGCGATCGATGGAGCAAGATTATTCCAAACACGGATCAAAAGTTGGTCAGAGGGGGATCCATAGGTTTTTATGACCATTCGATCAATAAAACTTTTCCAAATTGCGCAAGGGATCATTTCCCCTAATTTCTTAATAACACGGAGTAGATCATCCAGAGGAATATCCCCTTTATTATAGAAAGGAGAAAGATATAATGGTTATCAATAGCACCGAAAGTTCGAGGACATACAGATGAATTCTAATACCCAATCCTACCATGGTCGGCTGATATTCCTGTAGCTTGCTTGAATTTTAAAACGAGTTGTGCAGGACTGTTGATCTTGCAGCCAGAGTTTGGCACAGGGATGTTTTTTGGGAGGCCTCGTCTAAGTAATCATAGCAGAGAGTTAGGATATGTTTGAGATGCATATAGAGGAGCTGAGGAATATACCCATTTCATTGAGACAGCTACTAGCATTTGCCCTACCGAAGATACTCTATAAACCAACTAAACCCATCGCCAACGTATCCGCCCTTACTTTGAGATAGCATATAGTCAATCAAAATTAGCTCAGCATTTGAGCGGATTTGGCTATCGTCGGAGGTAAGCTTCCTCACAAGTATCCCAATGACCTTGCGTGGGTTCACTAGATTATATAAAGCAGTAATATCAGCCTGGCATAGCTATTTTCAAAGCATACTAAATCCTTCCGCTGAAGATTGAAAGGAGCTTAGAGAGACATACCAATTGAGACAACGAAAGAGCTTGCTGTCATCTTGATCTTAACGTCATCGATCAATAGCAGGTCTATCATAGCATCTTCCAACTGAAATCTTTTCCATACTCAGTAATGGTGGAAGCAGACAAGAAATGAGTGAGCAAGGTGGTTAGAAGTAGGACTTACTTTTGATCCTCATCCTCAGATAGAGTTGTAAAAAAATTCATTTCCGCCAGTGCCTTAACAACTTGAGTAGAATTCCATAATCTATTGTAGACCCGGACTTCATTCATCATCGAGAAGCTTTGATCTGAGCTACTTTGAAGGCGAACTATCAGTTCCCGAACAAGAAGCGCTGGAAAGAATGTAATCAGATGGGCTAATAGGTGAGCGAATTTCATTGTGATTTTATGTGGAGTGTCCAAACTAGTGACTAGCCACGATTTCATAGATTTAAGGCCCACATCGGTCATATTTGGAGCAAGCGCTTTTTGAAGGGCTAGCGCGCTGTTATGTCCGAATACTTGATCTATATTGGGCTACTTTCCGCCATTTTCAAGGTTTCGAGATTTACCAAGTAAGTCTACTTTCTTATTGTATCGTAATATCGTACGGCCATATGAATTGGCAGAACACTCACCTCAAGGCATGTAAAGTATGCATGCAAAACACTCTCAAGAGGCTCCCTCAAAGCACTAAAAAGTTGATCTAGCGTAATTGATGGGCTACAGAGTCCGAAAGTGGTGCATATTGCGACAAGTTTTTGATATGGATGGATTTCCTGAGGAAAATATTGACTTTAGAACTTTTAACGTATATCATATCCACACAAGTGAGTGCTTACTCTCACACACGCCACAGCATACCATTTGCACATATCTATTTACTTGATCCATCAATGATGACGGTATCAAGCTATTACTCCTTTGTATGAGAATGGAAGAAATAATGCTCCATGTCTGCGCATACGAAGTGAAGGCATGGCATGAGGACACAACTGCTCCTGACTTCCAGCACTTGTTGAGACTAGACAGTATATCCAGAGTGTCTAAAAGACTTGCAGATGCCGCTTCATTTCTTTTTATGTTCCACTATAAAATATACAAAAGCATATGATTGTTAATCAATAGTAAGTCCCCCCCCCCCCTTCTTTTTTTTTTTTTTTTTGGACTCGTTACTACATATACATACAGTTTGATACTCTGTAAAGATTTCATGCATGGCCTGCATGCTTTTTAAGAAACAGCGTCCATGGACTGATTGCAAGAGCTTTTGTGTTTCGTCCGGATCTACAATCATTACAAGGTTCTTCTTGCGCTCTTCTTCCAAGTCACGAATTTTGATTAAATACTCATCAGCAAAGATTTTGGATGCATGGATCGCCACGTCTAAAGCGAGACTTGTGAGACGAGTCATATATCGGTTGCCTTCGGAGTTGACTGGTCTATAAATTTACTTTTTAGTGTATAAGAATGAAAGTGGCCATTACACATGCTTTAGAGACACTAGAGGATTCGTAGTACGTACGTGTCATTTTGGATTATGTGCAATAGCGGATTAATCCAATCCAGTAGAAATTGTCCGTTGGGGAACTGCTCACCTCCAACTATCTTACAAATACAACAATTAGATTCTTCATTAATTGTTAAAGTAGCGTGCGCCACTCATCATGTCAAATATCCTAAGCTCGTACCGTTATTTGCTGCCAGTTGTTGTTGAGTAGAACTATTTGTTATCAGGTCATTCCTGCATCGCTTCGTGGATTTTGTCGGGCAGAAGTCCTGTGTATGTAATGCGTGCTCAATGGCCAACAAAACGGCCAGCTTGCGTCTTTTTTCGACCGAAAGTGTTAGCTCTTTGCTCAGAGCACGCGCTACCAATTCCCTATGAGGCCACCATAAAATCATCCAGTCCAACAATAGGAATGAGATCTGTTTTTCTGATTCTCCTGACTTTTTCAGAATCTATTACTCACCAATGATGAGAAAAAACATCTATTAGCCAATCCAAAATAAAAATCCACAGTGTCGCAAAATGCAAGACTCATGCCTTTTACTACCTTATCCAGCAATGGCTCATAAACCTCTTCAGCCCGCTCCGTGGCTATCTTGTTGGTGTCAATATGCTCCACTAGCGCCTTTAGGGCAGACGAGAGAACATCTATTGATCCACCAAGCGCTGTCAATTCCCAAGTCTTCAATAACATTGATGTGATACCACAATTTGCGATTCTTCCAAAACTCAGTTTCCAGCGGTTCACCTGACGACATACTTTCACGATCAATATCGACAATTGCTTTTCGAATCGCGGATCGATTGGCCTGGAAAAGAACTAGAAAGGAATGCCCAAGATTTGGTTGGCATTGTTTCTGTGTCGCCTCCGCAGATTTCATGTCCGGCTGTACATCATTCATGTGTTTTAGCAGTTCACGAATTGTGATCCTAGTTCATGTTCAGCATTGCATGTGTTCTTAAACTGTTATTATTATTATGACTGTTTATTTAAAATTACAAGTCTACAACAGCCTCTTTCGCCCAAGATTCTTCCGCGTTACTTTTGCATCTGACCCAATGATCTTGGGTGGCGATATAAGACCAAGACGGGGCGAAGATTGCCCTGTACTGGCTGTATGAACTTCGTAGTTTACAAGCGGCGTCTCATAGTGTAGATATGGTACTTTCTTCCATGGTACGCCAGCCACTCCTGGTACCGTACTAGAGTCTACTGTGTGGTCAAGACTAGCGTGCAATGGCATATGGATTACACCTTTGACGACACCGTTGCACTTCTTCAGCTTAGATAGAGGGATAGGTGTAAGAATATGAAAAGTACGAGTGGAGGGCTGAATGCTCCGAATAATAGCAAGACCGTGGCAAGTCGTATACTCGGGTGGAGGAGGAGGATACTGTCCTATTGGAAAGTAGTTGATCTGTCTAGCCAAGTCATCGTTTGTCAAATGAGGGTGCTGTCCGTCAACCGTTTTAGAACTGTCACATTTTTTGCTCTTCGCCTCTTCTTTGTCCCCGATCAATGCCACGAGACTTGCATTGAGGACGTGCAAAATTTGGCTCGGAGGTACTTGATCAAACAGAACCCAAACTCCTTTGGCATTACTCCAATCCCAGCACCATGGCCGCCGTACTACAAGTGCTTGTGTGAAATCCCATATTAAGCGATCTCCGCTGCTTGAGTTTAGTCCTGAGTCTGGTCCTTGCTTCAGGTAAAAGTATGAAAGCAATGCAAGGGCTCGATGGTCTGCAGGATGGTATTTTGTGAAAGGGGAGATGTTGTTTTCGTCGCCGAGGGCCACTGCCTCAACATAAAAGATCGTGGGGCACGGGTGTCTGATTTCTAATGCCCGGCTCTTCAAGGTGGATGAAAAACTCTGTGGCAAGTTGGATTCGCTGTAGGATGGAGAATGGAATCCAAAAATATGCGAAGGCACTGTATAGTCCAGGAGTTCCAGCAAAAGATTATACCCCATTCCCTTGATCCATCCTTGTGTGTTAATGATCAATGGTATATGTTCGTCTTCAACACTACTATTATAATCGATATCATCCGCATCCATCCAAGTCTGTGTATGCGTCACCTCACTATAATATGTTTTGATTAGCTCCTTGATACATGCCATGTAATATTCAGGATCATCTCTCGGCGTGCTGTTTCCAACAAAGAAAGCGCGATATGGCTGTCTCGGATGAGTAAACGGTGCGCCTAACGCAGGCGTTTCTATTATATGTAGGGCCACCATGCCAACAGGGGTGAATTCTGACTGACCTATATCACATTCGATAAACGCGACTTTCTTATACCTTTGGATGAAGAAAAAAGGAAGTTAGTATAAAATTTTCTTTCTTATTGATAATTTTTCCTATATACATTTGGTAATATTTATGGAGGTAATAAATAGCTTACCTATTGAGCATACGATTTAGTAGTAAACGCGAAAGTGTTGATTTGCCCATCTTCTTTCCTCCACATACTACAGAGACTGGTGGCCGACTGATAAACTCTCCATTCTCATCCACAGTGGCTTCAATAAGTGTTTGAATTGCTTCGTGCCAAGTAGGTGGGATTTTCATTGCTGAAATGCTGTCTGTAGGTTCTTGAATAGGATGGAAGCCATTCATACTAGTCTCAAACCGAGTCTGTGCTAGCTTATCTGGATCCCCCATTTCACGAGGACGTGGCAAATGTTTGGCAGATAAAATTCCTTTGAATAGGGGCACCACTTTTTCAATACCAAAAATCCCAGAGGAGACGCCTGATTGTATTGCAAGCACAGTATCAAAATCATCAAACACTACATGAGTAGTCAAAGCCTTTAGTTGTTCTTGTAACTCGAATGACGCTTGCTCGACTTTTTGTGGGACCAACTGTTCTCTTTTGACGGAGCCAGCACTAATAGACTCAACGACTGCAAGTGCGTGTGTTCTAGGCGATATTACTGTGAAGCGTGATATTGAAGATAAGTTGGATGCATTTAGTGCTGATTGAGACTGAGTTATTTCAGACGGATTTTTCCTGGTGCCTCCTGGTCCTGATAAAATATAGCCTAATACCGATGCATATCCACTAAGAGGAATGATGTTTATGCATCCTTGAAAAACAATCGTCTGCAAGATGTCATCATGAAAAGAGTTAGCAAAGAGCTCCATACATTATCCAGACTATGCTACTCTTCTCTTTATATGGAGAAAACAGACATACCTCACCCTGTTTAAGGCCAACGACTATAATATCCGAATTTCCTTTGGTAGAAGAGTAGGCAACATTGTCAGGTGTTGGTTTAAAGGATGAAATAGACTGAGGATCAAGGAACAACCTATATTATATGAAAGTAGTAAGGTGAGAAGCCATTGAGCACCTGAATAAAAATCCCCGGCAAATGATGCACTTACTTGCGCTCGCGCCGCTCATATAGGGGTAGGTTACCAGCGTCTTTGATAGTGGACTTAGGCTTGATTCCGACATCATATCCCTGGTCGGAGGAATTCCCTCCATCATCATCGCTATCAGTATTTAGTGATACTTTTGATGCCTCTTCATCATTATCGATATCAACATTGTCGACCTCAACATGTTCTTCAGACTCCGGTGTTGATGGTTTGCTTGTGGAATTTGAGGGCACATCCTCCAGTATCGACGCCTTGTGCGATACCCCGGCCTTATATGTGTCGCCTAATGCTGATGCTTTATTAGCGGCCTCTTGTAACTGTAGTCTTCTTGCTGCTAGAGCACTAACTGGTGGTTGCTGTACTGTTACCGTGGATACAGCTGTTGTAGTACGTACTTTTGTAAATAGTCGAGTGACAAGATTGACTGGTTAACTCATGCATGACATGCAAGAAGTCAATATGACTTGACATGTTGGTTGTCATGTCCAAGATTTCTTACCGATTTTCTGCTTCTTTGCTTTTGGAGACATGGTACAAATTAAACAATTCCAGAGTATTTATTTCTTTTCTTTTTTTTTGTGTACAAATCATGTGGCTTTGATTGGATTTTTTTTTTTTTTTTTTTTCAAGCATGTAGCACAGAAAGATGGGGAATGCCAAAGACTGAGAAACCCAGACGTTTCGCCCACTTGGCCATACCCTCTGTTTCAATTTCATGATCAACGGGTTCGATTGGGAAAATGACCCCCGATCGATGGACAGCAGCTTTGACTAAGGTGAATGTGCCCCCAACGCCATCTAGAGGCACTAGTCTAGGGGTATATAAATCCAGATCCGTCATTGATTGACGGAATGTGGGGTGATACTGTTCGTAACCTACAAATTAACAGTGAGAGCGTTAATAGAGCCTTGATGACCCTCAAATTCCATTTTAAGAGGAGAGCTTAGTAGAGTCAACTTGCCTTCAAAAAGAATGTCACTTGGATCAAGAGTACGTTGATGAGCCATGGATTCTGTCGTTTCATACCAATTATTACGGTCATATGGTACCCTCCTAGCTTTTGGCCAGGCAGGCTCGAAGCGGAAGCAGTTAGGGACTACAATATCTTTATCTAGCTGCATAAGCTCGAGGAGTAAGCTTGGCGAATAGTGTATTACATCAACATCAAGCCATAACACCCATGCCTCATCCATCAAAGCTGAGGTCAGAAGTATGTTTCGACAGCGTGCCAACTCTTTTCTACGCGCCTTTTGATACTCAAAAGCATGCCTCTCATCGTGCTTGAAGTCTGTAGCCTCTGAAGCCTGATGGATGATGGTTATCCTCTTGTAAGATGGTCTAATAGGCAAACTAGATATATGTGAGCGCAATGTCTGTAGTGTAGGGTCTTGTTGGCTGTCTTTAGTCACCGTAGAGACAAGAAACCCCAACGAGATTAGCTCCTTAGGGTAGGATAACTGCGACAAAGTGCGAAAGTAACCTTTAAGATACATGGCTGCGTCCATAAGCGGAGTCAGGATGAGAACAGAGGCACTACACGAATTATTCTTTGGGTTTTCCATCGACTCACAGGCCTTTAACCTGTCGAAATTATGGAGTTGATAGGTCCTCTCTCGACGCTGGGGCGAAGGGAATCCTTCACAGGCTCTCACCGCATGCTGAGGCCTGGCTTGCAACCGCTGGATATAAGTAAAAATAGACTTATACTGGACGAAGGCAAAAAGGGCGCCGCCGAATATAAGGCAGACAATTAGCATACGCCTGTGAACTGATGGCATAGTTGAGAGTAATTTGGAGAGTGTGGTTCGTTGCGTAGTGCAAATCTGCTCTCTATCGGCCTTTATTGATGTCTGCACATGTCAGGTGCAAGCGTACAATTTTTAATTTTTAGCAATCTCGTTGATCGTGCTAGCCCTCGAGGTGATTCATCTCTATAAATATCTCACAAAAGGAAGAGATTGTAAAAAATACATTGTTTCTCAGTTGATCCGCTATTCCTTCCATCGAAGAAGCGATCAAGGGGCAGAGGTTTGTAGAAGGTAAGGTAATTATGCTTCTCAAAGCAAGCTACTTCGTGAGCTCCATGATACGATACTACATTGCTATTATGACGGAGCTTTGACATCCATTAAACTGGTTCTATCTTGTGCGGAGCTATTCCTTAAGGAAGAGATTCTGCTATGTTCATCTGCTGCATTGTCAAGCGATGCCGAGCGTCAGATGGAATTTTCATACTTGATCTGGCCTGTGTGGACTAATACTACAAAATGATGTCGTGGCCACTTTGCCGGAGCTACCTTAGCAATCTACATATATGTAGTAAGTATTCTTTATCCATTATAATCCATGGGTTGATATATTTGTACAGGAAGCGCTACGTAGAAACCATGACAGAGATGGTACCATGGAAGCTTGGTGCCAACTTAGGACATCGAGCGTAAATGCCTAGGTTTCCACACATAGTATTTTAAATATGGTATATTGACTCTACACTTGAGGCGCTGTCAGAAGTTGCAGTAAGAAGTGAACTCCTGATTCTTTTTCAACGTCGCAATTATAACATATTTTGATTGGTACACTTCCGATATTTTCCTCCCTGCTTTGGTGACAAGAGCTACTACTTCGTCGCTCAATATGAGACCTTAAAGCTAAGGACTTTTGTTGTTAGTTCTCTGTTGAAACTCATGCGACCCACCTTCTGGATCGTCCTCATGGCTTATAAGTGAGAAGTCATGGGAGCTGGCGCTTTGGGGCGAAATACTCAGTTATATCATACTAACCTATACCAACAAATCGTGATTGGAGTCAAGAGCAGATCTTGTCTTGCATTGGAAAGACAGTCTTTCCAGATAAGTATGCATGTGACGAGAAGTTGTCTTGTGAAGCGAAGTTCAGTCTACTTGTTTTATGACACTCATTCGTGCTGATTCCTAAGGTACACCTCCTCATATTTCATCAAATCGGAACCGGCGCTGATAGCAATAGTAGCAGTTTTATCAGCTTGGCCACAATAGGCCTTACAATATGCTTATCAGATTGAAAACGGACATGGATAGACCTTCCATCCTAATTGAAGCAACAGTACTTCCACGCCTTTCAAGTAGCAGGCAACATTGCTGTTACTGGGTTACCAAAGTGCAGGAAGGATGTTGGAAGCTGATTGGTGTGTGCCTCCTATGTGTCAAGAGCCAAGCATTAAGACCTAGCGATCTACGGACAAATCCCATTCATGAAATATATTAAGCTGAATTTTCAATGGATAAAATTGCTTTTAACTTAAACTATTGTTCTAGCTGTGAGATACCTTTCCAAATGGACTACATGGCTGGTTCGAGCTCCAATACTAAAATAGGAAGAAAAGTGACGACTTTCTTTTTTAGACTTTTCTTCTTTTTCAGAACAAGGGAACTCCTACATTTTCACCTCATCACATCAGAAAAATGCCATGCATCCTAAAAATCAGGGTCATTGGAGCCAGGGATCTACCTGTAATGGACAAGGCATCTGATCTAACGGATGCCTATGTCGAAGTCCGCTTTGCTGATTTTGAAGCCCAACGCACAACTGTCTGTCGTAAGACATTGAATCCAGTTTGGAACGAGGTACCTCCCAATTGGTTGGATTGAAAGACGTTTGCATCCATGTTTTTCGAAACACCAAAATCGATCTTTTTTTTTTTTTTTTTTTTCCTTTTCCTTATTTCTTTCTTACTTTTAAATATCGGATGCTATAACTTCCTGCTTTTATTTAATACAGGATTTTCGATTTGAAGTGACAGACGACGCAGATCTTCAAAACGAGCCGCTGGAACTCAAAGTATTGGACTATGATGCTATAACCGCTAATGATTCCGTAGGGTCTGTGTTCATTGATTTGAATCCTCTTTTACCAGTTAATTCGCCTTGGCAAATCGCAGGATGGTTCCCAATATATGACACAATTCGGGGTGTTCGAGGGGAAGTTAATGTTCAGGTCAAACTGCAGTTTTTTGGCGACGTTAACCCATTTAAGGATTCATCGGCTGGGATTATGTTCTTTTCTACAACGTCTTTACCAGCTGGATATCAAATTGTCGCGATGCATGGTTTCGTGGATGCGATTGTTAATGAAGATGATCCTGAGTACCATTGGAGTGACAGCTTTCGCACGCAGCGATCGTCGAACGAGGCTAGACAAAGACTCCTCTTCAGGCTCTCTGGACAGCTTCGCCGCTTACTGGGGAAGGAGACATTGGACATGGGAGGAAATGCTGTCTTGGGATATCAGCAGTGCTTTGACTTAGAAAGCGAAGAACATGCTATCACTGCACGTGCTGTTGGGACAGCCGTCAAAATTGCTGTCGTTACAAGTTCCACACCTCAACTCAGTGAGAAGATACAAGCAGTCGCCTTGAATGATCTTCACACAGAGGATATCCTCTCATCGACTTTGGATAGCGCACAAAGAACCAGCCCAATTAATGCCAATACAGAAGGTGTACCTCCTTCATTGGCTCAACGACGGCGAGAGTCCTCAATCTCGACAGAAACTAGTGGCAGTACAAATTCTGCTCCTTCGGTTGCCAGTGGTGCCAAAAACAGTATCAATAACTATAAGTACCTGGAGCAGCAAATATTTACATTACATGAATTCCCACCAGGAACAGTGTTCAATCTAGGAGGCATTGTCAGCGCAAGATCCGTGAAGCTTATTGAAAATGATGATGTCGAGACGCGTGACGCCTGGTGGAATGAGTTAAGGGATGAAATTAAATCGCACGCACGTGTGCTCGGCTGTTCTCATGTTATTGGTTATCAGGAGGCTGCTACTATCAACGATGAGCTTATTGTACTTTCAGCCGTAGGGACAGCAGCTAATCTTGATATGACAGCGTTTACTCCGGGCTTTTTTGATGCAAACAAAAACTTGTCGCGTTCTGGCAGTATCAGCCGATCTTATGTCGACAATCCTGCTGATAGCTTTTCATCATCTATCGGCGGAGCCAAAGCGAGCCTCCAAAATTCGCTCAAAGAGCAACAATGGATGGAGTTGCTCGCTAAACGTAAGAGCAAACGAAAACAACCATCAGGTAAAGTTTCTACAGAGCGTGTGTATTTTACTTTCATACCTATACCAAGGTTAAACGACTTTTGCTTTTTTTCTTACCTATCCTTTTGTCAATTAGCCTGTAGGATGTGTCATATTCCATTTCATCGAAAATCATCGCCTTTCCCAATGAGTTTGGTCAAATGTCAAAAATGCAAGAAAAAATACGTCCCTGAAATACTACTTAGCACAGTTGAACCACCAGCAGAGTTGGGAGTAGTTGGGCAAAGCGCTTTTGTGGAGGCGCACGTCTGCCGAGCTAAAAAAAGAAAGGACGGAGAATCGAATGCAACTATTGTTAGTGATGCGATTCCTTTCGTAGAGTATGACCTGCATCGTCAACTTATGTACAAACTGAAAATTCATGGATTGAATGCCATATTTGGACTTCGTTTCCAACTCACTATAGGTGATTCCCTTATTGTTGCTGTCGCAAGCGGCACGGCTATGTATCTCTCCGCTTTACCTACTCCTCCAGCGCTCAGGATATCCAGAAATCTTGATGTCATTGATGAAGAAGACAAAAAATTACTGGAAATACAGCGCAAGATCATGGATCTCTCAGAAAAAAACCGACAAAATCTGGAGGCAGAAAAATTGAAAGAACAGGATGACGGAGAGCCAAGTACAATATTACCTCTTAGTGATGGTGTCCAAGCCGCGCAACCAGATGATGACAGCTCGGGTTCAAGTTCAGATTCAGATGACGAAGTAGAGAAGGAGAATTATCAAACTAATGTTGTAATCCAGATTGATGATGACGCTGACGAAGACCTCATGGCTGTCCTATTGGACCCCGTTTTCACCGATGGATTTCTCCTCTGCAGTACAGAGACGCTTCCCAACCACCCGTACTTCGTTAGCACAGATCCTATGATACCTGACAATGCCCATTTGATCACCACTGTTAAGCAGGGCCATATCAACATGATATCCCATCATCCTAACCGACAACTTGCTGCACTCTTTCGGTCTATATATGAGGACCTTCGATTTCGATTGTCATACTTCACTGACTGCGTTCTTGCCGGCATATCATACCATATTCAGCTGCCACGAGCAAATGAGGTTCAAATTCAGCTAACAGGGGTTGCTCTTGGGCAACAGCGCCAGGCAGATGCGTTAGAACCTCTTGGTGTTCCGATTACACTCTCTCCTTGGAGATCAATTCCAAGTTCAGCGATCCTAACCGCCAGTCATTCTAGAGCAGATTCAGAAAATGGACTTTATCTAACAGGCGCTTCTCCTATTACAGCAAGACCTACAGCAGTCGATGAATCTATGGTTTTCCAAATGGACGAATACCCATTATCTGAGCCATCGAGGTCGGCTCTTTCGACACAAGCTGCAATGGGGCCCATTGACATATCTAAGGATCTTGAAACCAGCCGAGTGTCATCACACCAAGTAATGACTCAAACACCAGGTGACAAAATCACGGAATCCACTTCTACCATAGTTCCAGACACGGCAATTCATGACCATAATTGTCGAATTCGTGCTATCGGTAATGAATCCAGCTCTCAAGAAGATGGCTCTGGCATTCGAGTCGGTGACTATTCCCTGCAAGACAATCTATCACAGATTCCATCAGCTGTGAGTTCGAATCTGGCGCCGCCACAGAATCTAGCAAAGCACTCCAACTCCTCAAACGGAAGTCAGCATAGCGAAAACAATTTTGGAGTGGGGGCGACTAGACCAAGATATCAATTTGGACGCAATGGACGTCAGCAGTCTATATCCTCTACTCTTGGTCCGCAGGAGCAAGTAGAGGAGCTAGGTAGGCTCACACTATTACCTATGATGCCTGCTGATCGACCCTTCATTGAGATGACGCCACTATCCTTTATCCCGGGAAGAACTCCGACTCGATATTTGGGTAAACTTTCATTACACTTTGTCAAGGAAACACACATTTTGCATGATGCGACCGTCTCTAGTGGAATGGGTGGGTTTGTGCACGTGTTTTTGATGGAGATTCAGGCCGTAGCAAGATCACATGTGGCAGCATTAGGCGGGGATGCTATTCTTGGCCTGCGTGTAGACGAGAGTTTTTTCCAAGAGAGTGTCAAGAATCAGGGATATGCACTGATTTCTATCAGTGGAGACGTTGTCGGCTGTGCATTATTGGACGAAGAATCAGTCTCATCCCATTCTTCCGATTCTGAGGATGAAAATAGACAAGGAGGAGATGCGATCAATGGGGGTGGGGGAGATTCCGACAGTAGCACTGAGGGTCACACAGCAAAACTAGGTGGATGGCAGAGTAGTAAGGGTATTAATGGCATGGATATTCCGTCATCGACACTTCAGAGCGATGAATAGCTTTTATACTATGTATATTGTATTTTATGATGCATTAATATTAGACATTATGAAAAGAATCTACAGTTCTGTACTTGACTCAAGCATACGGTGATATATCCGAATGCCTGGTCGATGATTGTACTGAGCAAAGCCAACCAAGTCTTCTTCTGAAAGATTATTGGACAAGCCGACTCCAACATGAACAAGTGTTGGTAATCGTGCTTTTAACTCCTTAAGATCAATGAGTTCTAAGCTGTGATTTTGAAGGATGGTGAATTTTTCGAGTCGATCCAACTGGCATAGATATGAGACTAGATTCTATAGTAATTAAAGACAGCACAATACAAAATAGACATAAGCATTTCAGCCGTTGGCACACATTCCCTTCAACAAACAGCAACAAAAAAAAAAAAAAAAGAGATAGAGAGAAAAGACGAGAATTCTGATAATGCTAATGCTGCAAGTCTGATCCTTACCACGGGAACCCAAGTATCAGCCAATTTAGCGAGTCGAAGAGCTTGCAGTCTCTCAAATCTAATCACAAGGCTTTGCAGAAACCTAACCTGAGCCTCCCAGCCATCTTCAGCATATGGCCTTGGGAACTTGTCCATGTATTCCAGTTGCTCCAGATTTGCACAAGGCACAAGTTGCTCTGTAAATATGTCTTTTGTCAGATTTCTGCAATGCCATAGCTTCAATATTCTGAGCTCGGTACATTTGATTAAAATATCCTGTAGAGACTCATTCATCACTAAAGGTACTCGTTCCAGATGAAGCTCTTCCAGCTGATTCAGGTGAAGCGATATGGATGAAAACGTCCTCAGTGTGAATTGCGATCCAAAGATGGTTAAGCTTTTCATCTGATCACAGTTAAACATGATTGCTACCATAGCCTCATCCGATATCTCTCCACAATCTATGAGGCTGAAGCTTTGAAGGTGCGTCAAGGGTGTTTCTGTTAGGAAGCATAATGCATCGTCTGTGATGGAAGGGCCTCCGAGTGTCAAATGCTCAAGCCATAACTGTGATTTTAAAAAGAAATTGATATGCTGTGATTGAATGCCTGTACAATTTCGGAATTCAATCGTTGACAACTTTCCAAAATGTTTGGCAGTTTGTTGAAGTGTGTACGCATATCGATCCAATGCAAGTGATGGATGAATTTGATCTGAGGGATGTGAAGATGTCGTTAATGGCTCGAAATCTGGATGACTAGACATAGAAGAGGTGGATGGTGAAGAGATGGTTGAGGATGATGTTGAGGATGAAGGCGCTATAATAGAGAGAGGAGAGCCGTATAACGTGCTGTTTGTCGTCCTATTAGTGCTTTGCTGCGTCCACGGAGTTTTACTAAAATCTATCTTTTGCTTTTGGCATGACGAAAATATATTACTCCGGTTCATGCTGTACATCTTTTGTAATCCTTCAGTCGTAGCCTCTAGTAAGGCAGTACAGTTTATCAGTCTCCATGATCTTAGACGCGTGCATGTTGCTGCAATTTGATTCACAACAGTGTCCGTCATTTTGGGAGCTTCGATCGTCAACACCTCTAGATCTGTGCATGTTTTGCTGATCCAACCAAGTGACTCGTCCGTGAAGGAATCGCCATGAATTTCAAGACTCCTAAGTTGATGACAATGACGTAGGATTGTACTAAGTTCCAAATCTCCCATCGAATCCGGACAATCAAGTAGGTGAAGCTGAGTTAGTGCTGAAAAGCAAGGTTCAAGACAAAGCAGTGCATCTAAAGGAACATGCATGCTCCCTAGCGTGAGCTGTCGTAAGGCCTTGGAATTTGCGAGGATGCAAAGTAGATGGTTTGTGAATGATAAATGAGAAGCCTGTATATCCAGAGACCGAAAGCCTATTTTACTTGATCGAGCCAAGATCTCCAAATGATGATTTGAGAGTGTATTTGCCAGGATACTAAAGTCGATTCTGCGAATGAATTGAGCACGATGATAAATGCGTTGTCCATGAAAAGGAATCCCATACTCCTTACGCTGTCGATAAGGTTGATAGAGTGTGGGCACGAGTGAAAGTGATGATAAGGATGTTGTGGTTTTGGAGATCTTGGAGGTACTGACTGTTCTGTCATGCATGGTAGCAGAGCGACGGAGGGAGGAAGCTAACGAGATGGGAATTGAGGCTGTGGCGGGACTTTCTGTGGCAACGGGTCCTGGTTGATCGGCCTCATGCCGAAGGGTATCAAGCAGCAGACGGAAACTGTAAAGGGAATGACATTGAGGATATCGCCATAGCAAAACCAGGCCAGTAGCAGCCCATTCAGAGTTGACGAGACAACAGGAATGTAAGTCTGATTGAGTCAAAAGATCGAGTGAAAGGATGTGATGCAAGATGTCCTGGGACGATAGTGCAATTGCGGCAGCTGTCATGTTGAGATGCAAAAGTGAAATAGAACGCTAGCAGGCGACGGACGAGATGGCCAGCAGGCCCAGAAAGAGAGAAAGGAAGAGAGAAAATAAGGGAGAATGTGTGGTGAAAGTGGGCTTTTGCTTACATGCTTACAACGCCCATATCCATTTTTTTTTTTTTTTGCATAGCCCAATAAACAGCCAATTATGCTCACTGCATATGTATAAACATAATATGATGTGAAAATACTTTAATCATGGCTGTATATTTTTCCTTTTTCACCACCCCTCGCCCCCCACCATGCAACCTCGCCCTCTTCTTGGGCTCACAACAAGGCCATAGTTTTCTGAGAGCTTCATTAAGAAGGCTGGTCTTTATCCTTTCTACAACTTACACACTATTCACTGATGAAGATGTAAGGTTTGCATGATCTCAGATGCTGTGCTAGAATTACTCCTATGCCTTCATATTCATATGATAAGTGCATCAATTCGAATAATGACATTCAGAAGTTCCGAGTGGATCTGCACCATATTTCGAAAGCATACTCTGAAGCGCCTCTCGTGCCACTTGATCATCTTCTTCATCTGCGCCACCATCATCTCCATATTGGCTCCAATCATCCTCTTCCTCTTCACTATCATAATATATATCGTCGTCTTCCAACTCGCGGTCTTCTTCCATGTCGCTATTCATGGCAACCTCGTCTTGATCATACTCAAGTTCGTATAAATCTTCATCCTCTACGATATTAGCACTAGAGTGTTCTTTGTCCACCATGACAGCGGGCTTGTCATTATCATTGCCAACCGTATTGGCATTTGACGAGCTACCTGAACCAATATCGGATATTTGGGTATTGCTCAGTGAGAATTGATGGCTGGAGGTATTTGTATAAACACTAGCTCTGCGATTTGACGCAATTCCCGGGTAGGAATGCAACTCTCTGCGGCGTGGTTGCAATAGCTCCAAGTCAGCATCATCCAGTATCCCCGTTTTCGTGAGCTCTAGCATGTTCACAAGAACTCCCTCTTCCAGCTGAAGCTTCAAAATCTCTTTGTGCAATGCGGTCCCAAGTGCTTCTAATGTTTTTGCCTCCTGTTCAAGTTCCGTTTGAAGTAATGTTTGCAGGTCCCGAACAGGTAGTGGACGCATAGCTAGTTGCGCTATCCTTTGTGTATGCATTTCCTGATTCTTGATAAGCATTTCAATGTCCTCCTCTCGGATAGTTGCTTGGGCAAGCCCATATGTTTTTAATCGCCTACCAGAAGGTGATGTAGGCTTCCACATTATAGGCGACCTTTTTGGCTTCAGTGACGTGTCCTTTTTGGTTGTCTTGAGCATGGTGATACGATTTCTGGATGACGGCGCCCTAGAGCATGATTTATCATAGATACTCTTAACGGACTTGTCTCGTCTGCCAAGAGCATTCCGATTATTCATTTGTTTTTCAGTGGCGGCCAATGCGCCACTCCTCCGTATAATGCCGTCTGCTCTCGAAGCAGGGACAACGATACGTTTCTTATAAGCTGGTTTCACTGCTAATGGCTTTGGCGTCAAGGGCTGTAGATCTTCCTTGGGCTGCGTTGGCGATGAAGGATTACCTTCCTGGTCTTGTGATTGTGTCATGGTTGGCAATGTGGTTAGAGAAGAAGTCGGAGGCAATAATGGCAATTGCCATTGGTTGTGGCCACCAACAGGAGGCGTGTGAGTAATCTCTACAACTCCTGCATGGTTGCTGGTTGTCGTAATTTCGACATTGTTGGAGATATCTTGTGCTTCTTGAATCATCGAGCCATCGGAATTAAATTCTGTCGAGACTGAAGCATTTGTTGCAGCAATGCCGATCTCCTGGTTACCTTTCTCATTGTGAAGATCCATTATTTCTGCAAGAGATGAGATCGATGAGCATCATATGATCACTTTGTACGTAAATTTTTTCTAGGGGTTATTGCATATCCTTCGGGATGGTAAAAGCTTTCCATGCCTCTCTCTTTCTTCTCATCTTCAGAAAAACCTACAACCTTGAAAACGAAATGAAGCTGTTAAGGCTTCCACTACACTTGTTATCGATCTTCCATATTCTTGCAATAGCGTCTCCACTCCTGTCATATACGCACGCCCACCCGTTTGCGTTTTCACAGGGGCAGGAGCACTCAGAGAAGAGTGAAATACAGTTTCTATTACAGTCCCCTGACACCCAACAGATTCCCCTCGGTGCTCGCCAGTCACATTCCAAGAATGATATATTCGCAGGTCAAAAACTGCCCGATCAAAAACTTACTCTTCGACATCTATTACATCATGGAGGCCATCGATATCCAAAGCTTTTTCGCAGGATGGACCTTCAACCAGCAGATGTTGCCTTAGCAGAACAGCTGACGGGTGAATCACTTGCTTTCCAACTCAAAGTCACTGCATCAAGCACACTCAAGCCTCGTGATCAAACCTATCGAAGCCAGGGCTTTCGCTCCCCAGGATCTAGTATAGGACCAGGATCATGGACAAAGGAGATTATTGCCGCACCAGACGTCACCGACAAGGAGACTATAATCCAGCTGGGAATGATGAATTATAATTCGTATACAGAGGTTGCCAGTCCCGGATGGTATGATCTGGGAGGTCACTGGAGTGTTGTAAGTATATTATAGTTCGTAATAGAGGGAAAAGGGCTCAATACAGCACTTTATTAACAGTAGATGCTACACTGGATGTTGCAGAACTCGACTTTTGGATGGGAAGAGGATGGTCTTCGCGGACATGTGTTCGTCTCTGCAGACAACTCGACTCTTATCATTGCCATCAAAGGCACTAGCGCTGCTTTACTTGGAGGAGGAGGAGGCACCTCGGCACGTGATAAAATAAATGTGAGTACACTTTGATTAAAATTTTCTTTGTCTGTTCATGGTAACATCTTGGCTAAAAAGAAACCCTATTTATTCTACAAATAGGACAATCTGTTGTTTTCGTGTTGTTGCGCTAAAGTGGACCGAACATGGAGGCCAGTGTGTGATTGTAATACTGGAGGTTATCAGTGCGATCAACGATGTGTTGAGAATAGCGTCAGTAGTGACGATGTTTATTACAACATTGCCATGGTGAGTGCAGTATATCAATCTATTTTAGTGAAAATGAATAGTCAAAAACAATCCAAGATCTAACAGGCAACTTTATCATGCATACAGCTATTACTATGGACAGTTCAGGATGAGTATCCAGAAGCGAATGTTTGGTTGACTGGACACAGTCTAGGAGGAGGTTTGGCAGCCCTTCTTGGACTGACTTTTGCTGTTCCAACAGTGACGTTTGAGGCACCGGGTGACCGGCTAGCTGCCCAAAGGCTGCATTTGCCCATGCCTCCTGCTATCGACTGGGATGATCTTCCGCTTTATCATGTAGGCCACACGGCAGACCCAATCTTCTTGGGTGTCTGCAATGGTCCTTCCAGTGCTTGCTATTATTCAGGATTTGCAATGGAAAGGTAACCGTGGTTGACAAAGAGCCAATGACTCGTAATCAACAATGCTTGGAATGATTAGTAACAAATTCATGTTCGAACTTACTGTGGATACCTGTGTCTCGATTTCAAAAATTTTAGCAAATGCCACACTGGGAGGATGTGTGTATATGATCCTGTTAAAGAAGACAACTGGAAGGTAGATATTCGCACTCACAGATTATTTGACACAATCGAAGGTGTACTCAAGCTCAAAGATGTTCCACCTTGCAAGGTTGAAAAAAAATGTGTAGATTGCGAGATGTGGTCGTACACATAGAGAAGTTATGCGAATCAGTGTAATGATCATAACGGAATAGCCCAACAAACCTCAATAAATCCCGAACAAACATCCTAATGAGTTTTTAAACCATGATAAGTAAAGCTGTCAGAAGTCAATTGGACGCGCAGGGATATGGCGCCCATTGGCCGCCACCATTTTTGGATTGCCAAACTTTACAAACTCACTGTAGAAGCAAACTCAGGAGCAATTGTATACACAGTCGAAGAGGTGATCAAGACACGTGGCGTCCATATGCTCTCTTGCCAGCTGATGATCTTTCTCGATTTCTGAGTTATTTCTTTTTTATAATCTCTTCTCTCAAACTTTTCTCATTTACTGTTGCTACTTCCAAATGCGTTCTGTTTTTCAATCAAAAACTGTAAAAACGGAGTCTTCATCTGAATCTACATCTCAACCTGAGGCACTTAACACTCAACACTCGGAACCATTGCCAGATGCTAACATGTCTGACAAAGAATTGCCAATAATGGAGCAAAGCCCTGATAAGGACGAGCAGGAAGACGAGTTTGAAATCCCCCCTGAGCCAGTATGTAGTCGTACAATAATAACTGCGTAGACTCCTTTTTATGCAGAAAATGAACGTTTGCCACATTTTTTCGTGTCTTCACTATGACGAATAGATTCGATGGTTTCATGCTGTAGACTCACCTTTGACAAAACCCAACGAGCCCAAGAAGAATCCAAAAACACCTGCACCTCCGAGAAAACCTGCAACAACATGGGTACCATTCAGCATTCGAGATTCAGGTGCACTTGAACGGGCTTTCCAACTGATCCAGCCTATGCGAGAGGAAAGAAAGGCCCCGCTAAACATAGAAAGCGCTATTGACGGAGGTGAAATGGATGATAATCAAAACTCGCCTCTTAGCAATACCCAGCAAGAACCACTTCTCATTCCTTCAACAGCTTCTATGCCGGAAGGATCTGAGGCTTCTGCGACAGCTTCGACAGTCCTTGTTAATGAGGATCATTTGTTTGAAGTGAATATCAATAAGATGGAAATCAAGCCGGTATGTCTTAATATGTTGTACCTCTTCATTCTGTCACAAGGAAGCTCGCAATGATCTTCATATTGACCCTCCTGAATACCTTTCAAACATGTTAGGTCTACTGGCAAGGACCAACGTATGAAGTTAGAAGAGCTGTATGGTTTTTACAATACGATGGCAAATTCGTCCCGTGTGAGGCGAATCTCTCGCAGCAGATCGAGTATGGATATATGTAAGTGGGAAAAACTAAAAATATTATAATCTTTGATAATAAAAATGCGTGCAGCTTATATTATACCTTTTTTTTTTTTTTTTTTTTTTTTCCTTAAAGTAAACATCGGCCTTGGATAATCACTCCTCCGATATTAGATGCCAATGGAAAAGAAGTAGTCGAGGACAAGCCCGAGAAAAGTTGGGCCCTTTTAGGCAAATATATTTCACAATATGTTGTTTTCTCAGATGCTCATCATGCGTATTTGCTAAGGTTTGTTGGGAAACATATAAGAAAGAAACAGATTTGTTAATGAAGTTGTGTTGAGTCAAAATACTAATATGGAGCAAGCACACTTTAACTTTAGCGATGATTTGCGAAGCAAAGTCGCAAAGACGATCTTCACTAAAGTTTCACTTCAAACCACTTTGGGAGGTACACATCTTATCCGGGGTTATGACGAGGTCGAAAATTTCATTTCCAAGAAGGCATCAGAAGACGCATCTCAGAAAAAGAAGGAAGGGACCGAGCCCAAGAGAAAAGAGACCTCCGAGGTCCAAAAGAAAAGGGAGGTGGCACAGAAGCTTAAAGAAAAGACTAAACGTTTAACAGAAGAAGAGAAAGACAGCATTCAAGAATCCCATGAGATTGATGATTATTCCAACGAAGAGGATGCTGAAGTGCGCACTATCGATCACTTGGTACTGGTGATTCATGGTGTGGGACAAAAGCTTGGCGACCGGATGGAAGCCATCAACTTTATTCATGACGTTAATGTGATGCGAAGGACTATGAAAGAAACAGCCGCAACTTTCATTCAGAATACACCTAATAGTGCAGCTCCTAAAAACCAGGTTGTAGCAGACAGGAGCAGAGAGGCGCCACCAGTAGCGGCCTCAAAGAATCCATACTCTATGCCGTCAGGATTTGGTGTTCAGGTCTTACCTGTCGAGTGGAGGAGACAAATTATATTTGGTATGGCAACAGATGACGGAGAAATCCAACGAGACTTAAGCACACCAGAAGCGGAAGAGGGCTGCCCAACTATGGAAGATATCATGCTTGATGGAGTACCTTCGATTCGTATGCTTGCATCGGATGTATTGATGGATGGTAATCACTTCATTTTTTCATTTTTTATTTTTATTTTTTCATTTTTTATTTTTATTGTATCCTGTTTCTTGCCTCATATCATCCATTCATCTAACACAAGTTACAACATCTAGTATTGCTCTATATGACCCCTAGCTATAAGCGTAAGATGATGGAGGTTGTCACTACTGAGCTCAACAACGTCTATAGGAAATTTATCCATCATAATCCAGATTTTCTCCGCCGCGGGGGCAAGGTTTCGATCCTTGGACACTCTTTAGGATCGCTCTTAGCTCTGGATATCCTCAACCATCAGCCATTCAGCCCAAATCACTATCAACCAGTCCCTTCCTCGCCTGTGTACGAAAAGTTCATTTCTTTTGATCGGGGAAGCATCAACCCAGTAGCATTGGACTTTCCGGTCACAAATTTTTTTGCCCTTGGTAGTCCCATCGGATTATTTCTTCTTCTCAAAGGTTGTAAACTGGGTGCAAGGTTATCAGACGGTAGCACAACAGGCGAGTCAACATTATCACCATGTTTTCGGCCAGCAGTTGAGAACTTATTCAACATCTTTCATCGATCAGATCCAGTTGCATATCGCGTGGAGGTAATAGGCTGAGTCTCCGTGTAATGGAGTGCTGCTCAAATCAATCAAACAGGCTTGTGACTTGACCATATCTTTCTCATTTTTCTCATCCTCCTTTCACTTTCCCTCCGCAGCCTCTCATATCGCGTTCATTTGGCTCAAAGACACGACCGGCTCTTGTTCCGTACCATAAAGGTGGCCTCAAAGGCCTTCATATTGGAATTCAGGACTTTAGCAATGATCTTGCTAACCGTGCCAATACTATGATGGAATCTGTCAAACTTGGTATCACCACATCCGCTATCACTCGGGCCCTCGGCTTTAAGACTAATCCAGTCGCAAATGCTGCAGTAATACACAATGCCAAAGCACAGGGATCTGGAAGCATACCGGGGCAAGCAAGTGACACGGAGTTGACCACAATCGTAGACGGAGGCGAGCTGACGGAAGTATCTACAAACTCAAATGGCAACACTACTCCTCGAATGACACCAGAGATGTTCAGTGCAATCAGCAAGGCGAAAGTGAGGGCATTGAACAAAACTGGACGCGTAGATTGGTGCTTGCAGGAAGGAGTATTTGAAAATGCGTATCTATCAGCACTCTCTGGTAAGCTCTAGTTGACATGTCAAAAGCTTTGCTTCTTCAAAGAAACATGGGAGCTAACCCTTTTTTTGCTTGTTTGTCTATGATAATTTTTTAATCTCTAATAGTTCACATGCAGTATTGGTCGGATAGTGATGTGGCAGCATTTATCATCCGTCAGACGTACGACATGAACCAGTAGCCAATCGTTTTCTCTATAAAACTCAATGATTATACATGCTCTAACTGAATTAGATGCAAAATCACTCGTCACGATCGAGGATGCTTTTAAAATCGGTACAACACATCTAAGCTTTTTATTTGTCCCTTGTGCCGTTAATGCTCTGATTTTCAGTCATATTTGTCAGCGATACTCTATCTCTTTCACTTATAATAGTATTATGATATTACTATAAGTGCATAACAAAATAAGATGCCATAAAATCTTCGATAGATAGGCTCACTGAAACAGCTTTCTTGAGCCCTATACTGTAAATGTGTAAGCTTACAGGTCGATTGATAAAGCTTTTATAGATGTTACATTTGAGTTGTTTATCCAATATCTTTTTTCAGGTGGTTGCACTTTTTTTCCAAATTGCAGTCTTTAAAAAACGCTATCTACTATATGTTACCTGGGTACTATAGTAATTAAGGATACGATGGTGATACGATTATACTTTTTTATGATGCCTCATTCCCCTTCCTCTTACACTTCATTTTCCTGTCTTTTATGGCTATCAAGATACCTTTCATTTCTTGCTCCCTCTGTTTATTTTTGCGCAAATGGAAGTGATAAGGTTGTTGACAGAGTGAGCTCTATCGTTGATACTTCCCACACTATAGATATTTCTACTTCACTGAACGAACTCAGCGCCAACCAGCTTCCTCTGAGAGTACCTAGAAGGATCTGCGGTGTGCATTCTTATAGTCCAGTGGCCTAGGGCCACTAGTGCGTCTCTGTCTTCCTAGGGAAGGTGTACTGATCGTAATAGTGGTATGCAAGTGAATTACTAAAGAGCTGGGCTTCGTTCAATTTCTAACCATTTTTAAGATTGTGCTGTTTACAAAATTAACTCTCACTCATAGTCACCCCTCACTCCCCATTTATAAATGGCTGTGAATAAAGTAATGAAGCAATGCGACCTTTGGCTGTACTAAAGCATGTCTGTCGCAAAAACCGTTGTGGGAAAACTACGTAAGTAACCTCTTCTAAATCAATTGAAAATCGTATTTAAGTCAATGAGGGCCCAAAGTCATTTTAGCTGAACTACATCGAAGTATTTTGGGATTAGAAAAACGTTATAGCAGAGCATATTATGGTTACATCTTCCAAGGGCCTCAGAAAGCTATATCGAATGCATAGATCCCTATATGATATTCCCGATACATGGATGCTTGCAGGAAAACATATCAGGTTACGATGCAGAACTGCAAGTTAAAAAACAAATCACTCGACGCTTCCAAACTGAGAATCCAGACATACATGTATTTACTGCGCTTAACAAAAACAATAACGTCATATTAGGAGGCTGGTGTGACCCTAAGTGAGCCTATGGCTCCATGAGAGGGTGGTATACCAAAGCTAGCATTAAGTGAATGGACGCTCGCTCGGTTTCCAGCAGATATCATGGGCTGATAGTCATGATGCTGCGGAGTTACCTGCTTTTTGCCAGTCAGAACCTTCTTCCAACGCTGAACTTTGCCCTCAACCCAACGACCTATGATATTTCGTGTTGCCCTCTTCGGATCCAGAAAGTTCATACTGCATTCAAATCGAAGTAAACGAAAGAATCGTGCGCCGCTGTTACTACTGATTTTGCTTGAATTAATAAATACCCTTTTCTTGGTGTCTATATTGATGAAAGCGTCAGATGGGCTCAAAAGCGTGGCGGTGCCTTTGAGTGAGGTATAATTCTCATTCCTAATACCGCTTGAGCCATCGCAGCCGTTGCAATTCAGGGCAGTATTCTCTCCTTCGTCTTCAGTTTGCCCCAAAGTTTGAGCACGGAGGTCCTCTCGAATATCGAAGAAGAACCGCTCCCGCTTCTTTTTGGCATCATTCTGATGATACTCCAGACTTGCCGTATCCTTTTGACATTTTCCTTTCCAAGAGGCTTCGTGGGATATGTCAAATGGTTCATAGCTGACCTGGTACTCTAGTGACCATGGATAGTCCTGTAAAAAGCAGTATCGGGAGCCGTCTATCTGATGTATGCCTTCGTTGCGAATGTTAACTGAGCAGACTTTATCTAAAAAGTTCTTGAAGCCTTGATATCCCTTTTCATGTGGTGCTTGCGTGCGGGTCTGGCGTTCCTGAACTTTGGCTACTTCTGATTGGTAAACCCTCTCGACATTACTAGTCGCCATCAGCTCGCTCTCTAAAGCAGGGGCATTAGACAACATAGGCTGTGTGGATACCGTTAGAACTGAGGACGACTTATGCACACCATCATTCATATGAAAGGTAGAGTACCGACCTTCGATGCACCGTATTTTATGGGGCGCAATCGCGGCATTCGACATAGAGTTGATGACTATTTCCTCTAATTGAGGGCTCTGTAGTGTAAGGCCACACTTAAATTGATGCTGATGGTCTTGAGTTTGTGGACGAAAGACGACTCGATCCCGCTTTAGATCATAGTGATCGAAGACAAACTTGATTCCAATACGGCGAACATATTCTTGATAAAAAAATAATCGCAGAGACTTTGATGCAATGACCGTTACTAACAAAGGAGCTACGAGCGTACGCATGTAGGTGGAAGTGTTGTAAAGACTGAACAGGTCGAGTGTAGGAATAAACCCTAGAATGAGGCCCCATAATTCCGTTGGAAGCATACATTGGTAACTTTTGATATGAGTTTTTGCATGGTCATTAGTTTTATTTTTTGTAAGGGTGGGGGGTATTGAACGAGAATGTCTTGATACTGGCATCGTGCTCTTTGAGTTCTTGATGGAATGCGTGTTGCAAAGTAAAAAGGGTAAAAGGAAGGAAAGAACACAGAGAGATGAAAGGTACATATAAAAGCTCATAGGAACTGTAACGACACATGTTATATCTACACAGCGGAAAAAGTTGCGGCACTCCAAGGTAGCTTTGCTATGGAGCAAATAATCAAATATGCCAGCTATACACTACATTCCATGAAAGGCTGGACAACAAGAGCGATTAATTCAAGCCACGCGCGCAAGCACTGGCTATTGACTGGATGGGAGAAAAAAGAAAAATAGAAAAAAAAGAAAAAGGCACAAAGTTTCAAGGTTCGTCACCAGTCTGTGCATTACACAGACTGGGACTAAACTCAACGTTTTTCTTTTAAAGTCACACATACCGCGGGGGAATGGCATCTTTTCCGAAGCCCATAGTATGTCCTTGGTCCCAGCCTCTCGGCGAGTGTTGGTGCATTACACAAAACCACACAGATTGTTGACGAGCCTATAGGCGACTGTTCGGACTCCATCTGACACTGTATAAAGACCTGAACACTGCCACATGCTATTGACTACTCTACGTCCCTTAAACAATATTCTTAGCATACATCTGAACTTTTGCAAGGGATGTGTCAATACTTCGACAAACATGTAACATTTAATGGCTACATCACAGCCCTTGGATTGTGGAAGCGCTGAAAGTATGCGGAAAACGGGAACCATTTGTGTTTTTACTAGCAACAAGCGTGGTTTCAAAAAGTTTGCCCCAAGGAACAAATCCTATATCCTTGATTGCTCAAAAGAGACAATGTTGTCTTTTCTGCACCCCAAAAGCTCGCCATAATCCTATTGAAGCGTTCAGAGGCATTATTTGCCTCATGGTTTGAGGATTAGCAGACTTTCAATCAAGTTATATTGTTTTGAACAACACAGTAAATCCTGTCAATTCGAAGTAGTCCCTCTGGATGGCAGCAATCCAGGGGATGCTAATTATTTCCGCTAAATTGTGGTGAAATCAGAGCAGATTTGGAAAACCAACAAGCATCGAACAGTCGCCATAAACTAAGCTGGAACCAGTAATCACCGTTTATTTAAATAATAACTGCAAATTCAGAACCAGTCGGTTGGTGAAACCGCATTTTTGTTCCTCAAAGTTATCTGTCTGTTCGCTTTTTAGTTGGTCCTTTTCAATTACAAAGATTTTGTTAAGCAAACCATGTATATTTGAAAGATCTAACCAAGAAGAGCGAGCAGCACAGATCTCTGCTTGCAACAAAAATATTCGATTCCTGACTACATGAAAAAAAAAAAAAAAAAAAAAAAAAGATATCCTAGCCCCTCTGCTCAGACGTATATCGTGTCGACACACTTTGAAACCTTCATTCTTTCAAAATGCGCTTACGGCTCTTAATAGAGCTGCACTCACACTGCTTGGCATATCGCTCAGTTTGCTTAATGGTTCTGTTGGCAGGACTTGAACCCAGCAAGGCAAACAGGGCAATAAACGAGGTCGTTCACACTATCACCTTGACAAGCACACGCCAAAAAAAAATTCAAAACTGAAGTCCGCTCAGACAAATCACTAACAAGTTGAGACCCAGGCTAGGCATGCGCTTGAATCACTCTACTCTTAAGAAGCTGCCACCTTCAAGGCAATATTCCTTGGATATGTATAGTATGTGTTGGGCGAGCCTCAATGGGCTATGACTATTCACCTTGTGCCACCATTTCCTAAGCGATGCTTATTTCGATTCGTCATGGTGAATTGCTCAGCACAGCTATATTGTCCGATTTAATTCATATGTGCGAAAAGGCACTCGACGAAGAATTAGTGATCCCGACAAGCCAGCCCGAGTCAGAGTGATTTATGGATGGGGGAAACATTGCAGCGCTATTTTCATTGACCCCTACTTCTCCTACCTGCTCTTGCTGCTTCAGCTAATCATCTCATCTTTTGGCTTTTTTCTTCACGTCTCTTCTCAGTCCCATTTTCTGGAGTCCACACAACAGGTGCAGTGTCAACATGCTCAACCCGTCAAGTCTATAGCACTTTGAACTTTTCATCTTCGACCTGGTTGCACCAACCAGACATTTTACACACCTATAAGCGTTCGATCGAGCTCTGCGCCGCCGATGATCAGCTTAAGCAAAAAGAAGTGTAGTGAAGGCGAATTGAAGAAATCAAACTAATACGAACTTTATTTTTCTTTTTACTGTGAAATCCAGGACCACACCTCCAGCGTTTCTAAAGTTTTTTTGTCGAGGTATAACATCGCTGCGAACAACAACCAATCCACTATCTTATTAATTGTGTAAGCAAAACAAATGTCTGAATATAAGGCAGGACGCCATTATGATAGCTTGGATATGGGTTGACCTCAGAAGCACCAGCGCCATTGGATAATTGAAGGCAGGAGTTGCTTCTTGAAGTAAGGATCAAAGCGCAGGGTTATTCCAAAGATACACAAAAAAAAAGGGAGAAGATGTGAGGGAGGTGTGCAAGATTTTTTTTAAGTCCATGCTAGGATTAAATCTCACAATGCTTGAGAAATTCCAATGTTTATTTGCCAGAAAGGAGAATTTGGACTCTTCACTACCAACCTATTACAAGGCAAGCCTTGGCCAAGGTTGTCCACGGAAATTTAAATGATTCATTGAATGTAACTGCAGGCGCCGGCCTTCAAGGAAGCGACTAAGAATCCATCACTAGTCTGTCGGCGCAGGATATCCTATAAATATTAGAGTCCGCGGAAGAAGACCGAGTATCCATCGAATACTACTGACGTCATAGCCGCGAAGTAACTCCTGAGTCTTAGGCGGCCCTGCCTACAAGCGCCAGAGCTCGACTTGGTCATGGCTAGAGTTTCCAGTGGCCATGACTGGAGAGGGACCAAAGGAGGACTGCGGCTGAGTGGGAAAGACCTTCAGTTGGCGGTGATATGTATACCTTTTACGAGGCGTTCTTGGGATGTTCCTGAACTTGGCAAAATTATAAGCTTTAATATCTTCCAATTGATTGAACAAAGAACTTCCTCTCTACTGGCCTACTGGTGTGCGGACAACATACGATGGTACCGCAGCTGCAAAAAGCAATACAGAATGGATAATAATGTCTTCATAAGCGCCAAATGCTGAATAGATGAGATTAAAAACAATGGACTACATTGACGGAAACCCAAGGGTTACTTTATCATTTAGTGTGTAGTTTTAATTTCGTGAAGGGATCACTGGAGACATGTGAGTTTTCTAGCTTTGTACATCATCTTTATACTACTTCTTGCAATATATTATATCGGACAATAGACCGATAGCTTACTTAAGCTCCATACATCCCATATGTAAATCCTTCCGACTTGCCATTTAGAAGAACCTGGATGGCAGTAAGAATGAGACAGGAAATAGACAAAGTGGGAAAGAAATATTCCATTCTGTCATTATTTCTTGTCATGTGTATACCAATAGCTTTTTGGAATATCATTTTATTATTTTATTTGTTGTAAGGTGCTTCCAACAAAGAGTTGAGTACACTTCCATCATGCGCACAACCTTCAGATCTCTCACAGTGTGAAAGAGAAAGAAAAGTGAAAGCAAAAGCTGAGAGAAATGAATGTGGCTAGTCTAACTTAGGTATATTGGTGACATTATTCGATGGCCAAATTGTTAGTTTTCTACATCCAGGAAACAGTGCTCAATTGCTGTGGACAGAGGCAATGCTGTTCCTCTGTCATGTCCGCGCCCCGATCATGATAAGTATAGAATGTTTACAAGCACATGTGTCTGACATCAATGATCATTTCGGACAGCCTTTCGAGGACACTCTTCCACCGTTTTTGCTACCGCAACCACAAGTAGTGAGTTTTCTGCTAAGTTGTCCAGACGAAATAATGGATGCGCGCAGGATCTGTCTCAACGGGCGCACCTTTTTACACGTGATGAATAAATGTTCCAGACAAAAGAGCCTGCGATGTAGCTCGGCAGCCATGTCAGAATGTGGGGGTGGCACCATGTGCGTGATGCTCAGGTCATTTTAAGTGCAATCTGAATAAGGTTGGGCCAAAAAGGGAAAAGGGAGGGGAACAAAAAATAGCCCTGAAAGATCGCGCTCGCTTCAAGCAGTGTCTCTTTACGCTGCACTACGCGACCTCGGGTTCTGTTTCTGGGGTAGTCCATTCATCCCTTCTCCGAAAAGCTGAATGAGCCACTGGGAGGGGAGGATTTCTTTCCTTCTTTCACATCTTTTTCCTCCACACTATTTTCTGATCCACTCCTTCTGCTTTCTACTATTCTTTCATAAAGATTGAAGCGTGCGATAGCTTTCTTCTCTTTCTCATTGCCCACATAGAATTCTACAGCAATGACCCAAACACGCCCCATTCGTAAGGTTTTGATCGCGAACCGTGGTGAAATTGCATGCAGAGTCATAAAAACCTGCCGAAAACTCGGTATTGCCACCGTCGCTGTGTATTCCGAGAGGTAATAGCAAGAATGCCCAAAAAAAAAAAAAAAAAAAAAAAAAAAAAGTGCTGTTGCCTTGCCCTCACATAATTTGAGGCATGTGGAGCCACTGTGTGCGATTTGTCTTTTGATTGTCCGCTCGGCTAAGCTGTTTTCCTTAATGGACTTGTGTTTACCCTTAGTGACCAAAATGCTCTATTTGTGCGGATGGCTGATGAATCCGTGTTCATCGGACCCTCTCCCTCCTCGGAATCGTACCTCTGTGGTGACAAAATCATTGACGCCTGTCGAGTCACTGGTGCTGACGCTGTTCATCCAGGTATGTCTCTGTTACTGGTTTTTCTGTTGTGAAAAAAGTCACTTTACTGTGTATATAGCACTCGGCTAACAGCCAAATATCCCCATCTCTAGGCTATGGCTTCTTGTCTGAGAATACAGACTTTGCTAGGGCCTGTACAGACGCTGGCATTAACTTCATTGGTCCACAACCAGAATCGATCCTTGCTATTGGAGATAAGGTATGCCATACAAAGAATTACTAGATGGACTTGATCATTTTTACCGATCTTGTCTACACCTAGTATTCACTTTCCATAACGATCTTTCATTTTATAGATCGCATCCAAGAACCTACTTGCCGCCAAGGAGCCCTCAATTCCATTGATTCCGGGCTATAATGGTGACGATCAAAGTATTGATAACCTGATTCAACAAGCAATCAGGATCGATTTTCCTGTACTTCTGAAGGCCTCGGCCGGTGGAGGAGGAAAGGGCATGCGTATTGTGCGTGAAGCCTCAGCTCTGAAAGATGAGATTGAAATGGCCAAGTCTGAAGCACTGCGATCCTTTGGAAGCGACAATTTACTTATTGAGAAATACTTCTCAAATGCTCGCCATATCGAGATTCAAATTATGGGTGATAAACATGGCAACGTCTACCATTGCTTTGAACGCGAGTGTAGTATTCAGCGGAGACATCAAAAAGTCATTGAAGAGACACCTTCTCCAATGATGGATGAGAAACTCCGAAATGATATGACTTCAGCCGCCATCAAGATCGGAAAGCTCCTCCGATATGAAGGAGCAGGAACTATTGAGTTTATTGTTGTATGTCTTGTATGCAAAACGTACTGAGATGATGGCCGCTTTGTTTGTTCGCTTGTTAATTCTCTTTCTTTCTCTCAATTCAATGGTCCAATGGCACAGGATGACGCTACCCGTAAATTTTATTTTCTAGAGATGAACACCCGTCTTCAAGTAGAGCACCCTGTCACTGAGATGGTGACTGGACTTGACTTAGTCGAGCTTCAGATCCTTGTCGCCCAAGGCTTTGATCTCTCCCAGACTCAGCTCCCTAACTTGCAGTTGAATGTAAAGAAAGCGTGGTTTACTTTTACTTTTTTTTTTTTTTTTTTTTTAAAAAAAAAAAAAAAACAAGATATAATGGACCGAAAGCTTATGAAGTAACTTTTACACATTTGGTGCATGTGCATATAGGGCCATTCTATTGAATGCCGACTTTACGCTGAGGACCCTGAAAATGACTTTTTGCCTTGCACAGGCAAGATCCGTCGCTGGAAGCAATGCACTGCCGACAATGTTCGCTACGATAGCGGTATTGAAACTGGTTCTGAGATCAGCATTTTTTACGATCCCATGATTTCCAAGATTTCTGTCTGGGCTCCTACTCGCGATCAAGCTATCCAAAAGATGGCATTAGCCATGCGCGAAACGGTAGCGCTTGGTCTGACTACGAACCGTAAATTTTTGATTCAAGTGCTTCAACACCCACGATTTCAGGCAGGTAGACTCTCGACCAGATTCATTGATGAGGAGGCAATCCACAAACAAAATGCAGCTCCTCATCCTGATGAGGATCGTCTTGCGATTGTCCCCATGCTATGGGGTTGGTATTTGCGCGAGCAAGCCCGTACGGAGCTCAAATACATCCCAAGTGGATGGAGGTATGTCAAGCATAAGAAGCAACAGGACGGTTATGTGGGCGAAAACGCAGAGCGGACGATTGAGCTTCAATATGAACACTTGGTCAAGCCTGGAGGATGGGTCCCTCCAAACCAGAAGTTGGCAGAGAAGAAGTTTGATGTCCTTTACCGAGCTGTTGTTGCTGGTCAAGAGCCCGGCGAATGGCGCACAGCCAAGGTTGGCTTAGGGAAGGTACTCGTTGAGGAAGATGATCTTGGAGAGCGTAGTGGTGTCCTGCGCTGCACCATCGGTAAGCAACGTTACTGATGGTCTCTAAGGTCTAATGATTACCTTACTCATCTGTGGCGAAAATTAACCGTATTGCGTCTATGTATTTTTAGATGGGGTAACTCGCGACTATAACATCGCCAATGGCTCAATTGAATTTAATAACACTGAGATCTATGTGCATACAAAAGATTTTGGAGGCAAGCAGATCCTGTTTGTGCGTAAGGACAAGCTCAAGAGTACGGCAGAGGGCGAGGATGATGTGCATTCACCATACACAGCCCCAATGCCTTGCAAGATTCTTAAAATCCTAATTCCTTCCGGAACAGTAGTTAAGAAAAATCAAGCAATTCTGACAATGGAGTCGATGAAGACAGAGGTGCGCCTGTATGCACGCCACGATGGCACCCTCAAACTAAATGTTGGAGAAGGCGACATGATTGAGGCAGGCACAACTCTTTGCGATATTCAATAATGTAATGGACATTGGTGTGGTTGAATAAAGTAAATAAATCAGTCAAATGCGAAATGTTGGGCCACAAAGTTCTTGTCCATATCCATTTTAATTTTAATACAACACAAACACATGCAACTCAACCCTTGTCTTTTTATTCATTTCATTTCATGTACTCTCTGTTTATCACACGGCAACATACTCTTTGCTTTGCCTCATCCCTCGCCATTTAATTAGAATTAGAAATTCTACTCCTCCATTGATTCCACCACATTGCTAATCCCCTCCAACATTACAACAAGCTCCTTCTCTCATAGAGCCTTTTGATCTTATCATACAGACAAAGAAGAAAAAACTTTTTATTCTGTTGTTTTTCTATTCTTTTCTTGTCGTTTTTTTTTTTGCATTGCAGCAATTTACACATACATCATGGAATTGTCTGATAAAAACTACGAGTCTTCTTCTAGAAGCAGTCTTAGCATCATGAGTAATATCAGCAACAACTATGATATAGTCACCGGTACGTAAATCATTCTCAGGATCTTTTTTTTTTTTTTTTTTTTTTTTGGGCTCGAGATAAGAGCTAAACTGACAACTATCTTTCTTTGTCCAGACAAGAATATGGAGTTCATATGGTGGATCGCTAATCGATTAACTAGCTATGACGAAGAGATGCATAAAGAGATACTTGAAGACTTTTTCACAGATGATGCCCGGTGAGTGTTGCTTTCTCAGTTTTCCTTTTCCCCGGCCTCACCAATAATTAACATGTAGACTTTGCATGTGATATGTCATTGTCAACATGAACATGTGCAATATTCCAGTCATTATAAGCTTTTATTTTATCCACATAGAACTATACTCACCGCAAATTTAGCATGTGCAACCTCTATCATTTCCAGAATTCGCTCTTTTACCAATTGCTAATGAAATTTCATTCGCGTCGTTTGTGCTTGGCCTAATACGATCTAGATATATTCATCCTACACTCACAGTAGAAGGCAAGTACAACATTCGAAAGGTCTTTCGCGTGTGGACTTCATTGAACAAGGACGAGCCTGAGGTCACAAACATTGTATTCGAGTAAGCTTATAAACCCCTCTCAGATGTTCACACCTTCTTTTGGGACTGGGTTGTTGCATGGACAAAATAAAGGGACTAAATGAGAGTCAGAAAGTTATCATTTTCCTGCCATCTGCTGATGAGCAGCATTTTATTAACGGACCCAATAAGAAACACTATGGTTTCTTCAATAGAGGTCCGAGCATTGTGCACCTGATTAATATCTACTCTCTTTGGAAATAGTGGACACACGGCCATAATCTCGTTGACTCAGAACTTGAGACCGCGCCTCTTTCCTTTTGTGCACCTTCAGATCCCTGCAACGACAACTCTACATTTTCGGGACTCCGAGATTGGACCGATGATTTACAGTCAGCAAGATTCGTGGACTTTGGAGGGCATTGTGCAGAGTATGCCTTTACTCGGCTGGTGGTACGATCACATTGTCCGGTAGGTTTATTGCAAACAATCTCCAATCCACTTTTATAGCTTATGGTTCCTTCTACATTTGTGTTAAACTTACACACTCTGGACCACCTGTTTCTGAAATCAGCAATATATTAGGATCTGTTTTGACAAGCGCTGGGGGGTTTTTGCACACAGCCAACCAAACGACAGAGTACTTGCAATTTAGAGCTGAAGAGGTTCAAAAGATTTCAGCTGAAATCATTGAAAAATCCAGTGTTGAGATCCAACAGCGCTCAAAGGAAATGACACTTAGAGCACAAACCATGGTTGACCAAGCCAAGGATACAGTCGAAAAGCGTGTAGCATCAGCAAAGGAAGAGGTCCAGAGGATGCGGCAAATGATGAGGCCGCAGATAGTTACTAAGGCTATCACTAGCTCTGCCACTCTATCTGTAACAGCCCCTTGAATATACTGGCCTTCGATCCTTAATAATATACCTCTGACCATAGTGAATTTTAAAAATAAATAAATAAAAAAAAAATTGGACACATATGGAGTTGAAGGGTAACACTAGGATGTACTGATATGGAGCAGGAGACAAATGAATCCGACCGGTCGGTGCACTCCGGGTGGCTGTCAACATGCAGCACCCTGCGCCATTTGCTCATTCCTCCGCTGCGCAATTTCTATTCACTGCAGAAAGTCGGGATATTTAGTAAAATGAAACCCTGGCAGATCATATCCGGAACATCCAAATTAAGCATCTCCATTTCCCACGTTGCATTCAGATATAAATGGAAGCATGGACAAACTGTTTTCCTTCGATTGTCTTTCTCTCTCTCACTACCTTCACTTGTGAAATATACAGCTACATTCCTAATTTTTCTCAAAAAAGCCATTACACTATACCCTTGCACAACCTTCCAGGAGCTGGTCCCTATTTTTTTCATTCTCCATTTATAATATAATATTAAACACTATGCGTCTGATCAAGCAAAACATGGATGATGCAGCAGCAACAGAAGCCATGCGTGGTGGTGCTATTGGTGCTCTCAAGTATTGCACCGTGGCTTTGTTTGTAGGAGGAGTTCTTCAGGCAACCTGGCCCAGGTTTGCTGCAATCCGACCTCCTCAGAAGGTGCTTGAAGCTTGAGACACTACCAATGCCAAGATAATGAATCGTGAAAACCATGATTCATTAACATAATGAAACTCCAATAATTCTTTTCAATCAAATAGGGTTGGCTCATGGTTGCTGCGTTCCTAGGAGGATTTGGAAACGGATCCGATACAACATTCACTAATTTTGAGCGACGTGATCGGGAAATGCAAATTCGAATCGCAGAGCAGAAACGCCATGATATTTTGTATGGAAGTGAGGAGGAGAGGCGAAAGGTATCAGCCACTAACGCGACTGCTGCTTCCTCCCTCTCATCATCATCGCAGGCAGCATAGAAAGCATCGATATCATTGAGTGTAATGGATAATTTTTCTTTGTCTTTAATATGTAAAATAAATAAATAAAAACCATTTATACTATGATGACACGCTTAATTGTGTTCCACAAGTGCTCCTCCGGCTCCAACACCCTCACCATTTAAGGTTGTGTCCTCGCTAGGAATGATATGAAGGTGCGGATTATCATAGAAGAATGCAATAGCACATATGACGAAGACCGCTAGCAATGCAATGCCCTCAAACCAGTTTGTTTCATGATCTGAGATAAGATAGTTGATTAACAAAATGGAGCCTGACAAGATGACCACTTCCAATATTGTAAATCGGAAAGTCATTGGGACATCCATGATCCAACCAAGGAGCACCAAGATAGGGGTAACAAGCAGGGCAATTTGCATACAGGAGCCAACCATCAATGACACAGCCTTATCCATTCGATTAGCTCTGGCTTCCTTTATCGCAATGACCTCTTCTTGCAAGTCTGCGATCAAGACAATTGGAAGTAAGATGAAGCCAACAAAGGAGTCGTTCAAATGAAGCTGTCTCCCTAGACTTTCAACAGCATGGACGAGAAAGTTGGCCGAGTATATTTGAGCAGCCATCACAACAACAAAAGCAAAACCAGCGAACCAAAAGTGAGTGTGGCGTGTCTCGACCGTATGAGCTCCCTCGTGCTTGGCCTCGGGCGTGATCATAAAAGTACGGTGGAGAAGTTGATAGTAGAGGCAAATGCCATATAGCGCCAAGAGGATGATAGCCATGATCTTGGAGAGTGTGAGGATTCGAATATCAACAAGCGTACGGATCTCCTGCGTTTGGATGTGGCGCTGGACTGGATCAGACAGCACGGGTCTCATATCTCTGTAAACTGAGGTCAAGGTCACATCCAGGCCGATAGGGATAACATAGGCTATACAGGTTAGCATTAGGATGTGAACGCTTGTTTGGGTCGTTTCCTATTAAAGCGCAAAGCATTTGAACAAGAGTTACTAAAAATATCCCTGTAAAAAAAAAAGAAAAAAAAGATAGAATTGTTTACCAACCTTTTTCAGCTTTTGATGCTTGTTATGGATGCCTCCAACCAAGATTGATATCCCCAACATCTGCAGTAACACGTTTTGTTAAGATTGGCTGGTGCACGATCGTTATCCTCAATAGCAATTGATAGAAGAAAAAATTTAAAGACGCTTACCAAGAGTAGGTTGTTGAGGATGGCGCCGAGCATTGCTGCCTGAACTACGACAACCAAGCCTTTCTTGAGAGCGATAGCTGCGACAGCCAGCTCGATGGAGCTGCTGGTCAACGCATCAAGCACGCTCACCACCCGCTGTTCCAAAAAAAAAAAAAAAAAAAAAAAAAAAAATTAGTTTGGAATATGACGACAGATTGGAATTCCGAGAACAAAGATCCCGCTGCTAATCCAATTCTTACCGCTCCAAACTTGGGGACAAGCTCTTCCAAAGCAGCGCCTGCTGCTTTGCCGAGATGCATCATCACTAATAGATTCAACCCAAAGATAACCCAGTTGGCTGCTAGGCTCAACTCAGGACCATGGGCTGCACCCGCACCATGATCAGCTCCAGCTTTGGACAGCATGACATACTTTAGCCCTCCAAACTCTAAGGCTGCATGAGATATAGTGTTGTTGCCGTCTGCATTGCCATGTGATAGCTCCATCTCATGCTTTGCCCGAGCTGTTAATACGATTGGTATCGTCCATGCTGGTACAATCAATGTAATAAGAAAGAACCTCCGGAAGAATGTATTGATAGCATGCATATTTTCCTTAACAGTTCTGTAGGGGAAAAGGTGACGATCCACTCGTTGGCCAAGTGCATGGTCCATCTGAGTTGATGTATGATCTGAATTACTCTTTTCCATTTCATCTTTGCCACTTGCATTCTTATTCTCGTCGCCATTTTCAATATTCTCTCCCTTGAAGCTACTTAGTTTGTTATTATCGTCCTGGTCGATATGTGAGAGTTCAACAGCCGGTTGAAATTTCTCATCCTTCAGACTTAATTCAGGTGCAGCGTTTATGTTTCGTTCTTCTGGTGTGGACTGATCCTTGAAGAGAACATGACGGCGACGCACAGCATTATCGGTATGGTTCTTCTGGTCGTGTGTGGGTATCGATATTGTTGAGTCGCCAGATAACATGTTGTCCCCATTTGTAGCCGAACTGCTGTGTGGTTGAGAATAGGTTAGAGGCTGTGAAAGAGGAGGCGGAGAAGGTGAAGATGCGACTGCGTGGGCATCATTTTTGCTATTGATAGAAGATGAATGCAACATGGTCTCCGTCTTCCTTGACGAAGGTCACTAAGGAAAAAATGCTGTCGTAAATGAAGAGGTAAAAGAAAGAGAGAGGAGAGAAGGGTCCATGAAATATGGAGACAGCAAAATATTGGATATTTTACATCAGTGCACAATTATTATTTTTTTCTTTTTTCAATATTTCCGCGATATTTATTATGCTTATTGACTATGCTCTACCTATGCTTGCTGGTAGATCCCTGGTATGTCGGGTCCTGACTAGGATAGCTAAAATCGGATTTACTGCCAGGAGGTGGAGGTGGACCGGCTTGAAGCGCGTCCATGACCGCTGCGGGTGAAGGTGCAATTTCTCCTTTCTGTTCACTCCTGGCACCTACTGGTCGTGGCTTCGCCCATGACACCTTCAGGAGAGCTCCCTGAAGATTAACGCCTCCTCCAGCCTTCTCGAACGCCAATTCCGCTCCTGCTCTTGTCGTGAAATTAATGAAGGCACAATTTGACTTGTGTACAACAACAATTGACTTGATCTCCCCAAATACATAGAAAAATCCTCTCAAATCAGGCTCTGTAACTGATTCTGTCACACCTGTGATAAATAGTGAGGTCTGGGTAAACCATAGGATAGTCATAGTTAATATTAATATATCTGGTTAGAAAGTATATACATATAAAGACTTCTTGGGAGCTGAATTATGTAACTTACAATGGTCTTGTCTTCGGGTGTCGAAGCTTGCCTTCCTGCACCACCAGCCCTTGGCCCTGCTAAAATTTTTCTAGCTACAGGGTCGTTGGTGCCATAGTAGCGATCCTTGATATTCTGATGCTTCAGCTCCCCCTCTTGAGGCATTTCATGACGATATGGACATTCTGCCCCACGTGTACAGTTTCCCTTCACGAAAAATGAGCATATATGCTGACGATTACGCCTATAATAGGGGTCCTTTCTCTGTAGTTTTTTTAGCATTTCACGCCCTGCCGACTCTGCTTTCCCAAAGTTTCCTGATCCAAGCCCATCATCATTATTCTGAAACTAAATGGCCATTACAATGATACAATCTTTGTTATTTGGTATAGTTTTTTTTTTTTTTTTTTTTTTTTAAAAAAAAAAAAAAAAAGAGGCGAACTGTTTGCATTTGAGTGAACATACATGAGCATCCATGTTTTGAGCAAAGTATTCTTTGTTGACGTCAGATCGAGGCGCATTATCCTCTAGGCCAAGGGCTGTATCACGAACTTGGACTGGCAGACCAAACTCTAGATCCAGTAGGCACGTTTGGCAAACATTCTTTACTTTAGAGCAGGTTTGACAAATTTCTGTCTTTTTGAAACGCATGCCAACTCCGGGGCACCAACGGAATACTGTGAATGGTCTGGTGCAGACTTTACACTCTTTCGCCTGAGACTGCTTGGTCTATATCAATATGCAGTCCATAACAAGGACCTATTAGTAAGCGGGTAGCCCTTGAGTCAGCGATCGAGGGCCTTTTGTTAGAGCAGCTGTGAAGCAACTTCAAGAGTTCAGCTTCTAGCGACATACCATGCGTAGATAGGGGTTGTCTCCGAGACAAGTCTCACAGAGGATAGGGAATTCCTAATGGAGCATAGTAAAAGGATTGATGCTGGCAAAGGTAAGTGATGGACTTGGCTCATATGCATGACTCATTGATTTACAACAGTATCCTTGTTATTACCGATTCTTCCCAAGAGACTTTGTTAGGATCAGCTTTAATTTGTGCCATGGTTGGTGGTAAGATGTGAGGAAGTGTAAATGTGTAAATGTGCGAATGAAGAGCATTGCAGGGATGCATACATTATAAGGTGGCGCAGTGGCTTATTTCCTAAGTAACAATGAACATGTGTGAAGGGTTCAAGGTCGCTGTTGTCTTTTGGTCTGAACATGACATCCTTCAACTTTCACTGCTGAAGACGCAATCCTTTCTACCATGCGAATCCGTCTCGCTTTCGAAGATCCGTTGCCACGATACAAGTGTTGGTTCGAAGTTCCTAGTTCGTGTTCAACGATCCGCGATCTTCAAAAGGCGATCAGGAAGGGCTTCAAGCTGGATCAGTATTGCAAAACAACCCGTCTGGACTTGGATGGATTCTTTCTTCTGCCGGCTTCAACAATTGCTGGGCTTATCAAGGACGATGACCTTTTACAGTATGCTTTTTGCTGATGCTAAAAAATGGCAGCTTTTCAAAGAAAAAAAAAAAGTCGCTGTTAACAATTTTTTTTTTTTTTTTTTTTTTTTAATAGAGTGAGGATCAGAAGAAAATGTGATAATTTACCACCGCGTTCTTTGCCCGCTGCAGGTAAGATCAGTAATATCGGCAAGCATGTCATTATGGAAGAAAACAACCCTCTATGCTTTTATTGAATATCTCTCGTTTTACAATAAAGGTGGCAAGAAACGCTCAATAGAGGAGGCGGAGTTACTTTATCAAGATTCAAAAACAGCAAAAAGAAGAGCGCACATGGGGAAAGAAGTACCTACACGTAAATCATCGCAGAGTATACGGCCGCGACCTGGACAGCCAAATCAAAAACAAAAGCAGCATACGGAATTGAACAGGAAACCATCAACACTTGTAAACTCTCAAGCGGTCAATGATAAGCAGGAAAAAATTGATGACCAACAACGAACACAGTCGGATGAAGTAACTTTATCCATTAAGGGGAATGAAGCGAAGAAACCAGCGACACCCTTCAACCAAAAGAAACCTGAAAAAACTATTAACAGTTTGAACAACAAAAAAGTACAAAATATTTCTGCGAAACCCAAGAATGGGACTTCCGAAGCAGACTCAAGTGCATCGGAGGGCGATGTTTCCGACGACACTGACAGTAATAACACCGGTAATGGAAATGACCTGAATATAACCATTGCAATACCCTAAATATAAAAATAACCCTTCGGATTCCAAAGTGAACAGAAAAATTCATATAAATCTTTTAACTACTCAGTGAAACCCCTTGTTAAGGTAGTCCCTGGAAGCGGATCTAAGCAAACGAAGGCCAGGAATGCACGTCGAAAGTTGCAAAAGGTTTTGGCGGCATCGGCTCAAGCCACTACGAATTCACATAGTCTTCATGATGTCCAGAGCCAAGATCGAGAGAGTATACAAACGACAGTATGCACACCTTCTCGACCAACAGTCAGCTCCAATGTACATACCCAGCCGTCGCCAAAGATTGTCATGACGACCGTTGATCTGCAAGACCACGATATTATCCATAAAAAACAGAAAGCAACGACACCTAAAAAGAACGTTTCCTTTGGCAAGAAGGCTGCTGGCGATGCACATGGGATGTCAGATCCAGTACCAACACAAACCATCTTAAAATCGAATACCCCTAACAATGCCAGCTCCATAATGCCTGCAAAAGAAGACGAGGCAGATTTAGAATTACCATTACGGATTTATGCGGATCTTCCTAGACAAGAAGGTCCTCTATGTATTGGAGACATCATCGCATATAAGGTTTGTCAAAGAGAAAACTCCGATGAGCGATTAAACCATTATGATGAGTTTTGTACGAACTCAAGTATTCACTACGCTTACTATTTGCATCGCGGGCATAGACGTTGGAGATCGGTCCCTCATACAATCCAATCATCTCGGAATTCAAGGTTGGCAGGATGAAGCTACTCTTTCGATTGTCATTATACCTTTGCATTGTTGTACGCTAGAGAAGTAGCTGATACTTTACTATTATTGCTCAATCTTTTGTACATCTCTAGGAAGCAACAGTAATTGGGCTTTCAGAGTCAGGGACAGTTGCCGAGGTGCAGCTAGATCGCAGGTTTAGGGCCTCATTTGAGGTGGATGGTGATGGCCAACCCATCCTAGGCAAGTTCGATGTCTATGATGAAGATGCAGTAGAGCGCGCTAGACAGGGTATTGCGTCTTTGGACGTCCTAAGCCTTGCAGATTGCCGCCTCATATCTAGAAGCAAAGTGGATTCTTAGGACGTCATCTCTATCTATCTGAAATAAAAGAAAAGGACAGTCTTGTCTCTAAAGATTGCTGTGGTTGTTGATTGAAAACAATATATATATGTTACCGTTTCAGTAAATTGTTCAAAATTATTATTTTGCGCCACAGCAACGGGATGTGCTCAACCGCGATACGGTTGTAGCGGAAAATATCGCTGATCCAGGTTCTGTTTCAAAGAAAGCTGACAAAGCACAGGAGTGCCAACCAGTGTAACAGGAATCTGTATAAACAGTAATTGGAGGAGACAGCATTAGCAGTAACTGTGATACTCGGAACCAATTGATCTTTGCTGTTTTACAATAAAAGAAATTGAATGTGAAAAAAAAAAAAAAAAAAAAAAAAACTATTGGGCGAAGTTTCTGAAATAAGAAAAGGAGTTTCAAATGAAGAATGAGAGCATGCTATGCATCACAAGGATGGAATGTTCAAAAAAGGAGAGTCCGCATGGGCCAAGCAAATTGGTTCTATGGCCTAATATATACTTTATATATCCATTTATCCATTTTCAATCTTTAATCAGGTTGGATAAACAAGGCAGCAGCTGATGAATGGATGGGTAGATGAACAGATGAATAGGGGGTGAGTTGTTTTAATGAACTGAAAGTATGTACAAAAGTGTCATTTGTCCAAAGAAGCTGGATCGCGTGTGAGAGATATTCTTACTGTCCAGAAATTAGTGGCATGGCCAAACAAGTGTTTCACCGGATCTTTTTTTGTTTTTGGACAAACAATTACATATTACAATTACATACACATGCACGCACAAAGATCATCTCTCTCTCCCTTCCATTCTTCCCCCCTTTTTTTCTGCTTCCTTTTTCCCTTTTTCTCCTCTCTTCATTCTTCAACTCCCTCTTCCGAAACAATAAAAAAAGATTTTCCTTGACGTTCCTTTTTTCATTTTTCATTTATTTCTTTTACTTAAACCATGTTACAGATCAATCCGTTTGACATCCCAGAGATTTTAAATCGCATTCTCACTTGTACGTCGATCTTGAGTGCAAATGATCTGGCTCTGACTGCTTTGGTCAGCAAGTCATGGGCTCTTGCTTCAAGACGAGCATTGTGGCAAGACCTCGAACTTAATAGCGAGTCCTGGATCGATGTACATTACAATAACTTGTATAAACAACTGATGCGCTACGGTCATTTTGTACGCGTACTCACATTGACAGACTGCGTAAGTACTCATGGCTATTCACCTTGGACGAAACATATAGAAAACACATTGCTACCTTCCCCGTTCTAATAGACGATATCAACATTTAGGGTCCCGACAAGGCTCGGTTTTGTGAGTTAATGTGCATGATGAAAAACCTGCAGGTGGTTCTTTTGGATAGGCTCATGCTTCGTGGTCATGCCTCTATATTACAAGAGTCTCTCGACCTCTTGTTTTTCCCACAGCTATGTGTTCTCAAACTGCCATATATGATCTCGAGCTCTAGTGGTCCTGATATCCTGCTTAGGATCTGTAACTCTGCACATAAAATCCAGCGTCTGGAGTTAATGGACAGCGACTTTGATGGCAAAGCCCTTGCTCTCATCGAAGAAGCATGCCAATCACTTGTCTCCCTTGACTTGTCAAGAAACGAGGTGGTCACTCTGAACGAATCAATCACAAAGCATGTCGCAATGGACCAGGTAGAAGAGCATTGGCTAGGATCCAAGATACCAAATACATCACCAATAGTGGATACATCCTTCGGGCTATCGACGAGAACACCTACATGTGGCAGTACTCAAAACTCCAATATGTTGCCCTTGACCCAAAAAATGACCGACGCCTCAAGTCCATTGGCTCTTCAGTCACGACAGCATACACATGTTCACGAGTTTACGTCCCGGAAGCCGTCTGAACGTCATGAGTTTCAGGATTCACGCACACAATATGGAAACATACAGCGTTGTTGCAGACCTAGCTTGCTGGAGATGCGGCAACCTTTTATGTACCTCGAAGAACTTAGTCTTGTATTTTGCCTTGGGATCACTAACAGTGATTTCCAAACACTTTTTCAGTCATTTCACGGCAAGAATCTTCGGTCATTGGATCTTCAATTCACAAATATCGAGGATTCAGGCCTTGAAACATTGGCTGACGCCTTGACGATGCGATGCACACATCCAACATTACAAAGTATAAAGTACACTGGCATCACTTGTGTCAATGTGAGCTTTTGCAGTAAAATTACAGCGCGCGGAATAAATGCATTAGTTAAGGGATGCCCTCAACTGCTAGAGCTTGAGTTCTTGAGTTGTGACTCTGTTTCTGCAGAGTGCTTTCAAAATACAATGCCATGGGCCTGTGCTGGGCTCAAGCGACTCGAGTTTACAGTTCATCCTAGAGTACTATTTCTGGATCAATCCATCAAAAATAAGGACACAGTCAATCGACGGCTCAGTACCACAGTGTCAGAAGAAGAAGGGGGGTCAGCAGCAGCAGTAGCAAAGAACCATGACCCTACTCCTTATAGGACTATCAATCAAGGCGACCAACAGTCTCAGATGACGGCTCAGCATCAGAAGGGCAATTTGTTACAACGAGCACATCATGGTATTTTAAAAATTCATAAACAGTGTACTCAAAGAAAAGAAGACATTCAGCCGAACGATAAAGAATCAATACTCAGTGATTACTACGCCATGTTTAGGCAGATCAAACTTCTCACGGAGTTGCAATCACTGCAGATATTCAACAGTCCAGCACTGAACACTACGAACAATGCAGGAAGTCTACCAGAAGAGTATTCAGTTCCTGAGGGCCCGCATATCCAACAGAACTGGGATCCTACACTAGAAGGCGCCATGAGTACTGAAGAGGATCTGCAGGAGACCAATGGTGGAGGTCGAAACATCATCGATGGCGAACTACGCGATGCGCAAAATATGCAAGATAGTAATTCTGATAGTGGTCCAAGTTTAGGGCACCCTTTTTTCCATAAAAACAAGATAGCTATGGCCCCGTTACTTATTGCTGGAAGCGTGTCCAATTCAAGCATCTGCCCGTTCTCGTTTCGGATGGGTCTCAAAGCACTGGGTCGGCTGAAGAAATTACAGACACTTACGTTTTATGAGCGCTCAAATGTGGTCTTTGGACCCTCAGAGATGCGATGGATTGGCAAAACATTCCCTCAGCTGTCGGTATTGCAATTACGGGGTGCTATCGAGGCCCCGGACAAATCTTTTGAGCGCTTAAAGAAGGTACAGCCAGGAATTCAACTCCAGGTGTGTCCGTTATTTGATAACCCTTCATAATAAAGTCACAAAAAAAGCCACTTCATTTTACACCTTTTGCTTCGAAGAAAGAAATGCGAAATTACAGGTCATTCCTTCCTTGTTCCATCAATTACTCGTGATTTAGGCTCTAACACTAACAATCAGACGCATCGAAAATCAGCAGCACATTCTTTTCTTTTGCATCAACAGTTGAAAGAATCTCATGGAGGTTGATCCATTCGAGGCACGTCTTGAATTCCGTGGCTTGCTTGGCAGACTTAATGCTTCACAGCATTCGATCCAGAAGGTCGGGAACTTCGCCATGAGGAATAAGAACCTTCATGAGGATCTTTACAGTTGTATTATTGAGGAGCTAGAGCAGGTGAGAGCCGATTCATTAGGGCTATTTATTGAATGTATGCTTGCTTCACCTTTGCACTGTAGCTTTTGCTTGCCCATCAAAGTCGATTCTCTCAGAGTATGATTGGAAAAGCAATAAAGGAAAATGAGCAATCTAGATACGAGGAAGAGCTATTGGGAGACTATCGGCTACAACACAGACTTGCTTTACTTTGAGTACACCATCGCAATGAAGTATTTAGTTATATCGCATACAAGGTTCATTCGATTACGAGGCGTATTCACACTCTTTACATGCAGCTCTCCTGCGTGCTCTTCGTTGAATAAAAATGCTTATGTATGCGAGATCCTCATTGGAGTTGAATATATCATAGACCATCGAAGGCATTTTTGTTTACATGTGTCTCGTCAGTAAAAAAAAAAAAAAAAAAAAAAAAAAAAATACTCAGCGTCTGTGGACCTTATCTACCTTATTTGTTGCTTCTCAATCTTATTCTCATGTGGCCGGCTTTGATTTTTGGCTCTCATACCCTTGTCCCTTGCAATTTTTTTCTTCTTCTTTGCTTTTGGAACAGTGAAGCTTTATCAATGTATGTAAATGTAACTAAGGATTATATATGAAAAGCATGATATTTATATCTATTTCTTTTATCAATTTTATTCAAGACGCCTTCTATCAACACCAAAATGAATATATTTTATGTTCTCGACTCCATATGTCACCAGAGCCACAAGGCAGGCTTTTCAGGATATATGGATCTTATTCAAAGAAATCTGCACAAGATAATCGAGTGCGTTACTCCAAGCGGGCCAAAAGGCAACGTGAATGTCGCAGGGACGAAAAAGGTGAGCAAGCTACCAAGAAACCAAGGAATGGTTTTCATATCATCCAACCTGAATATGATTAAATTAATATTTATTGTCACAAATGGAGGCCTTGTCAAACAATTGATTTTTTTTTTTTTTTTTTAAAAAATATATATATATATATATATATATATATATATACTATTTTAGATTCTGGACTCCTGGCGGGCAAAACGTCTGTTTAACGAAAGTGTGATTGATAAAGTGGAGAAGCCTCTTTTATCAAGGGACTTGGGGTAAGGCTTGATATCCATTATGAACAACGTATGCTTATCAAGTTACATTGGATTCTGATAGTGCCTATGATATCTGTCCGTTTACTTGGAAAAAAAAAAAAAAAAAAAAAAAAAAAATACTGAAGCGCAAATACACTATCAAACGCTGAAGCAGGATTCACAAAGGACGATATCCTGAAACGAATGGACGAGGATAGGGAGCGTGTAAGCTTTTGGGCATTGCTGGATCAGAAGATAGGACTTTTGAACTAATAACTGGAGTGTTCGTATTGCACCTTCTTACATTATTTTTTATTTTTTATTTTTTTATTTTTCTGCAGCATAAAAGAATACGCGAAGAAATATGGATCAGACCACCGGATGAGGACTCGGATGCAGAGTTTTTACAAAGCTGGGATGAAGTATCTGACATGGAGGAAAATGACTATGAGGATATCGAGAGTGAAAACGAAAAATATCTACCAAACTATCCATGGAGCTTGGAATTTGATCGCTTTTTACCCTCACCCGCTATTTTTAAATCTAAAACAAATTCGACATCTGCAACAACTTTTGATTCATCTCTCGATTCTGGTGCGGTAGCGACGAAGCGGCTCACAAGCCCAGAGGGGACAGTATCTGTGTCGAATGCCGGTGCAGGAGCAGGAACAGGAGCTACACAGGTGTCAGGTCATCACAATGGTTACCATGGACAACACAACGTTCATTTTCCACACCAGCCAACATCACAACAACAAGTTTACTCACCAACGAGTGCTTCTGCTACCGACAACAATTACATCGGAAGTACGATTTCACGTAGTCACTTCCACTCATACTATGATTCATCTATTCCGACTGCACCAACCTCAGAGGGGCCTGCTCCATCCTATAGAACATCACCATCATCTACGTATCAGCCATTTCCTAGGACACACTACCAAGAATGCACTACCAGTAGCGGCGGCAGCCTCCAATCTGGACATTCTAATGGTCATAGCGACCGTGGACCATAACTAGACTACAATCCATTTATTTTAATAAAAAAAAAAAAAAAAAAAAAAAAAAATTAGATAAAAAGTCAAATTAATATTGAAATATTTATGGTAATAAAGGAAACCTATAAACAGATAGAGATTTAGCGTATGAATAATATAAATTGATGAATAAAGAAGTATATAAGTAAAAAATAAAGATAGGAGAAGTTAAGATAAATAACAAAAAGATACAGTAGAATAGTATCGAGGTTTTTATTTAGCCTCGGCAATTGTGTTTGTAGTCTCTAATGTAATTTACGGCAAGCGCACGGCTTGTTCCTTGCTCAGGTCCCCAAACTAGATAACCAGTCATCCTTGCCCGCATAGGGCCCGTTCACAGCATGCGGTGAGTTGTCACTCCAGAGTTTGCCGCCTACACCGTCTGGGAAGTATTCCGCTATTCCTGCCATGGTTACATTCATGATCTTTAGATGATAATGCAATAAGGTAATATGTAGCTTTTTTTTTTTTTTTTTTTTTTTTTTTTTTGCTAAAGGAGGAGCCAAATAGTGAGCAGTTTACACACCAAGTAGAACTCTTGGTCAAAAGGCGCTGAGTTGGGTCCAGCCCACAAATTATCGACCCATGAAGGAAATTTGCCTTCCCCGAACATATTGTTGAATGGCACATCAAGTACAAGGCTGTTGTCGACATTATGTCTTGAGAATCTCCAGTCTCTAATCTAATTGAAGCCATCCACGAAAGTCTTTCCTTCCGGCAGCCTGTACTCTGTATGTGTCATCCGGTGCCCATTAAGCCCATACGAAGGGCCTTTTGACACAAACCGAAATTGGTTAGCCGAATTAAAATTAGATGGCTGGGGTGAACGAACACACAAAATATAAAAATATAAAAATATAAATGCAATTTGAGTGAAAGCGCCTTGCACCGTTATTACAAGACTTTACTAAATCAATCTCTTCGTTTGCAGGCCAACTGGCGTATTGATAATGGGCCGGTAACATCCAGATCGCCTTACATGACAAATAAGAGTTAAGGGAATATGCATTTATGCGCCACCAACAAACATTAATAATGATTGGAGGATGCTCACAGGCCATATCCATTTCCCTATGGATACCCTTACCCTGATTTGAGCTTCCCCATATCCGAATTTGGAGCTGCTGGCGCTGCGAACAAGACCAGACTGAATTGGATTTAAAGTGTTCTCCTCTACTCCAGCGACCCGATAGCAACCATAGCTATAACGACCAGTGCATTGCGTCTCTGGACCACTGCCCTACATATCATTGATACCGCCTTTGCGCCTATAAGATACTCTGTCAGTGTCGGCCGAATGTAAAAGTTGCCGTTTCCTACAAATGCATTAGTGCGGTTGTTGATTCAAGCTTGAGCTTCATGATACAGTTGGTTGAAACATCATGAAGCATTATGACACGCATTCAAGGTCGTCATATTGAGTCAATATTTCAGTATTGAATTCACTTACCCTCCATCTGTTAGTGTAAGATCATACTATCACCATCATACGGACGTGGGGTATGTCGTTGTCAGAAAGAAGTCATTTCCTTGCTTTCATTTAGCTTTAACTCCCAAACCAAGTCGTCCAGCTTGTCAAACTCGTCATCAAATAACGGACACCTATTCTTAATCACTGCTTCAGTTCCTAATTGTCACCTGTTTTCCTTTGTTAAATACACTGCTTGGGATTCATCACGTAGTTTTCGTTCATAATCAGGATTAATGGAGCCCTTTAATTGGAATTCTACGCCAACCATCTTGCGCAGGCCTGCAGGACCCTTTCTGTCTATGTAGCCATATGAACTTGCAGCTGTCGGGGCAAATATGAAGGTCAAGCTTCAACAAGATTGCTTGACTTGGTAAAACGATATTTATTACGTGCCTCATTACGTAAGCTTATATTAGACAGATAAGAAAGTTAGGTATAATAGGAGCGGTACGGGTACACGAGGTTCTCTTATCCTGAAATGGTTTGGCAGAAAGTGGGAAACATTATTGATTATTAGACAGCCCCTCACTCCCGTGCGTTTTAAACGCGATCACTCACCCTTTATTTCTGATACAGATACACGGATCTTGCAATTAAACTAAAACATAAGCATATCCGAGATTCTTGCAGGCTATATTAATACCAATAGGCACTTAAACCATGCGTGATTTACATTCAACAGGGCAGTTCGACAACATGCCAGAATCTTAGGGACCCTTAAGACATCATTGGCGCTCATGATCAATGGTTCTGACTGTCATCGATAAGCGATGGCTGCACTGTTTCGGCTTCAATCAATTCTCTAAACCGATCTAACTGTCTCTTGCTCAAAGCTTGGCTTATGTCATCTTGTACGTCGTCCTGTGCACATATCGCAATTAACTCGTCGCTTCCTGATCTCCATCGAATCCGTGCTTGTGCGCCAGTCATCCTTGGTAGGGGTTTCTCTTTATGACTCCCATGACTTGTTGGTAGGAATTGCTGGCTCTTTACTTCACTAATCTCATACATTCGCTTCAAGTAACTTTTTAGGACTATGGCAGCCTCGACTGGAATACTGGCTTTGGCTATCATACGAATAGGCATGTAAAGCTCCCGATTGCCCTTATCTCTTTCCAGGTATGGTTCATCCTCACCACTGTATGTCCCATCAGCGATATCTTCACTATGCTCACCTCCAATTGCACTGGAACTTTGCACTTTCATGTTATGTAGTTTAGACTTGGGTGTGCTTGATGATAAACCCGATTCTCTGGTTCTAATTCTTGCCTTGCCGCCACCACCTTTTTTTTTTATTGCGGGATCACGATGTGCATTTGATGCAGGCTGTGTCACTCTAATCAAATTTTGCAGCAGTGTCATTCCAGTTCCGGCTATGATCCTGTTCAAATAAAAAATAACAAGATAAACTTCCTCCGTTGTTTTGAATTCGAGATAAGCAAGATTTTCCGCAATAAACCGTGAATAAATGCCGTCCACCTAAAAATTGCGATCATAATGGGGGAAGCACAAATAAATTACAGTTGCAATTTTTTCAATACTTCTTCTTTCATTAAGCTCGGGAGTTACGACAACCTTTAATAAAGTTATAGATACCTCAAATTGCATTCCTGTAAGGTCAACATCCAGGGCCTTGACAAGTGATGATAGAAAAGAGTTCCTAACCTGTCTTTTCTCTCCCGCTAGTACGTACATCGGATAAACCAAAGCAATGGCATCGCCAGTCTCCGGATTGATCTTATATCCTAGAGTAAGATACAAATAGCTTGTTAATCTTTTATGCTTGAAGCGGTGCTGTCCACTTTAAGAGTTGAAAACGTCTCACCTTGTATACTCAACGCTTCTTGTTGAAGATTTTTTCTAAATGCAAACATTGTCCGAACGCACTCCATAATCCTTGCATAGATTAGTGATGCGTGCTTTTGATGTAATTCACGGTGAATTTTAAAGGCGCGCCCTGCTAAAATCAAGTCTTCACTAGATTCAAGAGCAACCACAGCTGGCATGCAGAGCATCGGGTGTACCAATGCTTGCTGTGTCACCTGAGAGATGACATCAACTGCAGCCACCTGCAGCTGTAAATCATTCACGAGTGCACACTGTAATATGCGATCAAGATAACGCTGCATGACTGCGCTTCCTATTCCTGCCTCGAGGTTGTCTTCAGCATTCGTAATGAGGGTATAGGCTTCTTTTTCGGACCTTGAAGATGACGTGGCCTGAGTGTTGACTAGGAAATCGGTGTATGTCCGAAGCATCTCTATTTTGAGCTCATTGTTCCGGTCGGAGAAGATGGTGTCCATGATAGCAAGACTCCTTTGCATATTCATCAATATTGGAAAGGCCATGTATAGGTGGCCTGTGCACATGGGAACACAAGTAACCATAAAGTTAATAAATAAAGCAACAAGCACGATATAAGCATTAAGACGCTTGCTCATTACCTAAACCCTGAAGAGCATTTAGCCGCAGAGAATTATCGTCCATCAGCTCGTAAAGCGTTGCCAAAGTATTGAAAACAAAGCCTTGAACGGTTGGATACATTTTACTCTTTAGATCAGATAGACGGTCTTCGCTTGGACAGCCTTTGATTATTTTCTCGAATGGAAAGTGTCTACAAACGAGACTCACAATTGTCATTAAGCGACGAGTCTTGCTTTCTTGAAGAGCTACACCGGTTTCCAACTTCTTGATATCAGCTATTAAGACATCCATACAGGCTTGGAAAAACTTGCAAAGACGGCTATAGTTTCGGGTCCAGACTTTCACAATATTACAAAGAACTGTAGCTGCGTCGGGAAGCAATACCAGTGGACACTTTGCTACAAGGGCTAAAGCTAATCGTTCAGCCATTTGAGAGTCATTGGTAGGCATGTCTGGCATAACTGGGATTGTATCTTGATATATCCGCAGCACAAACATTGTGATACGCCAGTCATCCGAGTCAACACAGCAGTGAAGGTACGTTAGAAGTGCGCTGAGATGCTTTACTTCGGCAAGGTGGGGCTTGGACCTCAGGAACAAATGGAGTGTTTGAACAGTTGACGCAACAATAGATTTGGGGGCGTCCTCATCCTGGAGGGTTTGAACCAGATCTACAAGACAGTTTACGACAACAGCACATGACTTTGTAAAGTCTTTGATCGAATGTGATTGATCGAGACTTTGATCCCTTTTGAGCATATGCCGTAATACGGATCCAAGAGCTTCATCCTGCTGCATGGATAATGTGCCCACCATGTCAACTAAAGTTCGCGCATACTTTGACACCTCTCGGCGTTGCGAAAATGTTATAGAAGCTGAAGTAGATGATACTCTCGATTGCTCTTCATACCCTCCTTCTACTGATTGGGCTGCATCCACGATTGGGCCAAACCAGACATCACTAACGCTTTTGATCGCCAGCTCTTTGACAGATATATCATCATCATTCACTCGAAGCAAAAGTTTTTGTGAAATGTCACTACGCAACTCATGACTTTCTGTTCTATGATAGATGTCCCGCAAGAGTCTTAAAACACGTTTGCGAACATTCAGTCCGGTATCCTAAAGTAAAAATAACATCAGATCAAACCCCGCATAAACACTACATTCAAATTGAAGAAAACAAGGGCACCTACCGAAATTCTGTCGCTCACTATATCGTAATAGGCCTTCCGAATTGTTACGTCTTGCATCATGTATTTGCCTACAAGATCTACAGCGGCATCACGGACTAAAGGACTTGTATCTTGTAGTCGTAGAGCGATTGTTTTGCGTACATTCTGCTGAGCAAGTACAGAGTAATCACCAGTTACTATTGATGACAAAGCCTTTAGTGATTTGGTCCTTAGGGTAACAGTCCCCCCTTCCAGTGCAGGTAAAATCCGCGAAAGCAGCAAATCAAATGAGAGAAACAGCTGCTGTCGAGACGTAAGATACATTGCGCTTTGCAATGCTTCCTTCCATATGGTCAGGCGTCTAGGAATGGGTTTTTGATTGTGACCTGCGTAAAGCCTCCAATATGACCAGATTTCTTCTAGTATCATTTTCCAAGAGTCGTCTGCCCAAACATGGGCTGTAGGGTTTTTCGTGACAGCTGTACACATCAAGCCGATCCATTCACATATCCAAAAGTCTTTAGCGGCCTTTGCTCCTGGATCATTAGTCTCGTTGGAACCTAGGTAATCCACTACGTTTTTGTATCTTGCCTTCAAGTACATTAGGTCGCGTGGCTCGATTTGCGCACAAACTATACCATAAAATGGGGAGTTCTCATCACCTCCGCAGCTTGATGGACAGTCTCGGGACTGCTCCTTTTTCGAATTATACATGATTGTCTTGATCTGAGTAGCAATAGATCCTAGCGCCTCAATGGCCATGACCTTTATCGTTACGTCTGCTTTTACATCGTCCAAATATCTTGTCTGAGAGATGAAAAGTATCAGTCTGCATGTACTATCACTGATAGTTTCTGTTGCATATTTAAGATCCCGTAAATATTACCATAGCAGTGCTGAAGAGCAGCAAGCACGTCTCTGCACTTGGCCATTCGGGTTGACCAAGTACTACAAGTAGATCCGCAATAAGACTATCCAGGACTATTTTATATTCAATTTCAGACGTCATTTTAAATCCTTTGATACAACGCAATAAAAGGAAGTTGAAAATGTAAGCTGCGTTGGATTTCTCAGTCTCTGATACAACTTTGATCTCATTAAGCAACTTCGGTACCCAATGCCACCATCACAACAACAAAAAAAAAAAAAAAAAAAAAAGGAAAAAGAGAGGTAATGATAGCATTTATGTGAGCCGTGGGCGCATATTGCTTGATAAGTGAATAAGGTTTTTGCAGTAACATTCAATTAAACCAACCTTTTGCATTGCCAGGCTTTGCATGGAAATATCGAGATCATGAAAGTCCTGTGGGAGGAGCGCAGAAGATGGGCAGCTAGAGCACGTTTGAATTAGCTGCATGAGCAATGCCGATGAAGAATGTATCTTTGACCCATCCTTAAGCCTAGAATAATATCCACATAGGCAGCCAATTAGAACAATGCAAATGGCTTAACAAAATATGCTTTTGACAACCCACTAACAATCATACTTGTAGCCTTTAGACATTTTCTTTCCATGAGGCAGTTTAATGAGCAGTGAAAGAATCTCTTCCAGTATCCAAGTTCGATACTTTGTGTACTTCTCATATATCTACTCCATTACCGAAGGAAAAGTGTTAGCGAAGCATGCAGTCTAACGGAGCTGATCACTGCATTCATGGTTACCTATCCCCTTACCGTCCGCAAAAGACTGGATCCCGCCTGCTTTAATGATTCAGTTTCTGTACCGCTCAGTGCTCGTTCTGAGGATGGATCAATGAAAAACAGCGAAATAGCGGCGTAGATCACTTTTAAGACAAAGTCGTCAGATAATTCTTGTCGGCAAGTGCTAAGAAGAGCATTTGAAGCCCTACTGACTTTGGAAACCAAAGAAATGACTCTCGGTTTGATAGTATCATTCTCAGAAAGCATTTCAGCCATTAATAGCTCCTCAGATGTTGGACAAGTCTCCTTCGAAAACTCCAGAACGGGCTTTAAAAATCTGTCTAGACTTAGCTTGAAGACTAATAGAGAACTCATAAGTAATTCTTCTGGAAAGAATTGCTGATGAAGGCCCAATTTTGCGAATAAAGTGAAACTGAGAACCACATAATCCAGGTACAGTGTTATACGGTCCAAGAGGACATGGGCTCCACTTGGATTATCGTCAATTAAATCATCATTTCCTTTTGAAAGAATACCCTCGGAAGCAAATCCATTCAAGCGTGTATCCATATGCTTTAAAAGTCTACATAAGATGTCAGCTGGAAGACTTTCGAGGAGCCCTTGTTTTAAGAACTCTTCAATCTGTGTAATATTTTGTGCCGCTGACAGTGAAAAATCCATTGACTTTAGATTTAACTCGTCCATCTTGTCTTCGCTATCTAGAAAGTTGAGCACAAAATCCTCAAATGCTGGGGTAGGGTCTTGAGAACAAACAGTATATCGATTTATTAGCATACTTAGAAGAATGAGGCTAAATGCTTTGCGTAAGTATATAGTATATAAATAAAATAATCCTACCGTTATCATTTGTCAGCAAAGACTGCATCATTAAAGCTGTTGGAGTTGATTGTGTCACTTCTGCTGAAAGATATGAGGTGCATTGTATGCGTGAAGATATTTCATTACAAGGCGTTTTATCAGGCTGAGGCGTGGCAGAGACGTCAACGGTGGATAAAGAACTCTGGTGCTTAGGCTTCTTGAGCCGACGGCCCGTGCTTTGAGGCCCATTGTCATCCCAACTCTGCTGGGGGGGTCTTTTAGATGCACGCAGAGTAGATGAACTACTGTTATCCTCGACTTCAGATTCTGGTATTTCTTCAAGGTGATCTATAGCCGTGATGAAGTCAGACGAAGTGGAAGTACTTTGTTGAAACTCGCGCAACGCGCTGAATGGCTCAATTACCGGAAGCTGATATATATCTCCGGTGTTGAAATCCTCGTGTCTATTCTTGGAGCAGTGATACATGATAGATTCAGCAAGAGATGAAAGTGGTTGATCTATATGGTGTGAAAATGATTCTGTGTTCCCTATAATTTGAGCCACTGGCGGGAAGCGTCTATAGGAAGCACAAGTACTTTGCGTTAGTCGAGTGAAAGCATTAAAAGCGAAGTAAATACAAGTTATTCCTTGAATAGTATTAATTAGACATTTCTTACATGTCTGTCAGATCTGCATTTGTGATAATGGCTTTCAAGTACTCAAGTTGAGTAGATGGCACTGATCGAGTATGCTCATGCGGAGAGAATAAATATTGCGCCTCAGGGCCCTGAGGTTTTAGCAGGCGAAACGCTGGAAAGTCAATACTTATAGAAGGTAAGCCCCGTAGGACTATTGAGAAGCTTAAATATGTTAGACACATAATGATATGCGAAGTTCCCCAATTAACCATTAATAGACCCTTTACCTGAGTCTGCCGACGTTATGGATGCGAGGGGTGAATATTGTAGACCTGTCTGTGCATTCATGGGCAACGAATGACAGGGCACCGCATCATTTAGTGGGTTCTGTTCATGCAACTGTACGCTCTTTGTAGGGGACTGTCGCTGGTGCATCGGGAATGAAATGTTTGAAATAGATGACATTGAAGATTGTTGCTGTTGCACTTGCTTTGGCTGTCGCTTAACATTCGGAAGCTGTAATTCCTGTTGCCGATCCATTTTAAATTGGATTCATTACAACAGCTGTGCGGAAGAATAATAAATTTCTCCGAAGGCAAGTTCTTTTAAGTGCATTTTTGAAAATTGCCACCATTTTTTTCTGTGGCTGTTACTTGCTTTGGCTTTCGCTATTTTGTAGCAGTCATTCTTATGCTTCTCTTCTCCCATAGAAAGGAGAGCACATTCCTCAAAGTTTGCGGCCTAGATTTATATGACTCGAGCTTCATGTCGACACGTACCTCGATTGAATTCAAAATTATTGCTATGCATATTTACTCGCCAATAATCGATGGATAAAACTGCTCGGGAAACTTGTAATCGTCATCTAGATCGATCATTCTACTCTTGTTTGTCAAGGTAGGCACAACTACCAAGCATCGGAGCATCAATCAATCAATATTGCCTTCATTATTCGAATTTAGCAAAATTGGAGCGGATGCCAGCCTTTTTATTACTTTCAGGCGAATCAGTATCAGCAAGGATAAATGTTTTTACCATCAATATCGGAAGAAAATGACTTCGGGATTGTAATCAGCATTGTATTATAATTTGTCTAGGGGAAAGACAAGTATAAAAGCATCCCTTTTTAATCAAGAATGTCAACATTCAAATAACTTATTGATTCCATGGCTATTATTTTTTCGATGTAAAAAAAATTAAGTGAATCAATTGGCATAGCATATCCTCCCTAAAGGCAACGGAAATTGCACCCTTTCAAGTGACCTTTAGCAAGGAGGTCTCGTTTGACAAAAAATCATACTGTCACCTCTTATGGCAGTTCACTACAACTTTCATTGTTCTGCATCCTCGATAAAGACTCGGTTTTGTCTTCCTTCTCCATGAAAGCTCCACTTGATGCCACTGTCGATAATCTCAGCCAGAAAAAGCGCTAAGTTTGAGGATGTAGATTTAGTCCGTTTTATGCTCTGAAAGGTCCCCATTCTCATTTCCAGAGAAGACATGGTTAAAATCTTTTCGCTTGAAAATTGGCTGACAGAGACGCTACTCCCGACCACGATACTCAAAGTTGCTTTTAAGGAGCGAGTTTATCTATGCAATTATACAATCTCTACTGAAAGGTATTTTCCATTTCATCTGTTATGTCCTTTTTTTTTTTTTTTTTTTTTTTTGACGATAATTAATATTATCAGCGCTGTCTTTGCTGTACATACGCGACTTAACCAAAGCTATATTTAATGTATCCCTCCGGCTTGCTTATACAAGAGCTTTTTCATGATCTGTTGATACACTATCATGCAAAACTGAATAAATAATTCATTCCCATGTGCATTTCTTTTTTTCATTCCTAGAAACCGTATATGCATACACCACTCATACTTTGTTTTAATAAAGCTCCCGTCTTCTTCTACGACATAGTTATGCGTTGTGACATTAGCTTGTCTCATTTAGAAAGCTAGTGACTTTTTTATTCATTCAGCAGAGTCGCATTCAAATTTTTTTTTTGTGAATTGTGAATTGTGAAATGAAATCTATTGGCTTTGAAATGACCAATAATCTGCCAGAACTGGGTCCATTTCACAATTCAATTTTTCACCAAAAAGTTGTAAAATTGATTTGTGAAATGACTCATTTGGTCCAATGACCTTTGAAAGTGATTTTCTCTTTTTTTTTTTCTTTTTCTTTCTTTCTTTCTTTTTCCCTTTCACGCAACACACACATAGAAAAGAAATGGTCGCATACCTTTTACAACGGTATCAACCCTTTGATCTCTCCCACGCCTTCAAATGCAACAATTACCTCTGTTTCTGAACGTCCAATAATTGTTGATGCCACTCATCAGCGACAGTTCCCTTACGTAGCCGCCCAGAACTATCAATACCAGCAGCAGCAACAAAACCTTCAAGGAAAGGGTTCTCAGGAACTTTACAATATTTATCCCCAATCTGTGATGCCCAATTTGCGACACCACCCTCAGCCAACTCAATCTGAGCAAAGTTCAAAACGTCCAAGGGAAGAACTGCAACAGACTTCTTATTCTCAACTTAGACCAATCTCAGCCATCCCACCATTGACATTAACTACACCTTTGAATACGAATCGCTCAATTGCAATTACACCTCCACCAATTACTTCTCAAGTACAACCTGGATCTCGTGCAAGATCTTCCACAACTCATGCTTCCTCTGCCTCTGCTTCGAAAGCTAAGGCAGCGACTAGAGGCCCTGGGAGCTTTTGGACCGCAGATGGGATGGATGCCTTTGTGGATTGGATAACTGACCCCCACAACTATGAAAAATTGCAAAGAGTACGGACAGTATCTGGTCAAAAGAAGGCCGACGTGCATACCGCTATTGCTGAATACGTAAACGGGGTTGCCGGAACTGATTGGACTCAAAAGATTGTAAGGAACAAGATTGAATATGTAAAGAAGAAATATGACCAAGCCAAGGCCCTTGCAGACCAAACTGGTGGTGGAGATACGGAGAATTTAGCAGACCTTCGAAGGCAAATGATGGAAATATGTCCTGAATACGACCGATTCCACGCTGTTTGGGGAAGCTCATTAGCGAGGAACCCTCCTCCTCTCATGCAGTCATGTAGACGTGTCATTGATGATTCCTCAGAAAGAGAGTCATCTCCTGAGACAACTCTCGACTCTGAAGATGACGGCCAGGAAGATGACGGCAATGAAGGCGGATTTGTTATTAATGGTAAGAAACTTAATGTCTGTTTACATTGCTAATTTTAGTCATACCCGATATCTAATTCAAATTCATCAATTCTATCTATAAAAGACTTGCTTCAAGTTAACGACGAAGATACAAGAGACCGAGTACCGAAGCGTCGAAGGAAAGCAAAACTTAGTGAAAAAGATGCTTTTGTTCAAAGTACTGTGTCTACTTTACAAACGCAAGTCGACCTCGCCGCATCTACGAGATACAATGCATGGAATGACAGCATGAAAGAGCGAGAGAGAGCTATGCTAGATAGGGAACGAAATTTTGAAGCTATGCTGAAACAACGGGCGCAGGATTTTGAAACACTATTGAAAGGAAGAAGAGATGAATTCGAAAAAGAAAAGGAGATATACAAAAAAGACTTTGAAAAAGAAAAAGAGATACAAAAAAAAGACTTTGAAAAAGAAAAACAGATACAAAAAGAGGAAGCAGAGAGGATAATGGAACGTCGAATGAAAATGTTGGACGAGGAAAAAAAAGAGATGATGGAGTTTAGAAAAGAAAGGGATCAGCTTCTTCAAGAGCTAGCGTCTCTAAAGAAAGAGGTGGAGTTGTGTTGTAGGAACAACAACAACAACAAGCATGGACAATCGCACGGTTTATAAACGCGACAATATATGCATTTTAATAAAACCTTTGAGGCTATCGTCTGTATACGTCTGTATAAAACCCATCGCATAAGCTTATTCCTTCTTCTATTACCTTCTTGTTGTTGGGGATCTAGTTCTTCTACATCTTCAGGCACATCTCCAGGAACTAATGGCTCGTTGAGGATCTGTTCTTCCGTAATGTCTTCTTGGGCATCTTTCCGCAAGAAATTATGTAAAACGACACACGCCATGATCCACATTGATGCCCTATTAATACGCCTTCGCTTGTCGATCCTTACAGGCAAACTTTGAAGGGATTGGAACTTGAGTTTTAACATACCAAACGCGTGCTCGATCTTGACCCTTGCTCTTCCATGGAGCGAGTTGAATCTTTTCTGATCACCTTGTGCATTCCTATAGCGCGGGATCACTGTTGCAGACGCAGCATAAGCGGCATCAGCAAGTATATATTCTTTTCCTTGGAAGAACTCGCCTGGATTCCGGTGCAGCTCCGTGCTCCTGTATGCTGTCGAGTCATGCATAGACCCGATGTAGCCAGTAGCGAAAAATATGAAGCGACCTAAATGATCACTTACAGCTGTAGCGCCTACCTCATAGTTGCACTTTCGGGTAATCCACGCTCCTGTATCAAAATTTGGGGCCGAGGACAGTGGGAAACAAACTCCATCGACAGCCCCAAGCATATGTGGGAAGCCTTTGTTTTCTTTAAACCATTTCAAAATCTCAAGTTTTTCCTCTATGTCAGGCCACACCACGAACTGTTCTACGAGATTATTAATGGCTTTGATACACCTCCAGGTGTAAGAGTGAACAGCGCCGACACTGCAACCAAAAACCCAAGCAACCTTCTTGATCGATATTCCTTTTGTTCCAAGGCGAAATAGGGTAACCTTTAGCTGGATCTTGATATTGGCTAAAGGATCGCCGGTTTTTCGGAGCTGAAACAGAGGAGCCCTGCCAAGGATCTCGGCCAGCTCTTGGAATTGTTCCGGCGTCAAACGTATGATACCAGAATAGTCCTCTGCGTTGTATGCATCGAGGACTCTGTCTCGTAATTCTGTCGAATATGGTTTTCGACAGCGAGGACGCAGATATCTGTTCCTGTACATAAAAGACAGGATGTTGGCATAAGTTTCCAGTTGGAATAAGTCAGCGTCGTCTCCATTCTCGACCTGCCGCCTTACTTCCTCCACAGCCCTCAAGAATCTTTGCTCAATTGCATCTGTCAAGCGTTGGTTTCGAGTGCGAATAGTAGGCATTTTATCAAAGGAAAAGGGGAGAGGATAAAAAAGGGGCAAAATCACTTTCAAAGGTCATTGGACCAAATGAGTCATTTCACAATCAATTTTACAACTTTTTGGTGAAAAATTGAATTGTGAAATGGACCCAGTTCTGGCAGATTATTGGTCATTTCAAAGCCAATAGATTTCATTTCACAATTCACAATTCACAAAAAAAAAATTTGAATGCGACTCTGCTGAATGAATAAAAAAGTCACTAGCTTTCTAAATGAGACAAGCTAATGTCACAACGCATAACTACGACGTAGAAGAAGATGGGAGCTTTATTAAAGCAAAGTATGAGTGGTGTATGCATATACGGTTTCTAGGAATGAAAAAAAGAAATGCACATGGGAATGAGTTATTTATTCAGTTTTGCATGATAGTGTATAACTCCTAAGCTTTCCTTGACCCTTGATCCTGTTCCTATATCGCCTATTCCTCTACCTATTCCTCTGCCCAGTGCTCCTATTCGAACTGAAATTTTGTCAATTGATATTTATTTTTTTAATCTGAATCATCATAATTGACAAAATTTCAGTTTGAATAGGAGCACTGCCTCTGCCTAGTCTGGAAAAGGTTATTCTGCCTTGCCCTAAGCCTAGGTTCCCGACAACCAGTGGTATTCGATTCGAATGGTTCGAATAAGGAGCACTGGTTATAGTAGGCTGCGAGAGACTGTAATAGGTAGTGAAGACAAAAGGTGATTTTATTATAAATATTAAAAGAAGCCTTTTTATAGGCTTAAGGCTATATACTGTTACACCTTCCCATTTTAAAAAAATTATAGTCTATGTGCTTTCTTGTACTTCTTAAGCATCATGGTGCAGTTGGTAAGAGTACTTTGTGGTTGCCAAGTAGAGTCTTCTCTGGGATAGCCCTTCCACTTGATGAGGAATTCCTGGCGGTTGTTGCTGATTCGATGATCTAAAATGGCTTCTACCTCGTATTCTTCTTCATCCTCGATGATCTCAGGAGACGGCCGTGCTGGTACTCTAGGCCCTAAGGCCTCTGGTGATGGGATAAATTTTTTAAAACGGTCTACATGGAACACATCATGAATCTTCATCGTGCTTGGAAGCTCCAATCGGAATGATACAGGCGAGATTTGTTCAACGATGGTATGAGGTCCAGCGAATAAAGCTCGGAGCTTTTGTGTCGGCCTGTTTTTCTCAGCATCATTGGTAATATCGTCTGTGTTGAGTAGTACTTGGTCTCCAACTGCGAATGAGTGGTCACTCCTGCGAGCGTTTGCTCTTTTGCCTGTCTCTCCCTTGCTTCTTCCAGGGCCTCCTTTGCCAATATAAGCGCCTCGCTCTGAGATTCTACAAAGTCTTTGACACAAGGGTTTGATGAGGGGTGCAGAGTAGACTGTAGTAAAGATGCTGGAACGCGCGGGTTGAATCCGGCATTCAAGAAAAAAGGAGAAAATCCAGTTGATGCGTTGACCGAGTTGGTGTAGGCAAATTCTGCATCGGAAAGCAATAAGTCCCAATGGGTTTGTCGCTGGTCGACAAAGGCACGGAGGATCGACTCCAAGGTCTGATTGGCTCGCTCTGTCTGACCATCAGTCTACGGATGAAATGCTGTAGAAGGGCAAGTTTGCAACCCATGAGACGGTGTAGTTCTTGCCAGAACTTACTAGTAAATTTTGTATCACGATCCGAGACAATGGTAGTGGGCATACCATGGAGCCTGAATACGTTGTCAAAGAAGATCCTTGCCACGTCCGAGGCCTTGTCCTTGGTGGTGCTGGCAACAAAGTGTACTTGCTTGGAAAGTTTATCAACGAACACTGTGATGGCGTCGAAACCTCTGGGGGTCTTGGGGAGCTTGACTATAAAATCCATTGTCACGGTTTCCCAGCGTTCTTTTGGGATAGAGAGAGGGTTGAGTAGGCCTGCGGGGTGCTGATGGCTGGCCTTGTTGCGTTGGCAGCTTTCACAGGTTTGGACATAGGTACGAGTATCACGAGCAATCCTAGGCCAGAACACATAGCGGCGGAGAGTATCATAGGTTTTGTCAAAGCCAAGATGGCCAGCTATGGCAGAGTCATGAGCATCATGGAGGAGTGCAAGGCGAATATCAGACTTTTGTGGGATACAGACAACATTTGTTCCGCGGCGTAAGACACATAGAAGGCCATCATGAAGCGAGTAGCGAGGCGGAGGGCGTTTTTCAAGGCAGCCTCTGTATATCAGTGCTAGTTTTGGATCGTCAGCATAGCTGTCAATCAGACGTTGCTTTAGGCTTGGCTCCAGTTCGATCGCGAGTGACTTGACAGAAATGGATGGCGGATCTTGGTGATCTGGTCGTCTCGAAAGTGCATCTGGAACAATGTTATCAGATCCACGCTTGTACTTGAAATCAAAATCATATTCCTGGAGTAGCTCCATCCAGCGCGCTTGCCGCCGTGTTAATTTGGGTTGTGTTGGAAAGTGACGCAAGGTAGCGTGGTCGGTGTATACCACGAAGTGAGTGCCATCGAGGTAATAACGCCAGGTCCTTAGTGCATGAACGACTGCTAATAATTCTTGCTCATGTGATGGGTAATTCTTCTCGGCTGAACTTAGTTTCTTGGATGTTGTTGCATATTTCAGTATGCAATATAATAATGGTTCGACTAAAAAAACTAGGAAGATCTTAAAAAAACATACTAGAGAAATTTCAGAAATAGTACGATAAAAAATAAAACTAGCAGTAGAAACTAGTGGCAATAAAGCGTCACACTAAGACGCGACAAATCTTTGACATGAGAACCCATGCTGTCTTATAGATAGATATGTAGTTATCTGGTACAAGCCCCTCTACCAGAAATGAATAAAGAATCCATGGGTGTGGTGTGTGGACCCACATCTTATTCTCACTTACTTTTTCTACTGTTACTATCTATCTGAAAATATTTTTCAGATGTAAACGCTACTGGGCGGGACTCTCCATGCTCATCTGTTTGAAATAATACAGCACCAATAGCGAATCCCGAGGCATCCGTCTCTACTGTGGTGGTTAGGTCAGGGTCAAATATTGTGAGCACAGGGGCCTTGGTTATGGCATTTTTCAAGGTAGCAAATGCGCGCTCTTTTTCTTCATCCCAAGAAAAAGTGGCACTGTCACCTAAGAGAGCAGTCAAGGGTAAGGCAATAGTGGTGAAGTCACGAATGTGCTGCTAATAGAACTGAGCAAGGCCAATAAACTGTTGTACATCTCTCTGCTTGGTGGGCTGAGGCCACTCCTTGATAGCCTTGACATGACCAGCGCTTGTCTTGATGCCGTCTTTACAAACAACATGCCCTAGGAATTCAGTTTCTTATTGCATAAAGGAGCACTTGCTAAGTTTGGCATAGAGACGATTCTTCCTGCAAAAGTCAAGGTAGTGTTCTAGGGGGATCTAAGGGTGCAATAAAGGTATCTTTATTCAGGGGGAACTATGCTACAGAACTAGATAGAAAAGTAGACCTATTTATACTAGTTAATGTCCTGTTGCAAGGAATGCTCTAGAAATATGGGCGAAATACTATGTTGCACAAAATTATTATAGTGATTTCGCTTGCATCCTTCCCGTCATGAAGAAACCTATTATCTTGTTTTTCTTGAAGCCTCAAAGACGGCAAGCGCCTCTTTAGCGTTTGCGAGCGAAGATTTTGTTTCCCAAGTGGCTTCATCTAATGGATAGCCTTTCCAAAGAACGAGCCACTTAGGAGTTTTGCCAAACATTTTGAAGTCAATGATTTTGTCGACTTCATACTCCTCTTCTCCATCTACAAGCTCGGGGGCAGGGCGTGGTGGTAAGCGGTCGCCGAATTCACGAGGTGACTCAATATAGGGGCGAAGCAGATCGGCATTAAAGACTGGATGCTGATGCATGTCAGGCGGTAGTTCCAGCTTGTAGGCATTTTCATTGACCTTCGAAATGATCTTGTAAGGGCCTATGTACTCAGGTTCCAGTTTCTGCGACGGCCTATTTTTATGTCCCGCGACAGAGATGTTTTCCGAGCTTAAGAGCACCATGTCACCCACAGCAAACGTAG